GGGGGTAGAGGAGAGAGGGTCTTCGGTATGACGAAAGCCTTCGAGGAATGAAGGGGTGGGGAAGAGGATCTTGGCACTGTCTGTTATATGTTTTGTCAATGCACCAAGGAAACTCATACTTGTTCGGCGCCTCGGCTGGAGGGAACAACTTTTGTGAAAAAAAGACGGCAACTCGGGTCATAGCCAAGAACCACCCCATTTTTATCACTATACATTCTCCTCTCAACAAACCCCGCCCACCCTATCTTTTCATCAATCACGCCAATGCCAGAATAATGTCCCGAGGTACTTCCCTTCCTTACCCCCTACTTTCATTCCTTGTCTTTTAACATGGATGGAGTTCAAACACGAACAAAGCAGAAGGGAACAGATCAAGGGAGACCGGGTGGATGTAACGAGGACAAGGAATTGCTTCCCAAATAGAGTCGAGCCTTCCCTCAGTCCTTACCCCCTGGAAACTCAAATGATCTATTTGTTGTTTGCTTACATAGAGGCGAGAAATAAGGAAACTAACCTGGACAATCCTAGTGTATCCCGATCACGCACTCCAAGCGAGGAATGAAGTACAGCATGGCAAAGAACCCGTTAGAGGAAGAAAACAACAAAGCTGAGAAAATCGCATGTGAAAAATAAAGAAGAGCACACACACAATCAGCTTCCTCCTCCACATCCTTCCCAACCTTTTCTATTTTCAATTCAATCTTGTACTTTTGAATGGACCCTTCATAAACGAAAAAAAAGAGCAGTGGGACGTGGAGTTGGAGAAAAAGATTATTTTTTACGCAGGCAGCCCGACCGTTATCATTTGCAATTCAATCACTGATAAAGTAAATCAATGATGGTTCTGATATTTTCAGGGTGGTCCCTGCGCTTCCATGTGAAAAACAAGAAGGAATCAGCGTCATTTTGGGATCAATGGTCCCTGAATATCACACCACTTCTCCTCTTTTTCTTCTTTGCCTCATGCTTCTCATTCTCATTTTCCATTCTCCATTGTCCACGGCTCCTCGTTTTCAGGGTAATAGCATTCAATTTCATCATTGCTCAATCCGTCTCCCTCTCCGTCCTGATCAAACAAATAAATGTAGTGTAACTTTCACAAGGAATAGAGTAACGAGAACCCTGCCTTTGTGTCTCCATTTAGTCTCCTCCTGGAAAAGGATCTTATGTAAACGTTACTGTTGATTGTCTCCTTGCCCTCCCCTTCCAAAACGTGGAATGATCCTAAAGTGTACACACATCAACCCTGCTCTTCCAGCCTTGCACTAGTTCTACATGGCGCACCCATCACCGCCTTTTCAGTTCTAGTGTCTTTACTTCTACTTCGTCAACCCTTTTCCTTCCCAAATGCCATTGCACACGTACCTCACATACCTCCTCTTTCTTTATCTTGTTCGTTTTTAGTAGTCCCGCGGAGGATGGGAAAGACAAGGTTTTCTCTCAATGTATCACAATTGGCCATGGATCGTAATTGTGGTCTGACGCCGTTCCTTATTTTTTTTTCTGTGTATGCATTAATCAAAGCCTATGATGCCCTTTTGGTGCTCCCCTCCATGTTTTCTTATTGCTCCGATACATATATGCCAGGTTGCGGATGACCAAAAAATTGAGGGAAATATGTATACCTTGCCTGCGAGAGTGGTGTGATCCTGTTCACAAAAAGAAGAGCGGCTGTTGATGCCGGTCATTGAGGTGTATGTACTCTATTTCCTCCGAAAAGATGGAGAGAGGAGTACAGTATGGCATGAGGAATAGAGGTTAATGTTGCAATTGCATTTCCCTCCAACTATTTTTCGATAAGTTCGAGACACACGGTCCTGTTTCTGAGGAGAGGACCCGGAATGAAGGACGGGTAGAATCAGAAGCGAACACTTTAAATCCGCCCGTCCGTTCGTTCGCCCGGCACGTCGTATCGGTCAGTTCAGTCCGTCCATGCACTGCATAGCTTCTGTAGAAGAGAAGTAACAAGGGCAGAGAGGGGTCTCTCGCAACGCATACAAGTTCACCCACTTGCCACCGAACCTCCTTCAACTGCTTGACTTTCAATCCACCCTTCTTCATAACCTTTTAGCCGTGGTTTCCTTTTTCCTTTCCTCACTACAACCCCTCTCGGAGACCTATGGCACAATAGATCGTCGCTCCCCCTTTTTTCGATCACCAATCTTCTCCATTCTCTTCTTCGCTCACTCATAAACTTTTCTTATTCTTTTCTCCGCTTCAACACCGTACAAATTATCGTGCTCTCTTTTCTTTTCTTTTCTTTAAACCACTAAAGTAATTCGCCGCCACCAGCAACGGTATGCGAGGGAAAGGAGGGAAATCCTTATTTGGGAGTATCGTAACCATGTGTTCACTTTTCTTCTCTGTCTTTGTCCCACAACCGAGAACTCCGTGTGTTCGCATTCGTTCAATTGCCACGAGGCAAACCATCTCAAGAAAAAAAACTGACAAGGGAAGTACATTTTGCCAATCAAGTGAATGAGAAAAAACATGTTGAGACACTATGATGACGATTCTGTTCGAAAAGAGCAGAGCGAAGAAGAGAAGGTGTGCCGTTACTATTTTTTCTCTGATCTAAACTTGAGTTTCTTTCAACCCTTCTCTGGATCACAGAGTTTGTGTGTGTGTATCTCTTTGTTATTCCATATACAAACACTTCAAGCTGTGCGTGCGCATGTTCACGATCCAGACAGGACGATTATGGTGTGTTTTGTGCTAAATGTAGTTTTCCAGCCCATATTGTGCATCGTTTCGTACTCTCCCCCCGTCCGTCTACCCACAAAGTTGTGTTCGTTGCATATTGTTGTATCATCGCACACACACGCACACGCCTTACACGTCTCACACACCCAAAAGGAATGCAAACATATGTTCTTACTGAACGCCCGAGTCGGGTCACCTCTGTTGTTTTTAGCATCCTGTTTTGACTTAATTCTGTGCGACAAAAACACTCGCACCGAGAGACAAAAGGAAGAAGAAGCATAATCGTCATTTACGCCTGCACAACCGAATCAGATCAGGGGACGTGGTATTGGCAGGACTGGGAGAGATAGGCGCATTCTCGCACCTTTGAGGTAGGACTGTATGCAATCTAGCGTCTACTCTTCTCGTTCCCGCGCGTTTATTTTGAAACCCCTTTCCATGATGCGTCAATGACTAGACTACGTGTGATCCGTCTTTGGGGTTGGCAGATTCCATCTCTTCTATCCCTACGAAGGTGATGTTCACTTTATCCCACACATCTTTTCCATTACCCAACCCATCGCCTTCTCAGCTCAGCATATTATCTAGCCCAGCCCAACGATAATCTTGTTAACATGCGAGAATCAGAGAGTCGAGAGAACATTTTGAAGATGGAACGTGGTCTGAGCCATACGTATGTATGTATTAACACCAACACCAAGGAGAGTCAAAGAGTGGAGCTTGAAAATTGAAATATGCAAATAATTGAAAGGTGAATTATCCAAGTTATGCCTTACCTCTTTTCAGCGCAGCTCCAAAGAAGACAACACTTCCGCCCAAACACCTGTTTGTTTGTAGGCCACCAAGGGGGAGAGAGGCAATGGTGCGGTAGAAAGACAGTCAAAATAAAAAATGTGAGCAAGCCCTTCTGCCTGTATTGTCTGTAGTGAAAGGGTGGGAGGACTAAGTGCATTGTGAGTGATATGAGTACGAGGGAGCGGAGTTGCATCATTTTCTGAATTAAGAGTGTTCTCATTTTTTTTTTGTTCTGAGCTCGTCCTTGTCTGCTGAGTGAGGACAATCCTCTAAAAAAGTTGCAACATTGCTCACTCACTCAACAACGACCCACTCGGTTTATTAGGCAAAGAAAAAAAAGAAAGAAAGAAGAGGGAGATGGCTGGAGGAGCGAGCTGGGAAGGTAGGCCGCAAAAGGTGATGCGAGGCGATGCGGTGCAAAACGACGCCAGTGAGCATTTTATTTCTCGTCGAGGTTTGAATGGCTGCCTTTGTTTGCGACTCCAGTAAATGAGAGACATATTTTCATTGGTGATGCGTTACCGCATGGTAAAACAGCCATAATCCGATGCCCTTCAGCGGTGTGTGCGTGGAAAGCATTGATCTGGGTCCATGGGTGCGAGAGGGCAAAGATCAAAAGAGGGATGAGACAGGATTATCCATTGGGACAAAAAGAAGAAAAAAAGAAGGGCAAGGATGGATCACATTTTTGTATGTGTACGGCTTTCCAATGCATGTCCCCCATGCCTCTGTTCATTATATTTATTCCTCGGATGTTTTGGAGGTTCGTTACCACACCCACCAAACACGAGTCGCGTTCTTTTCTTGTTTTCGACTCTGCTCACCATAGAGGCTATTCACCCGACCGGCCCCTCACTCCCTCTCTCCCTTCTTTTTAGTGGTTCTTTCCTAGTTTAGAGGACCCTCAACGAAACAGATGCTTACGATAATAATAACCACAAACCATTGCCACAAGACAAGCGGGGGTGGCGGTGAAAGAAAAAAGTATTCAAGAGGAGGGGAAGGAAACACCAATGGGTGCGCATAGCTAATCAGCCTCTTATTTTTTTGAGTTATCGCGTCCATGGCCCAGTAGCCCTTTTTTCGTGGGTGCTTTCCTCACCGACGATTGGTCCACTTCTCTGGGGAAGCTGTTTGTCTCATGGAAACACGCGTGTCTGCTGATAAGGAACGATGTACATGGATATGGACATGTACCTTCTGGGGCATAAGCTTCTTATTTCTCTACCCATCTGACAAGAGGTGCACCAACCCACACCATGAATCATTATCGCAGATCGGGAGGAGGAAGAACGGAAGACCGAGGCTTACGCCGAGCATCTTTCGAATGCAGAGAAACAACCGCCCCACCTTGTATTGATGGCCTTGCTGCTCGACTGCGGAAAATCTACCTGATCCCATACTCTCCACATACATTCTGACCACATACACAAACGCACGCGCATACACGTATCTATATTTTATATACGGCCATTTATCTACCGTTCTTCTACTTTCACTCTCTAAGAACGAGAAGAATGAGACTGATGAGCAGCCTGCAGTTCCGGACACCATTCAACAACTCTCCAATTCGCAGTCTCTAAATGGTCCAACTGCCGATGCCGATCCCCACTCCACCCCCTCATCGCCGTCTGCAAGATCTGTAACGAGTCCCCATGACTCACCAACACCACCCACACCTCCTCTCCTTCCTGTTGCTCCTGTTGTTCCTGTTGTCCCTGTTGCTCCTGTTGCTCCTGTTGCTCCTCCCCGCGCTCCTCCTGGCTCCGAATCACACCCGTAACACGTCTTGTCACATCCACAACACTCTCGACTCCAAACAGCTCATGGAACGGGTTCTGAGCATCCGCGGCCCAAACCTGATTATACAAATCCTCCGAGGGTGTCCGCATCTCGAACTCACCAAAGAAGCGTTCTCGCAGGTCCTGGGTGATGGTCAGACCGAGCTCCAGGGTAATAGTGTCTTGGAGAGGGGAGAAGGAAGTGCGGAATTGGGATTTGATGATGGAAGCGGTGTTGAGGGTTCGTTGGAAAGGGGATGTCAGGATCCGGACCCTTGCGCGGTTTTGGGTTTGGGTTGAGGTTGTGATGATGTGATCAGCTAACGTCGTCGCCGTCTATTGTGAGATCAAAGAAAGTGTAACGTAACGTGTCTTCAGTAAGCAATCCACGAAATCCTTTCCTTTCAACTGAACTCCCCTAACAGCTTCTTCCCTGCTTTGCCCGTTACCCGGCCTTCGCGTCTGCTGAAAAAAAAAGAAAAAGGTTACCTCGGCGACTTCAAGGCGTCCTTTGGAAGAGAGTCCGAACCCCGTCCCCTCGGGCCCTCCATCGGTACGAGTCCCATTCTCGAGCGATGAGACGATCCGCGATTCCTGATTGGCAAGGGAATGCCCATGTCGGAACAGCACAAACTTCATTCTTTCCTGATTCCCGAGTCGATGCGGGTTGAAAAACTAAAGTTGTAAGATGTGTCAAAGGGCAGGAATAAAAATGCTCTAACGAAATAATTGAGATATGTCAGGGCATCACGTGCAGGAAATGGTGGCAAAAACCGAAGTGGTGGCAAAACGAGATAGAGCAATTTGACCTTTATTTTGGACGTTATTTTACCTTGACCCATCAATTCATCACTCCTCACTTCTTTTCATCAACCCAACCATCTCGCTCTTGCCGAACCCGAGCGACTTCTCTCTCATCTTCCACCAGCAGCAAAAATCAGGGACCAAGACATTCACAATGAGCGACGATGCCATGCAAGGAACTCTGACGTACGACCAGGACATTCAAGACCTGCCCGAGGACGACAATGACACCGGCAACAACAGCAATGACCAACCAGCGCCAGCAGGGCCGCTCGTCACCTTGCTCTCTCTCAACGCCCTCGCCACAAGTATCCCGCTTACCAGAAACAAAACTATCCTCGGCCGTGTTGCAGGTAACTCCCTCTTCCCTTATTTTTTGCTTGTCTTGGCTGGTACTTCAAACGCAACACACGTTAGCTAATGACCAATGACCCGACCTTTTCTTTTGTTGGAAAAATTAGCGAAGTGCACAGAGGGAGCTGTGTTGGATAACCTACGGATCTCAGGAACCCATTGCGAGGTCTCGTCGCGGTCGATGACGGACGCAAACGCGGCTATCTGGATCAAGGACACGTCGAGCAACGGTGTCTGGGTGAACGAAAAGAAGATTCCCAAAGGCGAGACTGTCAAGATCTTTGATAGGGATATTGTTAGCTTTGCCGCTGGACCCGTCAACGCCAAATGTAAGATAGTTGCTGAGGAAAGAAGGGTGTCTTTCGTTTTCTCCCTCTCTCTCTGGGAACAACTCACTAACGCATGGCTGTTTCGCGCTCGTGTGTAATATAGCTGATACCCCGGCGTTCATGCTGATGGACAAGCGGATAAAATTAGCAACACCCAATAACACACGACAGCAACAACAGTATCAGCCACTCCCGAAACGTACCAACGACGACCTTAAGGATGAATCGACTGCTGCAGAATCAACCGCTGCAGACTCAGAGCCAGAGCAAAAGAAACAAAAGACGGATGATGCTGTGTCGGCAAAGGACAAGGAGCAGGAGGACAGTGCCTTTGAACAAGAGTTCGAGTGTAGTGTCTGCCACGAGATCATGCACAAGCCGATGGTTTTACAGCCCTGCCTTCATTCCTTCTGCAGAGGCTGCTGTAAATCCTGGCTCAAACAGTACGTCTTGTCTTCTTTGTGCTGATTTAGACATTGTATTAAGGTAATGTTGATGGACCGATCCTGACCACTCATTTTATTTTCTGGATCATTGTACCTTAGGTCTAAGGTGTGTCCGTCGTGTCGACAGGAGGTGACCAGGACGAAGCGGGACTTTAAGCTCAACAACCTGATTGCACTCTTCCTCAAAACTCGACCGCACATGGCGCGCGATGATTTGGATGAGGAGGAAAGCGGCAACGACAGCGACAAGTCAGACTTGATTGGCGGTGAGAGACCAAGACGCCGCAATCTACACTACGATGACGACGACGAAGATGACGAGGACGAGTACGATGAGGATGAAGATGACAACTTGCTCCCACTCCCAGCCGGATTCCAAGGTCAACCAGTGACATGCCCTTGCTGTCTTCCCAACAACAACATTGGATTCACTTGCCCTGATGGCGTTCGATTGGAGCCTCTCCCTGGGAATGCTACCTATAGAGATTATATCGCTCGTCTTCAACCTCAACCTGGTCACTTACAGTGCCCGAACTGCCGAAATCACCTTCCTGTGATCCCTGAAGCACAAGGCGATATTGCCGATCGGTTCAGATGTAAGTTTAGGAATGAATACTTTTCCACGTTCCCCTGGTCGAATGGGTGGCGGTATCATTGTGCTAATTATTTGGCACTTTTCTTTCCTCACGCGGGATGTTGTTTTTTTTAGGCAAGATGTGCCATGTGGCGACTTGTGGATGCACTGCGTTGAGTGTGGACGAAAGAGCTGCTCGGGTGGGATATCTGGAGAACTACTTGAATCCGTTCGAAATGCAGGTGATCCACGAGTACATGAGGACGCACAACGTGACCGTACAAGCATTATGGCAGGAGATTAAAACTGGAATGGATAACGGGACTTTTTACTACCTTGGAACCGGCGACGTCCCCAACCCACCCCCGACTGCTGCCGCTGCCGCTGCCGCAGCACCTGCACCAGCAGCAGCCAATGATGCCGCCGATGCCAATGCAGCAGATCCAGTAGCACCTGCCCCAACAGCAGCAGCAGCAGCAGCAGGAGCAGCGGCACCAGCACAAGATACACCAGCAATGCGAGCGCTACGCGTCAAGACCTCGGACAGACTGTGCTACCCATGCGGTCGAAACTTTTTCAGCAACGGACCCATCTACCAGTGGCGCAAGGCCCTGAACGACGCAGTACTGCCTGCTCGTGCTGTTGGCCGGGGCGACTGCTGGTATGGCCGTCATTGCCGCACACAGCATAACATTGCTAATCCGGGACATGCTGAGCGGTTGAACCACATCTGTGAGAAGACGCATCGTTGATCAGTATTTCTGGAGGGATGTGGATTGAGAATAATAAAATACAGAGTGCTTTGCATTTTGAATTGTGCGGCTCCTATGAATGCCAGGACTATGTGAATACGAAAATCTCGATTAGGCGAAGCACGGTAGGTCAGCAAAACGAAAAGATCCCTTACGCGACACAGATGATGCAAAATTGGGTTTATTACATATCTTCAGGCCTATCATGCCTTTTTAGCACGCCACGAGTCCCATGCCTGATCCAGTTCCCGAATCTCTTCCGGACAAGGGGACCCATACAAGAGATCAACATCAGCCTTGCCCATCAGACTGCACGAGATGCAATTGAGAACCCATGTCAGCGAGACGGCCTGGAAGTCACGGAGCCAGCCATGCTTCTTCAGATCTGTCGGTGATAGTGCTGTTGACGCTGATGCCGCAGAGTTTTCGTTAGAGGTGGAAGAGGAAGAGGTGGTGGTGGTGGAGGAAGGGTTGGTGTAATATCCGGAAGGTATCTTGTTTGGGTCACAAATGATGATCGGGACGGACTTGTCGATAGGCACCTGCCACGGTTTGGTATCCTCGGTGAGGTATAAGAACGACCGATTTGGCGAGAAGAAAACATCCTCTTCCACACCTGAGTTACTACCATTGGTGCTGTTAAGTCCAAATGCTTCGCCAGCAGGAGTCCTAGACCTGGCACGAATGGAAGAAGAGGATGAGGACGATTTGGGAGGTCGTTTCATCAAGACGCTCGCGCCTCCGCATTGGACCAGTCGAAGTAGTTCCTGTTTCTTGATCGACTTTTGGGCGGCTGCTCCGAATTCGCCGTAGAAGAACATTCGGCAAGAATCAAAAAGTTTCAATGACTACCGATAGGGCACCAAGGCAAGGTTGCGATCACGTTAGACTAGATAGTATCGTTTTACCCATTCATTTCAATAAGGCACAAAGAAAGGACACGGTGACAAAGGGTTGACTTACATGCTGCTGCCGAAGTTCGCGACGGTGTTGTGTTCCAGGCGCTGGACCAAACTGGGCATCTCCTTGAATCAAATACCGCCCATCTGGTAGGGGCAACCATGTCCTGGCCTTGATACTGTCCAAAAACCACTCATGCCGAACAACCCACCCATTGGACAGCATCCCAACCAAATACTTGAGCACTCTCGGACAAAGAGCCACGCCGAGTCGCTTCCAGACCAAGGAGTCGATACTGGTAATGATATGAGTCGCGGATTCGTTGAAAACTTGATCCGGCATATGTTCCATGAAGAGTCCTGCTTCAATTACACGGGTGATATTGTCATCGAAGGTGTCCTTTTGCTCCTTGTTGAGTCCTGTAAAGACACACGATATGGCGGTAGTTGGTTCTGAGTTGATGCTGTTGGGCAATGCTGGCGAGGACGTTGATATTTCAGAGCCAGTGGGGCCAGAGGTGGTTGAGTGAAGTGACTGTGACTGTGATTGTGGTGGTTTTGGTCGACTGGGTGCTCGATTGACTGGGAGGAATGGCAGGTGCCGCTGAGGCAACGTAAACTTCTCATAGTCCAATGTTGGCTGAGAAGAAGCAATGACTTGTCCATACTCATAATTGACATCGCCAAGATCCTCATCCTCATCTGTGGTTGTAGTTGCCGATCCTCCGTTTCCTGCGGAATCGGACTGATTTTGTCCGCACGCAGGGCATTCATAAATCCGAACATTATTTCCGATAGACATCACTTTCGGGCAAGAGGTGCAGGCCCAGAGTCTCTTGCCGTCAATTCCTGACGTCGCATTTTCCGGTTTGAGACTCTCCTTCCGCCGCCTACTCGTCGGTGGATTCCTATTTTCCTGCTGAGCGTCGCGCATAGTAATAATGTCGTCTGAAGAATAGAGTTCGCATTTTAGGACTGGCCGTGAAGGCTTCTTATTCCTACTTGTTGCGCCGTTGGGTGGTGTCACTGACCGTCCAATGTACTCGTTCGTCTGCATCCGCCGCTTCCTAGAGGGCCCATTGGATAACTGTTGATCCTGTACTTGATCAGTGTCGGTGACGGATTGCGATCCAACATCCAGCAGCAGTTCCCGGAACGATGGTGTAGGCATCCGAGGAGTGTTGAAATTGCTCGTCTAAATAAACATACGACCGATCAAATACGCAGCGATGTCAGCTTTGAGGTGAGATACACATATTCCACATGAGATCGCAAGCCAGTTAACCAGCTGGTTACTCACAACTCCGTTGGACGGCACTTGATAATCTCCGTAAGAAGGAGTACTATCTTGCGGCCTCTCAGACTCTTGGCGCAGGGGCGGCGTTGGGCTGTTTGCTTTCCGAATACTGAGTAACCGCTGAAGCTGAGAAATAGTAGGTGGTGGCTGTGGCTGTTGTGCTAGATGGTGGTTGTCATCGCCAAGAAGCTCGGTCTGCTGAGAGGTCAACACCTCAGTGACACCATCCTCTGAAGAGGACTCTTGACCTCGTCCTTTCGCGTCTGAGGGCAGTACTGTCTGTTCCTGTTCTTGCTCCTGTTTTAGCTCAGCCTTTTCCTGGATATCTCTCTCCCTCCTGTGCATGGTGATTGCTGCATCGACGGAGGGGAAAGTTTGTGCTTCGACATTTGATAAGCTGCTGAAGTGGTCCGACATTGGAAGGGTCGGACCGCAATCGTAGGACCAGACAGGTGATCCAATGAACGTCCCTTGCTCTAGATCCGGTATTCTGTTTTGTGATGACCACTCCTGAGTGTCTTGTATCTCGTTGGAGCCTAAACCGCGCATAAAGTAAAGGCAAGGTTAGCGACATGTTTGAATTTTCATGCAACAAAGAGAGCGCGGATGAAAATATTGTGCTTTAGGTTAATACTTTGAGCCAGACGGATATTGCGTAGCTTGGTGACACACGCCACCAATATGTCATAGGACGGGTTCTTGACCAGGTTGCCGACCCTTGCTGGTATGTCGCAGGTGGGGCAGACACAGTCAGTTCCTAACACTGGGTAAATGCACTTTCTGATCAGAAGAGATAAAAAAATGTAAGAGTCATTAGAACCGACTGTTTGGAATGGTGGCAAAGAGGGGGAAAGGAAAATGAATGGCAAGATCTGTCCGTTGGGCTGCAAATGAGAAAGAATGACGTACTGGCAAAAGTGGTGTCCACATTCCTTGACGGTGTAGGTTGAATGTAGTTCGTCAGAGCTATGTGAGTCGAATAGGAGGAGGGTGAATGTGTGTGTAAGCTAATGGATTCGTTATAGATGTAGCTCAGCGTGGCAAGTTTGTTGGTGGAAGAGTGGGTCAATTAGGAACGTGAGAGAGCGAAAGTGGATTGATTAGTACCAGAGGGGGCAGCGAAGTAGCCCTTCCATGCGCTCGAGCGCATCGTCAAAAGGTGCCATGGTCTGTGGTAAAGTGAATGTATGAGAAAGAGAGGGAGGAGGAGGAGGTGAAAGTTATTAAATGTGCACAAGAAAGAAGAGGAAGGTAGGAGGGAAGAGTAATAATTTGTTTTGCCACCAATTTTTAATTTTTCAAAGAGTCTATTTTTGCACGACCTCTCGGTCCCAGCCAAGGGCGGCATCCTGGCCGGTCGTCTCGGGTGGCGACTGGGCCTCAAAGTCGCGGCGGAGGAGGGCAAACGTCGAGTCAATCATCAAGATGATCTCGCCAATACCGTATACAAGTCCGATCGCGTAAAAAAAATTGGCGTTTCCGCTTCCAACGTACACCCACAGGTACCAGAAAATGGGCGCCAGCAAGGTCGAGTACATAAACAGGTTCGTCACCAGGAACGAGTACCGCATGTCTATCATTCAAGGAATACGTTCGAGTTAGTCTTTCCATCTTGGTTGTGGTCTAGCCCATATACCTAGAGAAGTCGATCGGTGGCCTTACACTTGAAGATCTCAGAGCTCAGAGGCAGCAAGCCAAGGTAAAGGGATGCGTCACCGACTGATGGGTATCCCTTGAAAGTGCCCATGATCGCGCACAACAAGAAAGAGACGAACAATGGGTATTTTCTATGTTTACAAAAGGGCAAAAGTCAGTACGTGACATCTGGGGATATCACAGAGCGAACATCTAAATTGTAAACCAATTTGTTACCTCAGCTTGATGGAAACGGGCACAGCAAAGATAAAGACGTGGATCTGGAAAACGACCAAGAAGAAGGGGCGGAACTGGTCGAACATTTCGATGAAAAAGTACCAGCAGAGACCCAGGTTGGGTGTCAGATCGCTCACAGTCAAGCTAAACATTGAAGCGTCAATTTGCGGTTAATAAGCAGTGTTGCGCTTCTGTGTGAAATAATGGCAATGTTTGACCGCCAGTTGCATTGATGTTCTTACATGGTGCCGTAAACGCTTCCGAAAAAGTCCCAAGAGTTGACCAGAACGAACGAAAGTGCAAACAGAGCGACCAGCGATCCTGCGAACAGTCCTGTGCATTGAATGGCGACCTTCTATTATGTTAAAACAGAAAGCATCCCAGTCAGTCATCCAGTTGATATCCTTCCATTTGCTGCAACTACTTCCATGCATTAGATGGCCAGTGGTAGGTACCTTGGTGAGATCGTTGTCGTTAATCTTCCGTGTGAGCATTAGGATGACGGGAATGATGAGCATGGAGGGGTATAGTGACAGGTAGGTCGCTACAGCAACACTAAACATCGCCAAGCTCTTGTTGCCTAAAGTATGAAACAAATGCCAGTATACGGTTAGCGATCTCATGGCCTTAAGCACTTGTCTGCGGAGATACGACTACAGCGGCACATTACCTTTCATGCCCATCCAGATTGCGGCTGCGACGGCAGCGTTCGAGTACAGTATCGTGCTCCTGCCGATACAGCTGGCGATGGTATAAGGGTTGAACAAATAGAGAGTCGCGACCGAGAGACCGCCCATTCCTGGCTCCTCCTCCTTGCCACCGTATTGTGTGATCTTTTTCTCCTTTGCATAATCCTCGTCCTTGATGGTTGTGATCTGGAGCAGCATGTATCCAATGGCGAGATCGATGAGAATGTAGAGAAGGTTGACGAGGAGCGGACTCGAAATGATTGGGTAGAACAATCCAAGAAGAAGAGGTGCCTATTGTTAATGAAAGTCCAATGGTTAGGTAAATGCGATCATACGATTTTTTGAAGGTTAGTGTTGCTGAAGAGGATGCTCCTTTGCCTCATGTTTTTACCTGATGCACAACCCCCCCGTCGTATGGCGGTACGCCATTTGTGAACAAGAAGACGCCCTCAGACACTATTGACCACAAAGGAGTGAACGCCGTCGTTAGCTTCAAGTGTTCCAGTTCCTGACGCGAGTGTTTCGCAGATCGTGATAGATAGTTCCCTTGCTATGCCAACGACCAAGTGGTATTCAACATACGCCTTTTGAAACTAGTGACAGGGGTCGATATCTCGACTCGCTCGCCGAGGAGACTGGCTAATGCTGGGAAGTGGAAGAGTGCTAGGCGGAGGGCGACTGCTGTGCCAAAGACCGCCACCGCGTTGTTACTGGACAAGCCCTTTGCCATCGTTTGTGCTTTAGTCGGTGGGGTTTTGCTTGTTTGGGTTGGTGTTCTGTGCTGCTTCCTGAAAGTAGTTTTATGTGTTGATGAGTTGATGAGTTGATTGAATGAACGTTCCTGCAGTGGGGCTTTGGCATGAAAGGTGATGGATGGTTGCTGCTCTAACGTGGCGAGCATTTAATTATCTTAGAGGGTGTGCCTAGTAGTGCAGCAATTGCGACTGCGATTAAATCCACGATGCTACAACGCGCTTCAGTAAGTAGGCTCCAACGCAACCAAACCTTCAACCGTAGAGTGCCTTTTTTCTCGCACTCCATCCCAGTACTTTTGCTTGACCCTTCCACATTTCCTTCCCTACCTCTCGCCTCCTCCCCTCCCTTCCTTCCACCCTTCCCTTCCCTTCTCGATCAGCCTACGCGTGGATGCACCCCCGAGATGGCCAGTGAAAACAGATCGCTCCTTGATATGCTCCACGGCGGCAGCCAACCAGGCCAGCAGCAGCAGCCTCAAGGTCAGCCCTCCGCGCCTCCTCAACAGGGTCCTCCTGGTCTCCAGCAGCAGCAGCAGCAGCCCTTCCAGTTCCAGCAGCACCCTCAACAAGGTCCCATGGGCGACATGTCCACCCCGCCCATGCCCCCGCTTCCCTTCTACCAGAACATGGGTCCCCCTCCTCCTGCCATGGGTCAAATGATGCCTGGCTTTGGCTTCAACCAGCAAGGACTCGATCACCAGCATCAGATGTTTGTGCACCAAATGATGCAGCAGCAGCATGGTCAACCTCGCGGCGCGCCTATGACCCAGTTCCAGTCGGGACCACCACCCCAGAGCCGTGCCCCACCCCAGGGTAACGCTCTTGCTTCGTTGTTGCAGAGTCTGAATCAGCCTGCCTCGGTGTCGCCAACCAACACGTCGACCTCGACCTTTATGGGTCCGTCGCAGCCTCAGCAACAGCAACAACAACAGCAGCAGCTTCATTCTCAAACTCACTCTCAGGCACATACACCAACATCTCAGGCGGATCTCCAAGCAAGCACAGAGAGCCTCAAGCTGGCACTCTTTGGACCCCCCAAGCCCGAGCAGACCAGTGCCCAGCAAAAGACCGAGGATTTGAAGATGGCCCTCTTTGGCTCTGCTCGTCCTGACTTCACCCAGGCCCAGTCTCAGTCAAGCCCCAAGAAGGAAGAAGTGTAAGTTTATATATATATATATATATATTTTCCCACACATGCATTGCATGTTTACTCGTACACGCACACACACGCTCCTCTGATTGATATTCATGCTGACTCTTATTTTCCTTCTTTCCTTCTTGTATGTGTGCATGCTATTGGCTTTTGCCTTTTGATCGGGCATTGATTTGATGTCATTATTGCGGATGATAGTAATCTGTTGGCGATGCTGCAAATGTCAGCGGGCTCTCCTTCGTCATCGCAGGGGCCATCCGCCGACATCAAGAGTCTCGACGGCGAATCCGACGCCAAGCCCACCGACTTTAGACGCGAACCCGCCTCAAAGTCGCCCATCTCCAAGGAGTCCACTCCCCAGTCGAGCGCAAAGTCAAAGTTCACCTACGTCAACCCCTTCCACTCCTTCTCCAGCGCGTCCGCCGCCGTCGCCGCTTCCACTACCCCTTCAGCATCAACACCCAACCCCAACACCACAACCACACCTCCTTCGCACTCAAGGACCGGAACACCCGTTGCCGAGACCTTCCCCTCCGGTCCCCCTTCTAAGCGATCCTCGTTGAGCACACCGGCTCCTCGTCGCGATACCTTGGCCCATGTTGAGCCAGAGGCCGCCAGCCGTCCTCACGATCGGGATCAGAAGCGTTATCAACTGGATCAGCTCCTCCCTCCTCATTCCGCCTGGAATCACCGCGTCCAAAAGTTGTCCAAGGGCAGCTCAAGGTATGGATTTAAGATTGTCATCGTATACCTATCAATCAATGTATGTTCGTGTCGTGTGTTTTGCTTATGGTCATCGGTACTAATAATATCCTGCAATGTCAACTTTTTTTTTTTTCACTCATAGCTTCCCTGACGGTGTTTACTTGAGACACCAAGGACAGGGACCAACAACCTATGACACTGGACTAGACAATTTGAACGCAATTTTCTCGGAGGATCTTGAGACCATCCCTATCACACTCATCCCAACGGACGTTGACTACAACCACGGCAAGATGGTCGCTGTCAGTAAAGGCTACATCAGCTACGCCGCCAAGGGTATGTCCCATCCTCGTGTACTTTTACCCATTCGCTTTCAGTCTTCAATAGATGACCGGTGTTCAAAGTCGCTCATGCCTTTTCTATTTGAACCATTGTAGGCGGCAAAATTCGTGTCATCCAGCAGTCTCATGGACACAGAACCCTTCTTCGGGGACACACAGATCAAGTCATTGACATGAGTTTCTCGTCAGCCGATCAGGGAGCTTCAGGCTCGCAGCTTCTTGCCAGCGTTGGCAAGGATAGCAGGCTCATCATCTGGGACCTCTCCACCTCGGACCCTGACTCAACTGACATTGACCACTCAAAGTACTTGGAGCTCATTGGAGCACCTCAGTCGGACCAGCCACGCTACAGTCGCATTGCCTGGAGCCCCAGGAATGCTTCTCAGCTGGCATTGGTCAACAATGATGACCACTCGGTCTTTATCGTTGATATTCACAGCCTCATCGGATCTCAGCTCAGCGACTCTCCTACTGTGACGGAGGCTCAGCTTGCTGCACACTCTCTTGTTATCCAGGCTCATGATCAGGTACTGTCTATAATTCCTACAGCCATTGACGTCTTTCACAAGAAATGATTGAGACTTGAAACTAATTACCGCTCTGTGCTGACTTTCATACTTTTCAGGCTATCAATGACCTTTCATTCTCCCGGGACGGTACTGCCTTGGTGACTGCAAGCGAGGACGGCACTGTCAAACTTTGGGATCTCCACGCTGCTGCTGGTCCAGCACTATTGAACGAGTTTGTGCCACACGGTGGTCTGGGTGTAACGAACGCTATTTTCGTCGACCATCCAGATGCGACAGCTGCGCGCTGCGTTGTCACAGCCTGCCGTCGTGGAACAGAGCTCAGTCTCTGGCACGTCTCTGGATCTGGCCCTCTTGATCAGTTTGTGTTCAAGGAGCCACCATCGTCGATCCGCCGTTCTTCTCTGGGCAAATCCGCCTCTCGTTCGCAGGATATGCGCATGTTCAACTTTATGGGATACGACCACGAAACCTCCAGTCTGGTATTGGCCAACAGTGCTCGTCTCTCGCTCTTTGGACTCAAGATCAAGGTTACACCAGCGTCTGAGACCGATCGCCCTACCGGCGTGAGCCAGGCAGGATACATCAAGTCCGCCTTGGCCTCCGATGCCACACCTTGTGCCGCCACCTTTGACTTTATGATCGAGTACCCCATGCCCCAACCAATCGTCAGCTTCATTGTTATGCCTGACTCTTCCTTGGAGTACAATGGCTTTTCGGTCTACTGCATCCAGGCTAAGGCTGTCCAGCAGTACATCATCAAAGGCCTTGAGCCTCATGACAAGAACAAGTGTCAGATCTTTGAGTCCGTCCTTCCTGCTGCCAAGATGGCCGAGCCCAAGATCACGCGCACCAACTCTAAGAACAACACTCCCAAGGCTTCCAACTCGCCTTCGACCAAGGATACCGATGCTGTCGATGTATCTATTCTCTCCAAGTCGGACGCTGCTACTGGAGCAGTGACTGAGGGTCTTGAAGGAAAGGAGCCAGAGAAGCCGATCAAGTTGCACGGACCTGTCATCAACGGTGCCATCGCCAAGCTGAAGGAGAAGAAGCGCAACTCGTCCAACGACAACCAGAACGGAACTGACGGGGCTGACAAGAAGGAGTCACCCAAGATGCCCACCTCGGGACGTATGGGAAGGAAGACAAGCCAAGACATGTCTCTTACTGCTCCTCCTTTGGAAGCCAAGAAGGCTGCCTCGATTCCAGTGGCGCTCGGCGAGGCCAAGAGCTCGGCCGATGCCAAGAACTCAGGACGCAGCAACACACGCAACCAGCCCAGCCGTGCGCAGGATGCCACCGACGGCGCATCGCCAGCACCAGAGCAATCATCATTGACTTCTAGCGACAACGTTTCTCTTACCCTTGGCGACCTCCAGACCATGATGTTGGCTATGGAGGACAAGATTGCATCTCGCTTTGAGAAGAAGTTGAATGCGGAGTTGGAGTTGCAGTACAGGAAGATGGACCAGGACCAGATTGTCAGACAGGAGGCAGTTTTGAAGCTGGTCTCGCAGACCCTCGCCAAGAACACTGAGCAGCTTTTGGTCCAGACGGTCAACAAGGAGATCCAGAACTCTGTCATTCCCGCGCTCAACAAGGTTATAGGAGCAGCAGTAGAGCGTCAAATGGCTCGCACCATGGGCGACGCAGCTGCAAAGGTAATACTCACAGCTTTTCTCGTGTTGATACCCGCCCGCTATCAGCTGGTATGATATTTACATGTAACTAACATTTGTCGATCGTTATTTTCAACTTAACCTGATAGACCTTGCCTTCGGCCGTTGAGGCGGCGGTGAGCGGTAATGTGGAGAAAGTGATGGCAGGTTCAGATTTCATGACCAACTTAGCAGTCCAGGTGGCTACGACTATTCGCCCTTCGATCGAGGATTCGTTCAAGGAGAGCTTTACCAAAGTCTTGATCCCCTCATACCAGAAGGCGACTCAAGCCATGTTCCAGCAGATCCACTCTGCTTTCCAGAGCGGTATTGAGGACTTGACGGCGGCCAACCAGAAGGACCACGAGTCGATTGAGGCCCTCAGCATCAACATCAAGAAAATCGCGTCGAATGTTGAGGGTATCCAGGCAAGTCTTGCGCAGGCGCATCACCCACAGTCCGAGGCACCATTGAGCGGTGGTGGTGGCCCTGGACGTCTTGATTCGCAGCGCCGTAGCGTTGCCAGCGGACTCCAGAGAACCTTGCAGGGGGAGGACTATTCCGGCGCATCCAACTATGGATCTCGCAGGACCTCACAGCAACCCTCGCCCACCGAGTCCAAGCAGACGTCGGCTATCAACCAGTTGATCGCCTATGGCGATTTTGAGGGTGCGTTCACCCAGGCCTTGTCGACTAACGAGCCCAGCGCAGTGTTCCATATCTGTAGCAAGGTCTCGCCCCGCGCCGTCTTCCAACAGACATCGTCCAACCCTAACGGGACCCTTAGTCAGCCTGTCCTGTTGGCGTTGACACATCACTTGGCGAACGAGCAGTTGGGTCAGAACTTGGGGGTCCGCTTGACGTGGCTTCAGGAGATTTTGATGCGACTCAACCCCAAGGATCCTTTGCTGGGGGATCATATGGCAAGGATTCTTCCAACTGTCCAAGCTCGTCTGGAGGCGACATATTCTGAGGTCGCCAATAGCGGCGAGGCGAACCCGCATTTGCACACGCTACAGCTTTTGTTGCGTTATGTTCACAGCATGCAACTTTGATCGGAGAAAATAAAAATATAGCATCATCATCATTGCTGTCTTCAGAAAGGTGGTTGGACTGGAAGACATGTCTGTGCAGAATAATTATACAACAAGAAAGACGGCAAAAACAACAACCTGCTCGTCTCCAAAGGAACCAAGGTTCATTTATATACAAAATATAAATAATACCCTCTTTTTCAAGGGCCGCAGCGGCAGCATTGAACAAGCACGTATACAAGCAAGCAAACATACTGTGACTCGTACACAACCCAGCAAAGAAATAACTATCAATGAAAGGACTTTACTCATATGCTACCTACTCTATCATCTTGTCGAAACAAGAAGAACAAGGCATTAACAAATAAAAAATGTCTTCACACGCCTCACTCAGAACCGAATGTCTGGTCGACCCCCGTTCTGCCAACCACCGATGAACATTGGCCTTACCAATATCCTTCAGTGGTTGGAGATCCAGGGACGTCAGCCAAGGTAACGCCGTCATTACGATCCTGTAAAGTCCGCCAAGGTCCACGCGTGTCCTCTTGCGGAAAGTCCAAGGTGCTTGAGGTTGGTGAGTTGGTTCAAACATGCGAATTCTGCCATGGGAGAATGATCCGAGTCACGACTTTTGATCGCGAGAGAGCGAAGGTACCGCATTTGGCCAAGATGGGCATATGTAACTTGCCAATTCCGTTGGCGGTCTTGATGAGTGGCGGCGATGTATGAGTCGATGTCAATCTCAACCAGAGCTCCTTGGCCTGTGGCGCTGGGTTGCTGTGGGTTGCGATCTCCCCTTCTTCAACCTCGTGTGGAAAAAGTCCCGAGGTTGGACAGCGAATCCTTTGAGAATAAGCGTCGTCACCTCTCTGTGCCAGAAGAGAATTGAGGTCAAGAGAAAGGCATTCTGCCAAGTCAGAACGTGCTCTTGGCCATCATTTTCTCTCTGCACTTCCAGCTTGAACGGCCTCAACTGAGGCGCGAATGTCCTGAACTGCAATGCTCACAGCCGATTGAACCGGTTCGCGCTCCCCAATGTAATGCTCACTGCCGTAAGGGAGTTCAATCGGTCATGCATATTGACCATATCGGATATCCTGAATGAGAGTGGTCCATCGAACACCAACTCTTCAAGTCGCCTGCAGCCGATAATTGGCGCCAATGGTGTCACCTGGATATCTGTTGGCTTTGCAGTCAGGACTAGCTTTCGGAGGTTAGGACAGCGTCGGAGGAGTCCAAGTTCACTGCGTGGGATCCGGAGATTCTTGATCGCCCATTGAGGAATGTCGAGCCGTGCTGGCATGGCGGATGGAAGTAGAGCTGGGGTGGAGCTGCATCGACTCCTCGGGGGCGGGATAAGATATGGTGGCGAACCGATAGCAGTCTCCTCGACTTGCAGGAGCAAAAGGTAGAACTTGTACCTCTGAGTGGAGATGGGAGGTGGGGTGGATGCCGCCGGAGGTGACCCATGAATGGCCGATGAGCTCGGCGACGACGTGCTAGATGATGCTTGGATCGGAGGCAGGAGAGGCAGGGCAAGGGTTTCTTCGGCCTGCCGGACAGGATGAGAAATAGACATGGTATCTCATGGGGATGGGAGTTGCCGTCGATTTGTGGGTTCAACCTGGATGGCTAATGATGAAGTCGACTACGAGACGATACTGGGTGATCCTGGAGCAGGCGATGACAAAGGCGAAAAGAAGCAGCGGATCCTTCGGATTTCCGTGGTTACTTGCTCAAACGAGAGTAATGATCCTCTGCGATGGGAAAGGACGAGGGGAGGCGGCAACTCTTCTCTGACTTGAGAATGCTGAGGGCGAGGGGCCGGATGTGTGGGTGATCGAGCGGGATAAGGAGATCGTGGCGATGTTGGATGTTGAAGGTGAAGGTGTGGGCGGCTACAACGCACGAGCCGTTGACTTGGTCATCATTCGGTAACGGTATGAACGGGCCCCGACACTGGAATCTGCTGTAGTTGAGAAACTAGGGGTGGGGTAGATTAGGACGGCATCGAGGTCGAGGAAGGAGTTGTCGGCGTCGGTGTTGGTGAATGAATGGAGGATTAGAATGAAGAATTCATCATTCAGTTGAAAACGTTCAGTGAAGAAAGGTGGGGGGTGTGGGTGAATTAGAGAGGATTTGGTGGCGATGAGAAGGAGGAGGAATTAAGTCTTCTGAATGTCAGTATCCAACTTTGAGGGCTGGGAGAAGGGAAGGAAGACTCAGGAGAGCGAAGAATGGACGAATGGATGTGGGTTTCTCATTGCGGATTGCTGTTGTGGAGGGGGAAGGGTGAAAGAAAGAAAGCAAGAAAGCAAAGAGCCTTTTATATCTTGTGCTGCTCATAAGAAAAAAACAGTCTCGCACAATGACGAAAGGGAAAGGTAAGGGTTACGTTGGCTTGTGGAAGAGTTGGACGGATGAGGGAGCTGAGAAAGAGAAAGAAACAAACGGAAGTCAAGTCGAACAGAGGGCGTGGGAGCCAAAGGCGCTGGAGGATTAAAAAAAGAGGGGGTACGAGAAAGAAGAGAGAGAGAGAGAGAGAGAGACGGGTGGCTATCCAGGGTAAAAGGACGAGGGAGGGAGAGGAGGCAATGACTACATGACAACGACAAGACGAACGTCCTTGACTAGATAAGCATGAAGGTCCATCCTCAAGCATATCACCACAACCAACATGGCACTGCCAGAATAACGCTGGTGCAGAAAGAAAAGAAACAGAGACGGGTCCTGGTCGAAAAAAATGGCAGGCTGAACACGCCCAACACATGTATCTCAGTTGAGCTGCTGAAGTGTCCAAAGTATGCTACTATGGAACTTGAACTTGGCTATCATCCTTGAGCGCAAGCGTATATCGCTGAGGTAAATGACTGAAAAAAAATGCATCGCAAAGTCCTGTCGAACCCTATCTGCCATCGAAAAACTGTGACGCAAACTCATATCGCCCACCACGCCCGACGATCCAAATAACGACTCCCTGACGATGAAGCCTAGATGACGATGATGCATGTCGAAGCTCCCGAACATCCCACGAGATCAGTTGAAGAGTGTAAACGACATATCAAAGAGATATCCTTGTTCACTGCGACTTGCTCAACATCCGCGCTCAACTCCAAGAAAAAAAATCGGCGAGCGTTCTCCTGCTATCCTCGATATGAAAAAATCCACGACGCGAGGCCTCAAGTTGGAAGATGCAACGAAAACGTCAACTGCAGAACTTTATTTTAAAGTCTGAGAGCTCATGCAATTCGAGTATCTGCTCCAGTTTCACTACTGCCCAATGATTGAGGCATCTACAAGTTGAAAATAAGAAAGCAGGTGGTTACGAAAAGCCGTGGGCAAAACAAACGGAAAAGAACTCATCATGGACTATCCTTGCTTCTATGCACGGCTCATACCATGTAATCTTCAAGTACTTATCCAATTGACTGAAAGAAACCTCCTCTCAGGCCAATGTATCCTGACAAGTCCATTCATGACAGCCTATGCCAATAATTGACCTCGCAAAAAATAAAGGATAGAAAAAAAACGTGGTATGTTAGTGCACGCTCATGAAACCTGGAGTCGTATCACCCGCACCCAAAAATATGAAAAGGAAAAAGAGTCTCAACGCCCAAGAAAGTCCTGCTAAACGATCTCAAGCTGCCTAATGATCAGCCGCCAAACCCCAATTCCATGAAGCGTTCTCGAATCAAATGACAACGAGAAACATTTCATGCCATCCTTTTTGTTTTGTCCGATATCACAAAGACCCAGTAACGAGTACCATGGATAATCCGCAACAAAATAAGGCGCTGGGGATGGTGAATAGAAGAGGATCTCCAGGAGTTCTATCGTCCTAGGACAGAAAGACTGTGGAGAAGCAGAGTGACTCTGTAACATAATGCTACAACACGAAGCACAACATTAAGTCCCCGAAGGTACATGTGTTGAGAATATTGCCAGGACCTCCAACTCGTATGACTCTACTTGAACAAACCCTCTTGCAGATAATGAGGAGAGAACAAGTAGTTGTTGAGATAGAGGAAAAGAGATGTCTTGCTTAGCCGCAACTGGTGAACAGCAAGTAACAACCCCTCTCCCTCCAGTGACCATCTTTTTTGTGGAAAGGGCGGTCTCTAGGACTCGAACAATGATACGGTTGGATGGACAAGCGCCCTCGCATTGTTGCGGCGGTATGGGTGGCAGGCGGGTTATGAACCCATTCGTGTTTTTCCTTTGTGAGGAGAGTGTGTTGTGAAGATTTGAATGGGAGGAAGACGCTCTCGACGTACCGTCTGTCCTTGTCATCGTTGCTATCAGTTCCTGATTCCTGAATGTGTCCTTGAGGATTGTAGTGGGGATGGAGTGGTTGATGCAGAAGAAGAGTAAGAAGTTCGTGCATGGGCTTGGCAAGGAAGCCATTTAAATACGTCACCGAAAATGAGGTCTAAGGAGTTATTTGTGTGTCAGTTTCACCTTATTTTTTGTTCACAACTTACTCAACACACCAACACGAAGCCATGGGCAAAGCAACATCAACCAACACGCCTCCAACAGGTATATTCTCAGCTCCAGAAACCAACAACAACGAACAACCCACAACAACAACACCGACAACACCAACAACACCAGCAACACCGTCAATATCATCACAACCAACAGCACCGCCACAGCAGCCGGAAATAAAAAACTGGCACCGAGCACTTGACAGACTCTTCGGCAAACCTTACTTTGAATCCTGCACATCCCCAACCCATTTCAACTACGCCGATTTTCTATCCTGGAACCGGGCCGACTCTTCCTTAACAAAACAAAAGGCACGCAACTACTGGAAGAACGCCATCGACAAGTTCGAAAAGAGCACACTCCAGGTTCTACAGGATGCCGCGAGGAAGATGAATAAGGAGTGGACGACTGGGGAACATATCCAGTTTGAGGAAGATTTCTTTGGGCAGCAGGTGGAGGAAAGAAAGTTGGAAAGGACGAGGAGGAAGGTGCATCAGGTGGTGGACCATGTTATTTCGAAGAGGCAGCGGTTGAGGTATCAAGAGGAGGGGTTGGTGCTTGATAAGGCGTTGGCGCAGACGAGGTCGGATGAGGACGGGGATGTGGAGGACAATGGAGAGAGGCGGCATCAGAAAAAGGAGCAGCAGCAACAGCGTTTATATCAGGTTGAGGAAGATCGATTGTCGTCAAGGACGGCAGAGGATGACCGGACCATCCATTCACTCGATCTCTTATCATCCGACTCGATCGATCCAGACTATCATGCAGGCAACGTATCGGTCAGCTCGGTCGACTTTTCGGACATTACACCTCTGCTAATGGACTATTTGGTCGGTCCAGGATCAGTCAATGCCAGCCCCTCAGGAGAGTCGTTTTACATTGTCGACGGCGTCAACATCTCAAAGACACTGTTTGCCCTCAGGAAAGAGAATGTCTTGACCCACGCCACCATGACCTACGCGGACGGCACCGACATCATGTCACTCAACTTTATTTTTTTCGACAAACGCCTCGGACCACTACGGGATGAGCGGAAGAAACGCTGGAGCAGGAGCCTGACAGAGGAGGAATCTGGGTTGGTATGCAAGATGGCGGAGGAGTTTTGTGGGAAAGAGTTTGACGAGTGTGAGCTGGCAATGCGACAGCTCTCAGGCACAGCATCGGCGACAGTACTTCGATCCAGGATATACAGCTACATCCTCAACCTGCTGTCGTCACGGTTCCTTTGGCAAACACCACCATTCTTTGACAGGACCAATGAGGATACATTCACAGATCGATACTACCGGCCCTGGATCAACGCCTTCTTTGGAGACCTCGACGGAGCAGCACTGCATTGGGGTCGGGACCGCCTAGAGTGCGGCGATGGAGTCAGCCAAGAAGTTCTCATCCCCGATATGATGGTCACCACAACCCACCAACCCCAGCGAACAGTCCTCCTCTGCGAGATCAAAAAAGTCGGCAGCTCCCAACAGGACAAACAACGAGACGTTGTCAAACTCTTTATCGAGATGAAACGCAGTCTAGACGGCCTACTTCGCGCAGGAGTAGACGGCAAAGTGATTGGGATCCTGGGTCAGGATTTCCGAGTGGACGTATGGATGATGGACCTTCCCTACGAGGCAATATACCTCCCAACACATCTCGGGTCATTTGATATCCTGTTCTCAAGGTATCAAATCGGGTCGCTTCTGGCGATGGCCCCACCTTTGCTGGCTGCTCGCGAGATTATAAAGTCGACATTGGAGGATGTGAAGGCGTTGAGGAGGAGACAGAGACCTGTTAAGGAGACTTGGGTGCGCGGCACGTTCAATGTCCAGCCCAATGTCGTCATTTCCGCAGACTAACAAGAGAAGCCAATAAAAGAAGTAAATGTTATCATCCACGTAGAACAATGAAGGTTTCTGTGCATGAGCTGTGTTCGCAACTAGTTGGTTCTTATGCTGATTATTCCGCATACAAAAAACGCTAATCTAGATATGAAGAGGGAAGAAAGATCTGGATATATGGTGGCAGTAGCACTTTTCAAAGGCGAAAGGGCATCAAACTATCACAATACTTTCCTTCGCCTCATTGTTCTTCTCCGCATGGAAGCGGGCGAGTGCACGCAAAGTGGATGTGGGAAACCAGTGGTTCAAGCATAACCAGCTAGTGCCCTCTCTTCCCCGATTCCCCCTTTCCACATTCATGTGCTTCTTCCCTGCAATCTAACCTGACATCACCCTTCATCCCTGTACTACATTTCTTTAAACCTCTTTTTTTTTTGTGCGGATTGTAACAGGTCTCTCTTGCTCTTTTTATTTGTGTCTGTGTAGCAAGCTTAGTGAGTGAGGCGAGGGAGTGCGGTGATGATATTGCGCGTTCTGTTTGAATTGATTGTATGCGCTCTTTGGAGTCACTCCTCCATGTGGCGAGAACCCTGTAGCAGAAACTGGGGTTGAGGCGAAGAGAACAACAGCTCGAGGGGAAGGGAGAGGAGTGAGGTGTGGATGACAATTCGAGTATATGGATAGTGTGTCAATGCGAAGGAGGAGGAATAAAAGGGATATGAGCGGGTTTCGTCTTCTTTCACTTTCTTTTCCTTACTTTTCATTCTCATTCTTACACATCGCTCTGCCCTCGTACACTCTGCCCTTGTACACTCTTCTCGCTCTCGCTCCTTGTTTCCATATTCCATTTACCTTTGTTTCTTCTGCTACCTTCACTTTCCTCTCCTTCTTCCACCCCTCTACTTTTCTCACCATGGCCACCTCGGAACAGGTACGTGTCCTAAACCATGCATGCACGCACGACGCAAGATTTGCGCTCTCAGCGATGTTTAAACAATCGCCCTGCAGGAACGAACACTCGAGGGCTCATAAAAAGCATTGCACAAAGCATTGCACAAAGCATTGCACAAAGCATTGCACAAAGCATCGCACATAAAGCAAGCCAAAGCAAGGGTACTATCGTACTCTACAACCATTAACGTTTTCTCTACCTAGATGGTTATGCCCACCACCAACAAAGACCTCCAGCACACCACACCCCACTCAGCAACCTCAGCCGTAAAGTTGACCAACAACAAGACAAACAGTCTAAGCACAACCTCCATCCGCTCATCGACCCCATCCACTAAAGAGCGCCGCCCATCCTTCTCGATCACATTACCGCCTTCATGCTCACGGAGCAGTCATCTCACCAGCCATTCCCTGGTCTTCAATACCATTGCTGGACCGGATGATGATAACGACTCGACTGCGGGATTCGAGGAGGCTTTGGCGTTGCAGCAGCAGGAGGGGAATGAGAGTAACAGTCATGGGGCTGTGGGATTGCAGCCGATGGATGATGGGCTGCCTGTTCGGCGTCGTAGTGTTCAATTCATCCCTGGTAAGATATCGTTGTTTGGTTGTGGTCACTTTCATTGACCTTTTTGTATGCGGTGCAGCACGAAAGAACATGTACTTCATCTGCGCGTTGTTCGTCGTCATCGTTTGGACACATCGTCATCCGTCGAAGAGGCTTTACATTGCATCTTACTGTTCCTCCTTCCTCTTCACTTCTCCCTCGTCTCTTCCTCTCCCCCTTCTCACCTGCGCTTTCGCCGCAATGCAATGCGCAATTACAACAACCCAAATAGGTGAAGACGATAGCCTGACGAATCATGAGGGCAAAGAGCATGGATTGCCAAAGACGCCCTACCCCGTCACTGATGAACAGGATCTCCAGCGTACCCTCTTCAAGCACTGAGTCCTTTCCTCCGAAGGAATTTCCCGATACCTCACTAGATTCTAGTTGTTTTTGATTCTCTTTATTTGTTTGTTTTGAGGGAGAGGGATGAACCACACAGTCCTTGTACATATATATCAACCAGCCTTCGTTTTCAGTGATTCATATCCTTTTGTTTTGAGGTCCATAAATAAAGAAAAAAGCACCGGTACATTCTTCATTTTTAGCACCGACTCTTGGATGGGAGAAACACAACCAGAGGCTCAGCATGAATGGGTCTCGAACTTTGTGGCAATGCTAGATCCCTTATTACTTTCCCCTGACAAAAATAGTGCCTGGTCTACTTTCTATACCTCACTGCTGCTCCTTCCACATTTCTCCTTCGTCTGTTCAGAAAGGCACTAACTAACAACCCAATGATCATTGCTCCCAAGGTGCTTTGACGCCACGGGTCTGGCGGTCGCGACGGACCAACTCGGCCAACTGCTGGAAGTAGGCCAACTTGTCCTCCTTGCGGTACTGTGTCACTCGCCCACTCGTGCTAGGCATCACAAACATCCGGCTCCCACGGACGCCGCCCCTGTACCTTGGTGTCGGTCTGGCCGCTAAGGACGAGGATGACGACGAGGGCTTGGTATCGTGATAGAGTTCCGTTTTGATCGCGTTCTTGTCGTCTTGCTCCTTTTTGACATACTGCTTGTTATCCCCATCGTCGTCGTCGAGCCCCTTCTTGATCAGGGTCTTATCGTCTAGTTCCGCCTTGACCGGCTTGACATCCTCAACATCCTCCATCTTGACATCTTCCTTCCTGTCAACCTCCTCCTCCTTCAACTCAACCTTAATCCCCATCGAACCATCCTCCCGCTTAAAATATGGTGAAGGGGCCCCCTCCTTCCTCAATTGTTCATCTAACCTCTCCGCACTCGGTCCACCCTCAAAAAAGGGCCCCAACCGATACCCCTCCTCATTCATCCGTCTTTGAATCGGGTTCCTCTTGTCCTCTAAATCCGCCCCCCACAACAACTCCTCATCCTCCGGGGTATCATCCCAACTAACCCACGCAGTCTGCAATCCTAGCCCAACTCCCGTATACATTTCCCAAGCCTGTTTACTAACAAAACAGACAAACCGGGGCCTGTACTTTTTGAGTTTTGCAGTGAGGATGGGCGCAGCGGCACGGCATTCAGCATCGGAGAGTTCGTTCCCCATTCGCGAGGGCCGGTCGACAAGGTTGGTGAGACCCATGTTTGTTAAGGCAGGGAGGGATTTGTCGTCGTCAGGACCCAGTCTTACGCCGGGTGGAAGGAGGCCTGGAGGTTACAACAATGCGGTGCGGAAATAAAAAAAAAATCCAACGTTAGCGTCGATTGATTCCCTTGTAGCAACTATTCCCACAGAGTAATTTCTTCCCGAATATCATGGAACAAATCAACATACCACTGTCGGAAAGACAAGGCCAAAAGTGGTTGTTAGGTCCTGAATAGTGATGCCCACGCTGGCTGGTCTTGACACCTGGGTTGATGCCAACAAAGAGAACATCGAGGTCATAGTCGATAATGTCTGCAACGTATTCCAAGTGTGCGTATGTGGCTGGTGCTGCGTACCCTTGATTCCTGCCCTGTGTCCCACGACGCTATTTTTTCACAGTCGAAAACAAGAGCGACAAAGATGTCAGTACGATTTATAAGCAATAGCGACCATCGATTGTGAACTGAGAGAATGATGAACTTACAACGATAGTAGTCTCTTCCTTCTTGACTTCCTTCTTGACGACTTCAGTAACAGCAGCCCGCTTGTGATGGGGTCGAGACTTGACACTGTCTGCACTGACAGTCCGCGAAATAAAGGGTCCTCCCGTGGCCAATGTGAGTTCTGCGTCGGTTATGGAACTGAGTCTCAAACTCTTTCGGACCTGAGTCGACAGTTCCGCCGTCGCCAATGACGGTTCCGTAGCTGCGTCTTCGGCCTTGGCGTCGTCTTTGGGCATGATGGTCCGCTTCCTGCTGTTCTTGGAGGAAGGGGAGGATCCGGTGCTGCTGGAGCCTTCGCCGTTGTTGGTGGTACGGGACGACTTGTCATGGGCGAATTGGGATACCATGTCTGTGAATCGAGTCATACTGGGTGACGGGTATTGGCGTGTCGGAGACGTGGAGTAGAGAGCGTGAGAAGAAAAAAAGAAGAGAAGAAAAGTCAAATGTCAAACAACTCACTTTTAAACTGAGCCTCGTTTGCTCTTTGCCACCATCTCTTTTCCTCTTTTCCTCGTCAATTGATCGCAGTCACGGTCCTGCTCCACGCCGCTTGGAAAAGGAAAGAAAAACTTCATGAACAGATCTCCCTGAATTGCACTACCCTTACTTTTTATATAGAACACCATGGCACCCATTCGCTACGCACACTTCATCTCAAAGTAAAATTCCCTCCTGTGCAACTACTTTGCCACAATGTATTCAATCAAAGGAACACTGACCAACATTCGAATTATTACTTTATTTTATAGGAGAGGCGATGTCGTCTTTTCATTAGCCTGTGGTTTCGGAGCATACTTTCTCTACGAACGGGATCACCCTCGGGAGTGGACTCTTCGTGAGCTGGCGACGAGGAAGATTGAACGAGTCCGGACAGAGGGCTGGTTCCCCAGTAGTTCCAAGTAGACACGAACCGCAACAACTGCCCCCGTCCCTGACAGGAACACAACTCAGCACACACTTCTCACACCACACCACACCATCACGTACCCATTCTTGTACCATACTAAAAAAACACTACACCAACCAGCACACCTATTCGCCATCGTCAGGACTTTGATGGGTCCTGTAGTAATAAAGTAGCGGACGAGTTGTTGATAGCATCCATTCAGCATTGGCGGTTGTCGGGAGCTAGAGTGGGGTATCCTGTTACTTCCTGGAGAAGTTGGTTGATGAGAAAGGTTGCTTGTTCGTCGAATTTGAGAGTTCGTGAAAGTCGGACCTATAGGTGCAAAAGTATGGGGCGCCTTAGTTAACATCTATTAAGGAGGTCAATTGGTCCATGGCATCCAGGAGGATAACGGGCTGTCGACACTTACATTGAGCGACCAAGATCCTCAAGCTATCAAGGAAGAAGGTAAATGATTTGAAGGAGATCAGTACTTGATCAACGCATACAGCAGTTCAACACAAGAGAACCACAAACTGATTGATCCCTTACGCTGGACATGAGGACCTGCAGTTCCTGTCCTTTTCGTGCAAACTGCAGAGGGTCAATCTCATCCTTGTCGGCTGCGTCTAACAGTTTGCCGTCTGGTGCCAGGGACTTGTCGTCCTCTGCCACAGTCTCAATTTCGATATGTTTCGCTGCCAATGCCAATTGCTTCAGGCGGATCTTGATCAGCTCCTGGAAGATACTCTCCGAGTTATCGCCTATTGTGAATAAACTGCACGTCGTTAGGTACATGTCTACAGGTCCTAGGGATATGCTTAACTGTAATAGCAGACTTGTCAAATAGCACGATGGGACCTTACCAAAGGCTTTCATGTCCCTCTCGTCAAGCATGCGGTCCGTCCCTTCAAAAGCGGCATCAATGACCCCCAAGGCCCGGTCATGGTTGGATGATGTCAATTCTGATGCTGGTGGAATGTAATAGCCACCACCTCCTGCTCCACTACCGCCGCCACTTGCTCCAGGTCCATTGTTCTGTCGGGGTTCGTATGCGAATGAGTCTTGTGAAGATGCTCCAGTTGTGGTTTTGTCTGTTGAGCCTGATGTCGGTGGCCCTGCGCGGTTGTTCATTGTGTGTGTGAGAGATGTGAGTGTGTTCAGGAGGTGTGAAGGTTTGAAAGGAAAGGCACGACTCAGGAGGTAAATTGGGCTTGGTGGCGCTTTGGTTCGCAGTCACCGCATCAATCGGATTGACTTCAAAACATAACTAACTTTTTTTTTTGTCGATGCTCATTCACTCCATCACCTTCAACTTCAACCATGTCTGACACCAAGAGGCCGCATGAGAACACACAGACGGACGCAGTTGCACAAGCGCTCGCAGGAACACTCGAACCACCAGTTCTCAACCAACGCAGACGCACCAAGCGCCAAAAAGTGCAAGGTGCTCACACTTACCTTCACGGAATACACTTGGTAAAAAACGACATCCCAGGATTCGAATGGACTATTTGGACTAACAACCCTACCCCCTTTCCTCGCCCAACCCTTTCATCATCAAATAGCACCACCACCACCTGTTCCCAATCGCCCTCGCCAATGCCACTTCTTTTTGATCTCCAAGAACAAGTACTGCAGTTTGACAACAAAGCTGGGCGTCAAGTTCTGTGGAGAACACTCCATGCTCGAAACCCCTAACTCATCATCTTCAGACGCCGCTGGACAGGAGCCTTCCAGGAAGCGCATCCCATGCCCCTTTGACCCCAGCCAGTAAGCTTATCTTCGTATATTAGTCTGGTCTATCCGGTTTTTATCGATTCAATGTTCACTAACATCAATTGACTCCTTACCTGCAAAAATAGTACTGCCTGGGAAGACGACTTGAAGGCACATTTGTTCAGATGCAACGCAAGACCCAAGGAGAACTCTGCTCATTTCTCGCTGGATGTCAATCTGTCTTTGCCTGCACCTGAGAGGCAGCCCACAGGATTTGAAGTATTGGAGTCATCGACTACTGGCAAGAGTGAAGTGTTGGCAGAGCTCACTCAGGAACAGCTCGAGGCACTGATTAAGAAGATCCAGGATTTGCATGCCAAGCATGTCCCGGATATCAGGACTGTTATTCTTGACCACCCTGCCTTGAATGAGCGCAAGTACGTTGCCATGGATCGTGACTAGGCGAATGAGCGGTTTAATGCGACAGGGAAAACGTTTTGCAGGACCATTGGCGCTCACAACGATGATACCACTCTCATTCGCAATTGCTAAAATAGAAAAATCGTCAAGAACATCAAGCACGCACACCAACAGGCCTCACTCCTCGGAAACATGAAGAGACTGAACATGCTGGACGACCCCTCAACCTGCTACGTCGAGTTTGGAGCCGGCCGGGGAGAGTTGTCAAATTACCTCAAGATCGCAGTGGATGATCATGGAACGGCGACATTTGTTCTTGTGGATCGCACGCCTCCCCGCAACAAGTTTGATAGTGCCCTTTTGGGTCTGGAGGAGATCAAGTCGTTGGTCAAGAGACATACTATGGATATCAAGGATCTTGTGTTGGCAGAGGTCCCTGAGTTGAGGAGAGATGTTACGGCAACTCAGCGGGAACCCCCCGTTAGCGATACTACGAAGGATACCCAGGATGGCGAGGGGGAGGCAGAGACAACACCCAAGGAGGCTAAATATGTGGAAAAGAAGCCTGTTGTTGCTGTTTCTAAGCATCTCTGTGGAGGTGCTACAGATATTACCCTTAAGTGCCTCATCAACTACCAGAAATCGTAAGTTTTGAAGACTTTTCATTGTCATGGTTCACGAGGAGACTTGCCAGAATGCGGACCAAATTCCTAATTAATGTCATTTTTCTGCCATTCAAAAAGTGAGACGGGTCACAGCAAACTGGCTTCGCCTGTCAAGGGAATCTTGATTGCTCTCTGCTGCCATCAACTCTGCCACCACTACATGTACCCCAACCAGGAGTTCCTGAAGGAGATCGATATCAGCCCCGAAGAATTCGTGTACCTGACCCGTATGAGCAGTTGGGCTGTTTGTGTGAACCAGACCCAGACCAAGTCAGAGACTGCCGATGAGGAGGGGACTTCAAAAAAGCAGGCTATTGGTGGTGATGATGAGCATTGCATTGTTGCCGACAAGGAGCTGGACCAACTTGGGTAACTATTATCTTTTTTTTGCTCAGTCCTGTATGAATGCATTTTTCGTACAAACACTAACTATTGTCAATTGATTTGGGTGGTTGTAGATCGAATATTGCGCTGGATTTCCAGGGACGGGAGAAACTTGGCCTGCAGTGCAAGCGGTTGCTGGATATCGGTCGTGTGCGGTACTTGAAGGAGCATGGATATGACGCCGAGTTGGTGTACTACGTCGACAAGGAGACCTCGCTCGAGAACCTTGCCCTTATGGCCGTGCCTTCAACTGCCTCATCGTCATAGAATGATACGCCTCCAATTAAAAATGATCGGACCCGAACCATAGATCAGCTACGGCACTGAATGGGCGAAGGGTATGCACGTGACTTGTCGGCCGAAAGAGTAGATTAGCAACCACTTTTTTTGCGATCGATCGATTGTTTTCCATTCATTTCTCTTCTCTTCTCTCCACTTCTCTCCACTCCACTTCCTTTCAACAGACACACACATCCTCCACAATGAGTCGCAACGTGAACAACTGGTAACGTCTACCCTCCTGCAGCTCTCTTCGTTGTCTGATTAAGGCTTCACCGAAATCTACTTTTTGAGCGTTTGCATGGCTGACTAAATGATTCTCCTTTTGTTCCTGTCCCACCCCCTCCCTCCTCCTCTTCAACTATCCCTCAACTTGTCATTCTCCCTCGGACCACCCACCTATACTTTCACATACTTCCCCATAGGCACTGGGTTGACAAGAACTGCATCAACTGGGCTAAGACCTACTTCGAGACCGAGTTGAGCGGCGTCACCACCGAGGCCAACGGCGCCTCCGTTAAGACCCTCGCCGTCACCTCCGTCACTGGCGATGTTGATGTCAACCAGCGCAAGGGCAAGATCATTACTATCTTTGACGTTGCCATCTCCCTGACCTTCGAAGGTATGTAAGAGATATGATGTTTTGCAGTGGATGCCGCTTTGACCTTTTATGATTTGTGGAAGGAATAACAATTGGAACCTGAATCGCTTACCAATCGCACTTTTTCCTTTTTGTTTCGATATCAGGTACCACTGCTGACGGCACGGCTGTTACTGGCAAGATCGAAATCCCCGAGGTTGCCCACGATACCGATGAGGATGACTATGTCGTAAGTCCCTAGGAAACAATTGGACATGGCGTTCTCTCATTGTTTGTAAAAACGTGGTCCAGGAATAATTGGACAATGACAGACTCAGGTTAACTAATAACTATTCGTTGGTATTATTTTAATGTAGTTTGATGTCAGCATTGATGCCGATAGCAGTGCAAAGCAGCCTGTTAGGGATTTGATCCGCAAGTCCTTGGCTCCTCTTCTCCGCAAGAAGTTGTCTGTCTTTGCCATCGACCTTATCAAAGGTAATTTATCTGATCAGGATATTTTGGGAGAACAAGGATCATAAGGGATGGCATACCATTGGACTCGATAATGTAAAGTGAAAACAAGCGAAAGAAATGAGAGAACAGTAGCGAGAAAGGGAAAGAAAGAGGGATCGGTGGTTACTCGATCAACGTTCGATCGGGAAAAGAAGAAAAAAATGAAAGGATGGAAAACAAGGATTCGAATAACAAAGAACAAAGAACAGAGAAACTAATACCTTTTTGGTGTATGTCTGTTATTACCGTTCGAATGTAGTTCACGGAAAGGATGTACAGATTGAGGGAGAGGCGTCCAAGCCCTCGACTCCTGTTCCCACCCCTACTCCTTCCCCTGCCCCCAGCGCCAGGTCTGCTTCCTCTGCTTCCTCTATCCCTGCTGCAGCCCCCGGTACTGTCAACACTACTACCTTGGAGGACACTGTGGAGTTGCAGGCATCGGCACATGACATTTACGATGTACTTTTGAACCAGGCCAAGGTCCAGATCTGGACGCGCAGCAACAAGTCGACGATTGAGGCCAAGGTTGGTACCACGTTCAGCCTGTTCGGTGGCTCTGTCACGGGAGAGAACAAGGAGTTGGTCGAGGACAAGAAGATTGTTCAGAGCTGGCGTCAGAGCTCATGGCCCGCAGGTACGTTCGATCACTTTTGATCACCTTTGATCACCTTGCGCGACTATTTTGCTTCTTTGTTTGATCACCTTGTGAAACTATTTTGTCTGATCAATTAATTTATTGCAAGAGCGAAGGGGCCAAGGTATGCAGTTGCATTCAGGAGAAAGAAAAAGATGATACTCAAATATAACTTGACCCTTGCTCAAATAGGCCACTACTCGACGGTGACGTTGGAGATCACACAAAACGCCAACTCGACGGCAATCAAGGTCAAGCAGGAGGGCGTCCCTGTCGGAGAGCAGGATACCACCCGCCAGAACTGGAGCAACTATTACTGGGCCGAGATCAAGCGCACATTCGGGTACGTAGGACTTGTCACTACTTCCACTGCCATGTCTAATGATGCTAAACAATCACGATCGCAATCGGACAAGAAGCAGAAGCGTCGTCGTCGGACTGACAGCAAGAAGAAGAGGACCACCGGAGGAGGTGCTGGTGCTGGAGTGTACACGGGAGCTGGACTCGCTGTATTGACCGCCTTTGCCCTTGGATTCTGGTTTTCTAAAAAATAAAAAAATCTCCTTGTTTTTCTTATTGTTGATAGTTTTGGCGCCGGTCTCTAAATATCTCGCGGGAGAAAGGATAAGTGCGCCCGCCTGCTTTACGCCCTTTTGTTCTATTGCGGCGAGGCGAGAAGGAAGACTTGGCGTAGACGGCTTTAATTTTTCTTATCACAACAACATACACCATAAATGGGGACTAAGTGGATCCCACACCTTGGAGGTAGTCCCAACAACAAATAACTCTCAATTCTCTTTTTTTTTTGCTATTCTTTTTGGCGACAATAAAAACTATTGACAAAAAGCTCATCGGTTGAATGTTTTTGGTGTTCTGAAATGGTATGAAGTGCAGGGCTGATCGACAAAGACGATATGGAGTGTGCATTCCCATGTGGCAGTCTGGCCCCTGCCAATGGAATATCAAATGTCTGCGTGCGGCTGCAGAGCACCAGAACACAAGGAATTGTTTGGACATCGTACGATTTTCGGTGTAGGAATAATCACCCCACCCTTCTCCTTCCTTAAAAGCGGAGATGGTATGCATCTGATCTCTCTTTCTTTCCTTCCTTCCCCTTGTTCGTCTTTTCTCATTTCGTTCTTCATCCTCTGATCGCTTTTACATCCCTTTTTCTAATAGTCTCATTCATTATGGCTATTGAACGCAAAGTCGCCATCGTCACAGGCGCCAACTCGTAATGCATCTCCTGTCCTCACTACCAAACCAACTAATAGTGATACAATAACCATTACCCCTTGAACATAATCCTAATTAGTCCTTCCTTTCTTTCGGTCTGATAGAGGAGTAGGGTACTCGATTATTCAACGCCTGGTCGACGAATCCCCTTTTCCCCTTACCATCATCCTCGCCTGCCGGAACAAATCCCGTGCCCAAGAAGCCCTCACCTCTCTCCAGCAACACTTCACCTCCTCCTCCTCCTCTTCCTCCTCCAAAACTCGCACCACCCCAGAACTCAAAATCGAACTAGTTGACGTCGGCAGCGCAACCTCCGTCCTCGCATTCAACGCCCGGATCCTGGCCCAGCATAACAGAGTCGATTTCCTGTTCTGTAATGCGGGCATCTTGCCGAGTGTGGGGTTGATGTGGGGGAAGATTCTGACGGATATGTTTAAGGCCCCCATGGATCTTGTGACGAGGTCGGATGTGTTGGTGCAGCCGAAGCAGCATCTGACGGAGGATGGGGTTGGGAATGTGTTGGCTTGTAATGTCTTTGGGCATTATCTTATGGTAAGAGTTGATGACAGGGGGAAGCGGAGGATTGTGTTGTGTTGTGAAGAATATGTTTAATCACGATCATGGTTACTGACAACAAACATGATATTCTCTCAAAAAACGAACAAACAATTAGATCAAAGGATTGGAAGATGTACTGAGCGGGACGGAGGAAGAACCAGGAAGAGTCATCTGGACGGGATCATTGACGGCTGAGAAGGCCAGTTTCAGGATCGATGATTGGCAAGGACTTGAGGCCGTCCAGCCATACGAGTCTTCAAAGTGGGTCACGGATCTGCTGGCCATTCGATTGAATGAGCAGTGGGCTGGTTCTTCTGACGAGGACGTGACATCTGTTCATTCTGTAGGTGGAGATGCGTCATCAGCGGCTTCTTCGGGATCGGAGACGGGTGGGGTGAGCACATCTACCAGGAGAGTCACTCGGTCCGCATCCAAGTCCGTCCTTGTATCCAACCCCACCACCCCTACCACCACTACTCCAAGGAAGCACATCATCTCACTCTCAACACAACCAGGAGTAGTAGCCAGCGGTATCGGTGGCCTGGCCGCCTGGATCGTCCTCCTCCGCATAGCCCTCCACTACGTCGTCCGGTTCTTTGGTGAACGCAACCAAACCATTACCGGTCACCACGGCGCACAGTCGAACGTGTATGTTGCGTTGAAGCAACCGGTGGAGAAACTGGATTATAGGTACAAGTATGGAAGTTGTGTGAGGAATCTTGGACAGGAGTTTTTGAAGGTTGAGAGGGTTGTTGAGTATGAGAGGGGGCAGGCGGAGGTTGTTGTGGGTAGGTTGGAGGCGTTAAGGCAGGAAGTGCTTGCGAAGAAGGAGTAGGAGAGATAGATAGATAGAGAGTGTGTGTGCTTAATATACCATTCAGAGTTGTTTTTTTTTTTGTTTAGCTGGACGCCACCAAATCTTGTGGAAGGGCCTTGCAGATCTTCCATGCTGTTAGCAAAAACACAGCCCTCTAACACACAACCATCATCAACGTGCGCCAAGATTCATTTGCTTCATTAAATAAATTATATGCTTGCATAGAGAAAAAAAAAAAAAAAAAGGAGGGGAATGTACTAGTCGTTCAGTTGTTATCGATCTCGCGACGATCAAGATCGCCGTTTCGATCGAGCAACTTGAGCCAGACGGCGAGCATCGCGCCAAAGAATCCAATCGCCGCAAAGAAGATTTCGGTGTAGGTGTACACCATCGGGTCGACTGTCATCAGTTTCGCGACCACCATGGGCAGGACGACGAACGAGAGGTTGTACGCCGATGTTAAGATACCGCTATTTTGTAGGTTACATGTATTATCCAAGGTGGGGAAATAGGATGAAGGGATTGAGAAGTGAGTGGTTTGTACCCTGTGAGGCGACCAACTGGCTACTCGAGAGAAAACCAGAGGGAAATAACGTACTAGGCGGTGGCCGTCTGGTCGCTGCGGACGAGGACGGGGACGGCGCTAGAAAAGATGGCGCCGATCGCAGAGGAGACACCTAGGGAGATGAGGAAGGGAAAAGGGTCCTTGATCTTGACGACACCCAAGAACACGTGCGCGGTGCCTGTGATTAGTCCACAGAGGATGAAGAGCCAGGACTTTTGGCCGTAGTGGTCTACAAACCAGCCGACGGGGAGGATGAGGACTCCTGCTAGTAGGTCTGGTATCGTCATGATCTGGGCAGCTATTTGAATGAAGGTAATGGTTAAGTATATCGCAGTCAGTAAGGTGGACTACAAAGATGAATATCGAAGGGGAGAATAAAAGAGAAAATAGACGGACCTTTGAGAGGGTCGCCAGGGTACCAGCGCATTTGGAGGAAGCCGGCATGGATGCTGTTGAAGGGAACAATGATGCCGACCAGCAGGAACCCTATCACGAACAGGATCCAGAAAGACAACGAGTAGTCAAAGAGCGGATGGAGTTGACGGATACACTTTTGCAAGGTGGTTTCCTTGTCAAGGTGGCCGCCATTGGGACGATGGTTGAAATGCTTGAGATGGCCGTTCATTCGCTGCATTGTGATGTCCTGGATCGAAGGAGGGGCACCCTGTTTGAACGAAGTGTTGGCATGAGAGAAGGTATCCAAGGAGAGTCTAGCATCGATCATGCAGCTGGAAGGACGCGACCGTTCCAAGGGGACATTCTCAGGACGGACATGAGCTCCGAACCGAAGATCTGTGGCCACCAGCACAAGCGCCATCGCCAACGAAAAGACACACACAAAAAGTCCGCACCAAAACGCAAAGGGGACTGAGGATTTGGACCAGATAATAGGCGTGACAAAGTCATTCATAACACCACCCATCCGACCCACACAAAGATTGATCCCTAGAGCCATAGCCAACTCCTTGCCTCGAAAGTACTTGACCGTAATCGCCGACTGGGCAACCGCCAAACTCTCGGCCGCTCCAAACACCACCCTGCCAAGAATCATAATCCCAATGTTGCGTCGCTCAAGTCCCAAACAAACCACCAACTGTCCCAGAACCACGAATATCGAAAGAACAATCAATAGCTTGTTGTGCCCGAAACGGTCTGCGGCGTATCCACCAAGCCAGGGGAGGATGACATTCGGGATCGAGTAGGTCGTGTAGAGTAAATTCAGGAAATATGCGAATTGGCCATCAGTCATGCGCATGTATTCCTGAAGCGGCTTGTTGAGAACTGCCGGGTTGTCGAATGCAAAGTAGTTGCCAAACATGATGAGGCAGGCGGTGGCCAGTATCGGCCAGCGGACTGATCCTCCTGCCTTGATGGGGACCAATGGTGAGGAAGTATGGTCGCCTTTGACGTCATTGCCGGATTTGGGCTTGACGATTGTGTTGACGGTCTCGGAGGAGGGGGAGGAAGAGTGCTGGGTGAGCTCTTCAATGTTGGTGGGTGTTGCGGAGAGTCTTCTGGCACCCCTGCCACCACCGGCTGTCCAGGTACTAGGGACGTGTGGAGCGTGCTGAGGATTGTCCATGTGTACTTAGGGGAAGGGTGAAAGGCGGTGTGTTGAGTTCCTTGCTGTGAGGGGTTGATGAGGTTCTGGGAAGAAAATAGGAAAAGAAGGAAGAAGAGGAATGGAAGGTGGAGAAGGGATGGACCTCTAGCGCGGCTGTCTCGGTGTTTGGAGTATCAAATGGTCCGTCAAGGCAATTCAGTAGCGAGTGCAAGGGCTGGCAGTATAGGTAAGTGACCCCACCATTGGCAGTAGCGAAACAACGGTTGTCCGTTTGGATAACATGTGGTGCGTGCTTGTGTGGGGATGCATTGTTGTCCTTCGTAGAAAAGAGTAAGAGAAATTCCAATGCACTTTCTAGTCATTTGCATTTCTCTAACTCTCGTTTTGTTCTTTTGACTGCGTTTGACAATTCGGACTCCTTCGTGCCTTAGCCTTACTACTCTAGGACAAGTACTGCTCGCTTCCTTTCTCACTTTACTTCCTTCTTCTTTACACCACACATTTCATCCTATCCTTCTCGTCTTTTCCATTCTTCACGACAACCAATTACCCACTCCTCTACGGCTATCTCCCTCTTTCTCCTCGTACTAACTCGCTCATACACACACTCACCATGACGGCTACTGTCTACCACGAGAAGGGCCACATCGAAGTCGGCCGCACCCGCGACAAGAAGGTCCCCCTCAAGCTTTACTACGAAAAGATTGGAAACGGCCCTAAAAAGCTCCTCCTCCTCATGGGTCTCAACTCACCCGGAAGCGCATGGGACACTGTCGTACGTCTTCATTGCATTGCATTCGTAGTTGCATGTGCATTATGTTCTCGCTGTGAAGGCATTGTGCAGCTTCATTCCGTCCTTCTTTGCCACAGGGGAAGGGTTGTTTCTAAAGAAAGCCTTGTTCGTCAATTGTATCATACTACTAGGTGACCCACTTTGCCAAGAACCCCGAGTACACCACCGTCTTCTTTGACAATCGAGGAGTCGGTTTCTCCGATGCTCCCAAGGGCCTCTACTCGTATGTCATTTACCTATCCACATCTCCTCTTAGATTTCGACTGCCTGTTCTCTATCTCTCTCTATTTATCCCCACCCCTAATTGACATCTCACTCCCTTATGCTCATTATCTTCCGACCCTCTTCTCTTTCCCAAAACATAGAACCTCACAGATGGCGCAGGACACACTGGAGCTTCTGGATGGTCTTGGATGGACCAGCAACGTGCATTTGGCAGGAGTCTCGATGGGCGGCATGATCTCCTTGGAACTGGTTCTCGCCGACCCTAAGCGGTTCTCATCGTTACTACTGACCTCGACCAACGCTGGACGATCCCCTCCTCAATTGGTGACGATTTCGTTCTTGTCGCGTGTTATCCTTATCAAGGACCCTCGGCTCCGCATGAAGCTCGTTTCAGAGACTCTTTATCCCAAGGTACTTTTACACACATGTTGTTATGCTACTCTTGTGTAATCATGGCGTGATAAGTCGTGGTTTGGTGGAGAAGTAGAAACCATGCACCACAATTGTCTTGGCAAAAGAGAAGGGCATGTTAGAGTGATTGTCTGGGTCGTCATACCTGTATTTTCAAGGACAGACAGCCCGCTTTGCCTTGCGCCCTCCATTCAAAATGTGATCGAGGAGATTGAAGAAATTTGCGTTGACAGATCGTGGAAAGAGAACCGAGCGCTCACATGTCTCCTATAATGAAAAGAAAGTACTAACAGGCCGCCCTTTTTCTCATTCGATAGTCGTGGCTGGAGGCAGCTTCTCCTAAGGGATCGCCCTTCAAGAACAACCAGGAGGTTGTTGTCGACGTAAGTCCCTGATGCACTCTATGGTCCATGCAACCTATGAGAAAGCCCGCTTGTCTCAAATTACCTCATAGAACAGGATTTCGCATTTGTTCACGGCCGATTGTTTACCCATTCAACTACCGCCATAACTAACATATGTGTTATCACTCACACTCGTGCAATAGTCGTTGACAAGGAGGTTCGCAGAGTCACCAGCGCAACCAATCCACTCCAACATCGCCCAATCCTGGGCCGCACTCTTCCACCACGTCAACTCCACACGTCTCGCCCAAATCCGTGCCTCCGGTTTACCCATCTTGGTCGTCACAGGAACTCGGGACAACTTTGTTCGTCCCTCGGGATCATACCATTTGGCAAAGGAGCTTGGATGCCCTCTTGTTGTGTTTGAGGGCTCGGGACACGCTTTGCCGGGTGAGCAGACAGAGACTTATTGTCGGTTCATTGAGGAGTTGAACACCAAGGGCAAGGATGGTATCTTTGAGCTTGTTGCCAAGAGCGAGGTGTAGGAGTTGTTAATGTTAGAGAGAAAAAAACCCCGATTAGCGGTTGTTGATATCTTTCGAGTTCTGGATATTTGATACCCTTCTCCTTCGGTACAAGCTTATGGTAGACACTTGGGGGACGAAAATAAAAAGAATGGAAATGTAGCATTATGGGTTTATTAGGTTTCTAAATGTGTACTTGGTATTAATAAGGGAAATGTATTGGAAGGTATGAAGAGACACGAAAGAAAGGTGTGAAGAACGACGAACAATAGGGTATGAAAAAACATGAAGGATATGAAGAGACACGAAGGACAGGTATAGTAAAGACAAGAAGGAGAGGTATGAAACGACAAGAATGAGAGAGACAAATGATAGGCATGAGAAACATGAAGAAAGGCCGTGAATGAAAGAGAGGAGGCCCACGCTCAAGCAAGTCCAAGTTTGGACTTGAGAGACTTCTTGGGCGAAGGAAGCAACGAGGATTCGGTAGGGAAGGCATCATCTTCGTTTCCGCAATGGTCCCATGGTCGTGATGCCAGCGCAACAGGAAGCACCCTATGATGACGTGAAAATGCCAAGGCAGTATTAAATTAGTTTCACGTTTTCTCAGTGACGCATTACATAAGTGCACAACGAATTAATTAGAACTTACCAGGTGGCAGAGATAACAACACCCTTGCCGGTATCCTGAGTCTTGATCACCGCCCACTGGTACCCAACCCAGGCCGAAATAATCTGGGCAATCGGGACCAACGACGCCAGACCCGGGATCGCACTAACAGTCGTACTCAGGAACCCGAAAAAGATCTGGGAGGTGTTGGAGACGCGCTCAATGTTGTCCATACATTTATGGGGGACGTAGATCTCGTACCCCCACCAGTAGGTGTAGGCGCTCATCATGTGGGTTGGTGGGGGGGAGGATTGGAAGGCGATCCATTGGCGGGTTAGGGAGGTGATTGTTGCAGAGATATAGGATGGTGCTGAGGGCGCTGTCAGGTCAGTGATGGAAGAGGATTTGGATTTGGTGGGTGTAGAGGAAGAGTCTGAAGTGGCAGTGGTCGAGGCTTTTGTGGTGGTGAGGAGGCGTTTGAGGGTTGCGGTCTTGATGTTGGGCATGGAAGACTGGCGTTGGATTTGTTTTTGTTGTGTGGAGGGAGGGAGTTCTTTGGGAGACGCGACGGCGGCGGTGGCTAGGAGGGTTGCGGCGGCTTTTGCGATCTGTTCGCCGGTAGAGAGGGATGTTGAAGAGGCGGTTCGTTTGGTCGATGCGGTGTGCTTGTTGTTCTTGTTGTGGGGGGAAGATGAGTCCACTGGCGGTTTCGATTTGGTTTTGGTGTCGCTAATGGTTGCGGTAGTGGGAGTTGATGCGAAGAGGGATCCGAAACTGGTCGATCTGGTAGCGTCGTTTGTCGCAGTCGTCGAGATCTTGGATGGCTTGGGCTTCACGGTCTTTTGCTGTGCTTCCGCCTTCGCCGGTTTGACCGCTGGTGCCTCTGGAGATGGGGCGCCGGAGGAAAATAACCATGACCCGGCAGTAGCGATGGCGCTCTTACATGACTCGGGGTCAACAACCCCCGTCAACTGGTCATTACTCTTTTGTGTCTCCCAGGCCCACGTCTTCTCAACCTTATCCCAATCCTCTCCTAACTTCTCGTCCTCGTCGACTCGTTTTTGTTTCTTGGCCGATCCCGCTGCGTTGGCGTCCTTAGTCTTGGGCTTGTCCTGGATGAGGAGCGAAAGAACGCTCTGCTGACTCGAATCCCGGGAATGCGCCTTCCTCCCCTCCTTCTTGCCTATTCCCGCACCTGCAGCAGTCTTCGAAGGATCAGGCATAGCCTTCAACAACGAAATAATCTCATTTACTTGCGCAGGGTTCGCAAGCTGCAAAGCCTTCACAACTTTCTTCTTCTCTTTTGTGTCCACCAGAGCCTCATGATCAAGTCCCAGGAAGGAGGTGTGTAATGTGGGAGAGGTAGTTGAGGATGCTGAGGGGGTTGAAAGTGAGTTGAAGGCTGAGACTAAGTCTATGATGAACGTTGTGTATGGTTGTGCTTGGGTTGGTATAGGAGGGGATGGGGGGAAGATGTCTTTGGAGGAGGGACGGGATGTGGATTTTTTGGGTTTGAGGGTGTGGTATTTGTGGATGAGGGTTGTTGACATGTCCATCTTTTGTTTATGTTGAGTGAATGAGTATGTGAGAAGTGGTGAGAAATGAAAGGTAAAAGAAGGAAGGGATGCTGAACGAAAGTAGATAATGAGGATGAAGAATGGATGAAGAAATGGGCAATTGAGAAGCAATCCTCATCCTTTTATGCAAAACCACTCCAAATCCCAATGAACATTGCATGAAGGTTGCAAGGGACGGGAAGAAGGGGGGGATGTATGTAGGGGTAAAAAGATAGCTTCTTTCACGTTCCTTCGGCAAGATGCATATGAAAAAATTCAAAAGGAGGGACGGGAGGATTGTGAATTTCCCTTTGGTTGGTAATGCAGTGCCCTTCTTGAGTCGGGCGATTTAAATTGAGAGTCGTACAAAACAAACGGACCATGTGGTGGAAGGTACGCGCACCTGGGTCAGAAATGCAATCAAGAGAAGGGAAGGAGAAAAGGGATAGAGTTTATCGTTTGCAGGGTGGCAAGGAGGAATGCGATGAGTCGAATCGTCGCTGTATGGGGTTTAAGGAGTAATGACGCTGTGAACGAACGGATGCCTGTTTGTGTTTATTTTGTGAGCAACAGGGCATGTGTGACCAAAAGCTGGAATGGGAGAGAGAGATCGGGAAGAGTTTCGTAAGAGCTAGTTGAGCGGGTTCATGTACATACATGACCATACATACATTTCTCCCCTCTTTTGACCCCGTGCCTGAATTTTTGACTCACCCAGGACCCGGCCCTTTTTTTTATTTCACAGGAACGAGCCCTGATCATAAGGTTTAGCTACTGAAGATTTTGTTGGAAGGATCGCATTGTGGTTGCTCTGATATGTATGTTTGTCATAGACCAATTGCACTGTTCAAAACAAGCATTCGCATTCGACCATAGTATGCTACCTTTTCTTCATATCCCTCGACTAAGGTCCATGCGAAACGTGGCTCTAAAACACAAGGCCAACAGGGTTGAAGCAATCTCATGTCAACTTTCAGATGTCAATTGTTTTAGAGAATGATAAGAATGAAGCAGAAGCATGCATTAACAATGTCATGAACGAGGAGAGGGGTCTTTCAAGGCTCATAGTCATCCTTGATCGGACAGTCGACAGGGCAAGTAGGCATCGCCAAGTTACTGACCACGTTTTCTTTTGTCCCGCTGCCTCTTCTCACTATTACCGACGTCATTTTTTTTGGGCTCTGAGGGTTACACACCTACCACAACAAAAAAAATGGCTGTGGAGGAGGGAAGACCAAGGCGTGACTCAGAAAAACGTCAAGTTGATACAGCAGCAAAAAAATGCCAAGCTAAGCCATGGTATGGCTAATGCAGTCCCTCTCTTCCCTCAGGACTCCTTAAGCGAGTATGGGCACTAGCAAAATGCCTTTCCTGACGCGTGAGTGAGAAAGAACATATCCCTCCCACTCCTCTACCATGTTCAATGGAGGCTCATGGTCAAAAAGACTCAGGGGCACGAGAAAAAAAAGTACAAACCATTGGACAGGCCCTTAAGCTCAAGAAGGAGAGGCATTTGGAAAAGGGGGGAGTAAAAGTCTCTTCATTCGATTACACATAGCCCCCGAAGAGGGGGGTGGGAAGAGAGATGTACGTGAGTATGAAAAAAAGCCCACAGTCATTTCGCACGATGCCGCTTAAAAAAAACTCTCCCTTTACTTCCTCTCATTTCTTTCGTTTCTTTATTTCGTATCAAGTGCGCATGGCACGCGTACAATCATTTCATCGACAAGAAAAGGTGGAGCAGGTAAGTATGAGGTTGAAATGCGGTTGAGTGATTCGAGCAGCACATGGTCATATCGAAGCAGGTTCTTGTCTGAACCAGAATATAATGTAGCGCAAAAAGAAAAAATAACAGTTCCATAGAGAAAAGGGTCCGCGTGGGGGGGTTTTTTTTTCATTTTTTTTTATTGAGTCCTCTTAAGTTTCTAGAGTAGAGATACTTCTTGTGGATTTCTTAATATCTCAAAGCTGATCGCTACCGCTGAGAGTGTGTTACTCCTACGGTCCTACCGTTTCGTCCCTTGGAATGTATTAGTGAGACCGTGCAATACTCAAGTACAGAAAAATGTAGGGTTTGAGAACGGTCGAGATATCGGAGTCGCTGAATAGGGACAGCGTTGACGTCCCGCATTCAAAAAGAACGAGTACTGGAGTAGGGCGATGACAAGTAGATAGCATTGAAAATTGAAAGATGGCGCCAGCCCACTAAACATAAGAACGACGGATGTCGAAGGAAGGGAACGAAGAAGAGTCAAAATCGTGGGATTCGCTCATCCACTTTCCGTGCTCTTATTACTGTGCCAGAACCAGCTTAAGGAGTTTCCCAGCCCCGCACCATTTGTGTTACGAAATATTCCATTCACCCTTCCCACACAGCTGAATAAACACAAGTGGCCGCCACTTTCGCCAAAATGGCGATAAAACGCGAACGTGACAAAGGATTGGCAGTGCGAAGAACAGACAGAAGGCAAAAAAAAGAACCCATCGTCTTTTTTTTACCTTTGGCTCCTTGTGCAAACCCCTGCCTTTTCCCCTTTTTTTTCTCTTCTTCTTCTTCTCTCCTTTCTGCCTCCTCCAAGACGTTGTTTTCATGTCTCCCTACAGCTCGCCCTTTGTTTTGATCACTCAACTCTCTCCTTGCCACTGTCCAATGTCTCCCAGGACTCGAGCTATCATGCCTTTTTTTTTTCCTTCTTCGCTCTCACTGGCCCAACGAGAGAAGGGGTACGACTCTCTCTCTCTCTATCTCTCTTTCGTCTGTGTGAGTATGCATACGGCAGAGCGAACCAATGAAGGTGGGATATTCGTGCTTCACGTCTCTCCTTTCAATGGAGTTCTCTTTTTTTTTTTGTCTTTGCCCCTAGAAGAGAAGGCTCAACGGCAAACATGATGCGAGAGGGAGGAACGAGGGGAAAACTAAGGAAAAATACAACGAAAGGCGATGAAGATAAACGCAAACGCATGATGAGCTCAAAGTACGCATTGTGAAGGACCCAAAAAACTCAAATACAGTACAATCATCCACTCGTCCAACGTATCGATACTTTACTCAATTCAAACGACGGTATTGAATACTGGAAGGAAGAAGCAAGTGGGTCTGCTGATAAAACTCAAAACAAAAAACAAAGAACGAGTACCTTTCTTTGCCATTCCCATTGTCAGCCCTTATGCTTCTGTCTCTTCCCTTCCCCTCTCCAAGTGGTATCGAAGTAAAGTATGGCGAAACCTATTTTTGGATCCATGAGATTGACTAGACAGAGAGTCAACCCAGAGTGTGTGTGTATGTGTATGTGTATGTGAGAAGAAGAAGAAGGGGACAAAGTAAGTAAGATCCGATTCGAGGCAGCAGGGTGTTGTAAGTTGTTTTCTTAATATCGCGTACAACAAGGGGCGGCGATTGTGAGAAGGTTTAAAGTGTTGTTTGTATTGAGGGCAGCTTGCAGCATGTTTTTCTATCCACAGGTATTTTTTCCATGTAAGTGCTGTGATTTCCTCTTTTTTGTATGTGTACAACACATTCGCCTGCCTTCATCGCCGTTGGCCCATGGTATATGTCTATGTCATTGATCCCATCAGCGAGTGATGAAAAATAATTTCCTCGCGCGGTCTGTCCAATGGGGCGAAGGAGGCGAAGATCTAGGTTGAGACTGCGGCGTCAATTTGATTTGAGGACGCGTCGAGTTAGAGTGTCTAGGTTGACTAAAATGGAGACAAGGGTAGTAGCAGAGAGAGAGAGAGAGAGAGAGAACAATGAGAGAGAATGACTGACGCTTCATTTCGCATAATTGCAAAATCGGTACAAACAGAGGAAAAGAGAAAAAAAAAAAGAGTGACAAAAGGACACAACAGACAAGCAGGGTTGAGCATGCCATTGACACAACAACGGCCGAAGTATTATCAGTGTGATAGGGATGAAAAGAAGACAAGAAGACAAGTACGAAATGAAAGAAAACAGCCGAAAGAAGGTGAACTTATAGAGGCAATGTCGCACGTAAATTCGGACATGGAAAGGTAAAAAAAGAACGACAAGGGCTGAGTGACCAAAGAGACAGTGGCATTGTCCTTTTGCCACCCAACACCACCACACTTCACACTAAATCAGAACCACCTGTCAGTCTCGGACAATGCAACAACGTAGGAACGGGGCTGCGGCCACTATACGGAAGACTGGCAGAGGCCTCATTTTATTCGGTCAGGGTGTGATGCATTACCTCTTTTCACGTCGCTTCTTCTTCTTTTCACATCGCTCACTCCTCTTCCTACCCTTCTTCCTTCTCGTTCCCTCCTCTTTTATCTTCTCCTCTCTTCTCTTCCCTTCTTTCCCCTCTTCCACTCTTCTCTTCTTTCTTACGTTATTCCTGCTTCTTCCTTTCTTTCTGTTATTCTCTTCGTTTCTCTCTCGCACACCCAAATTCGCCTCCCCCCTCTCGCCAAGTGTATCGATTCTGGTTGGTCCTAACTTTTCTTGCCCTTTATTTCTTTTGCTTCTATCCCTCCTTTCCCTTTGCTTTCTTTCCCTTTCCTCCTACCTGCCTGCCTTCCTTTACTTGTTCTTCCTTCTCCTCCCCTTCTTTATGTCCTCCTTACTCGCTCTGAGCAAATACCGTCAAAAGCCACGTTTCTTTTCATATCCTTCCCCTCGTCTTTAGTTTTCCACGCTACAACAAACACTTTTCGAGGATTACTTCAGCAACAAAAAATACCTGCCCTTGTTTTCGGTGAGGGTAGTGGTCTGATGGCTCATCCGTATGATGAGTGTGAAGAGTGAAATGAGCATCCCTACTCCATGGAGAGAAAGGAGAGGAAAAATCCGAATGAGCTGAGACTGGTCGAAAGCAACCTTCATGAGCGAGGAGAGGGAGGAAGGGTGAAAGTGGAGAGAAGGGAAAGAGAAGGTTCGTTAAAGGGGAGATTCGCGAAAAGAAAATATTCACGCGCAGCTATTTGCATGGCATGGCGTGGCATGGCATGGTCAACAACCAGTTCCTCCTTTCCCACCTCACATCCGTGGCATGGCTCCCTCTCCTGCTTTCTTTCCCCCTGGCATTCTATCCCTTTTTCCTCTTTTTCCAACAATGATATATAGGCATCCATTTGTATCTCATGGCTCCTTTACAATTACACGTACAAAAGGCAGAATAACACCACCATCCACTAGTTCTGCATGCCAGACCTCCTCACCTCCTGCCTCGCCCATGAGGCGAGCAAAGAGGGTTAAGCCTTGCGACTTTTCCTCCTTAACTCTTTTTTCCTCTCTTTCTTGCTTTTGGAGCTACCCCTCTATCATTTTGGATTAATCTGAAAGGGCTTCTTAGTTCCCATACTCATCGCGATGATGACGATGAACGAGGTTGGATTGTCGCGGCTATGAGGAGTGTTGCCGATGATCTAGACCATTTTCAATAAATGAGAAGGGATTGACATCGCTTGATTCCATTCTACCCTGGCAAAGAGAAAGATTGCCAGGGACAGCAGGGATTAACGTTACCTTTCAATGTACTATCGACCTCGTTTGTTTATGTTTGATGTTTATTGTTGAGGTTTGTGTATTTTAAAGGCCTCTTTTGAATGAAGGACTACAAAGCACTCATGCTCTTTTGCCTGACGGTGCTACTCTGTTTCTTCTCTACCCTTTCCTTGTTCTCCTTTACCTTTTGTCCCTTTTTTCCTTTCTTTCTCCCTCTTCTCTTTCCTTCTCCCCCTTCGCCCTCACCCTCGTCTTTCTGTTTCTCTTTGTCTTTCTCGTCTGTCTCCTTCCTCCTTCCTTGCATCGTTCTCTTTTGTGATCCGCCCTGCCTCTCTGTCTGTTCGTCCAGTCCGTCCATCCGTCTCTGTACCCACTGGTTGCATGCGAGTTGGGAGTAGCGGTACTAGTATGTACAGTACTAAGAGTAGCGTCCCTTGTTGCTGTTGTCTATCCTTTCCTTCCCTTTTCTTTATTCAGAGTCCAGGGGACGCATTGCTCAATGTCCAATTGACGTCCTTTATGTGTGTTCACATTGCTTGCACGCATACTCAATCCTGCTTGAATTGATTCGAATTGAGTGGAGTTGAATCGAGACGAATATCGGGTGCCTGAGCCCGATTCTCGCTATATCCTGCACATACCCCATCCACATTCGCAAGGGCAGTCAATGCTAACCCATCGACTACCTTCACCTCTCTCTTTCTCTTTATTCTTCCTCGTCTCTTTCTTCGCCTCTTCTCTCCTCCTTCTCTTACCAGCTCTCTCCTCTAGTTCGTATTCAGTTCCCTTCCCTTTTCCTCCTTTACGCCACTCTCGCTTCCTTCCTTATTACCATCCTTGCCCTTTCTTTCTCTCCCACCCTCCCACCCTTTCTCCCCTTTCCTTTCCTTTTTTCACTTCCCCACCTTGCACCTTTATTCTTACCCACACTTACACTTACAACAGCAACTTTATTACCTTTGTTCACTTCTCATTCCTCATTGCACTGCATCGCACTTTTTCTTCATTCCATCCTGTTTCCTGATTCGTCCCTTTTTTTTTCTACTTTGTACTCCCTCTCTCCACATTTTTTTTTGTTCGTAGTAACGAGCGGTGCATCCAATCCAATTGCGCACACAAATAATAACCACCTTCCTCATATTCTCCGCCTGTGCATATTGCTTGACCCGTGCGCACCTTTCCCTGTTCTTCTCTCAACAGGCCTAAGACAGGATCAACCCCCACGCGTTATTCTATCGTCTTTATTGCTACGGACCCCTGTCAGCCCTCCGGTTTTCCTCCTTGACAAACCTCCCTCTCCATCACCAACCATCATCTATACGCGTCTACATATCTTTTCCCTTATAGCTTACAACACACCGTATAGTACTCCTTCCCACCTCACCACATCGACGCGATACATACACGCGCATATACACTTTCCTACTGCGGAATTACCGCCCTGCCCCTTCCCTTACCAGCCCGTACTGGATCCAACACCTAAAAGCCATCGCAGCCTTTGCCACCCTAACCGACACACTGGCCCCTCGCCTCTTCATTCAGGACACCCTTCACGACTACTCACTTCGGTCGAGTCACCCGCTGCTGAACACCGTTGCCCGCAGTACACGCCTCGCCCAACACTTTTTACTACCACAGTAACAAAAAAAAAACTGCACATCCTCCAACTATCACACAGCTTCGCTCGTTGAGCAGAAAAGCCTTGTCTTTTTTCGACCATTTACTCCGACAAGGAGCTATTGTTGAATGGTTGACACTGAGCCCAAACGACCTTTGACGTCTGGAGTTGCTGATGATATCGGTGCCAGCTTTGGAGTTCCAGGAGACAATCGCCCACATGCCCAGCGGGAGCAAATTAGCCTCGAAGAAGGAGGTGGTGGATATCAGAGAGACGATCATGAGTACAGGAGTCGACATGGCGGTGGTGGGGGAGAGTATGAGGGGGGCGAGGGCGGTCGTATGAGACAAAAGGAGGACGATCCACTTGGCAATGCGGCCATGACCCTTACAGCATTATCTTCTGGCGTAAGGGATCTTGAGAGGAGTGCTAGTCGGTCAGGATTTCAGGGTTTCTCTGGACAGCAGACTGGGGCGACTGAGCGTGGGGCAGAGAGATCTCAAACAGAGAGAGGGGGAGAGAGCATGACGCCATCTTACTCGGAAAGACCCCTGCGTGATTCACAGGAAACGTTTGCGGATGCGACAATACGTGCAGGAGGGGGCCAACGACAGCAGCACCAGCAACAGCAGGAGCAGCAGCAACGGCAACAGAGCGCTATGCAACCGTTAGCATTGCCTTTGCCTCTCTCAGCGGCGATTACTCCATCGTCATCCTCCTCTGCTCTCAACATATCAACCCTAACAGCATCTGAATCAACGTCGCCCATTTCCGCACAAGAGGAGGTAGTCTCACGGGATACCCCAATTACTCCTCAAGGACAACACACTCTGCGCGCGCCAGGAGGACGAATGCAATCCGTAAGGGTTTCTCTGACATTATTGACAAATGTCATATTTCGCTCTACAAGGCGCTAGCGCTAACTGATGCTTGCTTTGTATGTTTCCTTGTAGCTCTCGCACATGTTGAAGGATCGACTCTCTTTGGTGCCGTTCAGAGCAGAACAAGGATGGGATAGAGTCGATGTGGACATGTCTGAGCCGAGGATTACCAGGGAAGAGTTCAGGGAGCCAGCGAGACGTGACGACCTTCAACATTATCACGATTATCATGAAAGGCTTTCGCCCTCTCACCAAGATGAACTTTCGGCCCATCCCAGTCGACTCTTGAGAGACCGACCAAAGACACCCTCGGCAAGCCTTCTACAAGGACAAGACAGGTCGATGGGGCGACAGCAATGGGAGCTCTCACACGATAGTCGATCCCAGCAACATCAGCGGGACTTCCAACAGCGTCTACAGCTGCCCCCCCAGCAGCAGCAACAACAACAACAAATGCAGCAACCACACCATCGCACACTGTCATCTAGTTCAATACGGGATGACAAAGGCCCCTTTCACTGGATGACCCAGATACCGCTGTCGCCTATTATGGACCCGATCGTTGTCAAGCCCAAGCGCAAGTACACCAAAAAGTCGTCGCTCCTCCCTCAGGCCAGAGCAGAGACCCACGGCCAGGTCGACTTGCAGACAAGGCAGGAGAATAACGAGTTGCTCTACTCGGACCGTGGACTAATTCTCAAGACCCAGATCCCAAAGAAAGGAAGGCCCATCTCTAAACACTCAACAACCTCCTCCCAGAGTACGCCGAATTTAACATCCCTTGGCATCCTCCCAGCTAGCCACCATTACTTCTCCAAGGCTGGAACACCCTCTTCGTCGTCTTCGTCTGCGATGTCTAGCTTGGTCGCCGCTGCTGCTGGCCGATCCCCCTCCGACTCTACCTTGAGCACTCATAGCTCTTCGTCTCAGGGGGCACACCCGTCTGTTGTGTCCGATCAGCGAGGTCCAGTGATTTCTCCGACTGGTCGTCGTCCTGGTCGGCCCCCTTCTAACCCATCATTACCTCGTCATGCACACTCCCAGTCATATTCCAGTGGGCCATCCATTTCATTTCCTCCACCTCACTCTGGACAAGCCCGACCCCTTGCAAGTCCAACAGCCCACGAGTTTGACCTACATTTTACACGATACAAAGACCCACAAACCCCACAGGAGTTGGATGATAATCGCTTCTCAGCATATGAGGATCGGTCTCCCACACTCTCTATAGCGACCACCGCTTCTTCGCAACCGTCGTTCCGTCATCACCAGCTACCTGAATACCAAGTCCCAACATCTCGCCGCCGGTACGTGTCATCGCCAATCGACCAGGTGTTCTCTGGAGAGAATTTGGAGCATCGGAATGTGGAGGGTGATCCTCGGTATCCTGAGCAATGGCGCATGACGGTCGATGCACCTTCAGCCATGCCTCCTCGGTCGTTTGCGGAGGGAGTTACAGCACAGATGAATACTCTGAAGCGGAGCAGCTCTGGGATGCAGAAGAGTCTCTCCATGGATGGTCACCATAGCCGATCAATCGAGAACAGGAGGATGACTGTTGGTGGTAGTGGTGTCGGCGGCGGAGGGCGTGGGACGATGGGCTATGGCACGGATGGACAGTTTGAAGATGTTAATGAAGAAACTGGCAGTAATTTTTTTGACGAAGAGTTTGATGATTCTGCGGCCGACGCGCGGTCCAAGAAACGGACCTCTGGATCCGATCTGGATTACTCGGGAGTCGATGGTATTGGCATTGGCAGAGTTGGTAATGCCGATGGTGGTAGTGTTCGAAGAAGTGTCAACCAAAAAGGTGGCAACAAGACATGGCATGGGATTACTTTGGGATCGGAACGACGACGACCACGATCGCTAGTGCTGCCTCGTGGTCGCGGAGAACCTGCGTTGCCTTGGACGAACATGCTTGATTCAGGGTTAGGGTCAGGATCGAGGTCAGGTTCTGGGTCCATGGTGGGAGTGCTACCTGGTCAGCGGCATTTGGAGATAGACGACGACGAGATTGATTATCATGAGATGATGATCCTCACCCCCGCCATTGCACCCGGTCCACCATCACCTCCACCGCCTGCTGCACTGCCAAGTTCGAGTAACTCGTTGATGATACTCGGCGGTACAAGAGGAAAGGGTCGTGGCGGTCGTTCGATGCATAGTCATGCACAGTCACTTGATATCAGCTCCTTCTCCGCGCCCTCTCACCATGGACATCGGCCACTATCGCCATCTAAACTCGACCATCCTTCTCGGCACGATATGTACTCTACTAAGGAGCTGCTTCCTGAACAACAGCGTGCGTTGACGTCCGGCCGTCGTCTCTATGCGTCCTCGTCGAGTTCTCTTAACTCCCCTCCCTTTGGCGACACTCTTTCCATTAGTGAGTTGATCAGTCTCATTGCTAATCAATGTTCCGCCACCAATCTTCTTCGAGACGTTGTCGCTGATTTGATTTTTTATGTTCTTTTCCATAGGGAGTGATCAAGGGATTTTTAACATGGATACCCGAGGAATCCCTTCAAGCACCGACCACCGCGGATACAACCACCTTGACACCACACCACCACCACCCATCGCCACCAGAGCCGATATCCTGGCGCGAGAGATGATGTCTGGAACACACTCAATTCCCTCCGGAGGTAGTAGCGGTCGTGGCAGGGGTCAAAGAGGGTCATCGCACGGACATAACCATTTGAAGGCAGCGGTGGTCAAGAGATCAACGTCCAGGCGTGGGCCGGGTCCTCATCTCAAGAAACATCAGATCTTGCAGCAGCAGTTGTACCAGATCCAGCGAGATCAGGAAGAGATGGACTTGCAGATGGCCTTGCAGCTTCAACAGCGGCAGATGCAGCAACAGCAGCAGTTGGAGCAAGAGCAGGAGCAGGAGCGGCAGGGGTCAGAACAACAGAGGAAGTTGAAGCAGCAGAAGCAGCAGCAACAACAGCGAAGGTCGCTATATTCTCAGCGGCACCAGCATTCTCAGAGTTTGCAGTTACAGCATGAGTTTTCTTCGCCCGAGCTTAACCTTCAGCAACAGCAGCAAGAGCAGCAGGTACAGCCTCGGCCAGGACGCCCGACCAAGCAGAGGGTCCTCCTTCGTTCTGAAAGTGCAATGGCCATTCTGCATGGTATGCATTCACCCCCACTAAGATCGAGTCTTTCCCAAAGTCAGTCGCAACCATCCCTCTCCCAATCAGCAACAGCAATCACCTCTTCTAATTCATCTACATCGACGCCTCAACCGCCTTCACGACGTCGTCAGAACCAACAACAACCCATCCTCCTCCGTCCAGTCTCTCTCCCTTCTCTCACCGGTAGCAGTGGAAACGGTGGTGGTGGCAGTGGCAGTGGAGCAGGCGGAATGGACTCTGGATCGTCACCTCCTTATTTAATGAACCACCCCCCGCCCGGCCAACCACTCTTCCGATCCTTACATGCGCCGTACTTGGTATCGCCTTCTAGTCTTGTCAGCGTGGCTTCGAATGCGAGTAGTAGCACGGGAACTACAGGGACTGAGGTTACTCTTGCAACTTTGGAACGTGGTCGAGGCGGTGGCGGTGAGAGGGACGAAGAGGATGAAGATGGTGACGGGGACAAGTCGAGGGGGCCTTCTTCGCCTGTCAAGTTTCCTCATATCTCGTATTCGACAACTCCTCCTTTGACGACTGGATTGCGGCTGTTCACACCGCCGTATAGTCATCGCGATAGCCAAGGGTACCCCCCACACCCTCAACCCTACCAACCTCACCACCACCACCAACAGCAGCAGCAGAGCAACCACCACAACCACCAACAGCATCAGCAGAGCAACCACCACAACCATCATCACCACCCATACCAACGCCCTTCTCACCACAGCGTCAACACAAGCAGCAACAGCAGTATCGCATCCCTCCACCAAGATACCCTTAACCCCGACAGCAGTATCACCACCCTCAGCAAACGCTCTTCCCATCCTCCAGGAGCCATGTCCATGTCCCGTTCAAGTTCCAGAGGAGGAATGAGTACCAGCAGCAGCGCCACCACTCTCGTCCAGTCATCTACCTCTCAATCGTCTCTCCACCAACACCAACAGCACCATCAGCATCGACATTCGAGTTCTTTGCCGTCGCTAAATTACTACTACCAGAGTAGTACAGCAAGCTTGTCGTCTACTTCTCCACAGCATCCCTTGGATCAAAAGCATCACCAAAATCAACAGCAGCGGATGTCAAACACCCCTCTTCCTATCCCGCAGAACGACCCGACGCGTCCGCCGATCCATAGAATGGTTTCGCATGACACACAACCACCAGAGTTACCTCTTCACAAACATACATCCAGCTCCACCACTGCTTTTCACCCTCCTACTCCAGGACCAGGGTCACAACCATCCACCACCACTACAACCACAACCACAACCACTGTCGGCGAAGACGAATCTGTAGAGCGACTCTTAATCCGGACATCGCTGGGCGATGTCTAGAAGAAAAAAAGAAAAAACGTGCTTGTTTTTGTTGTAAACTAGTTTTCCCAATTCCTTTTATTTTTTGTCATTTTTTTTTTCAATGCGTTGTGCACTTGCTTTCGTGATTACATAGAATAAAAAGTTGAGCCTGAGGTTTTTTTTTTAATATTTACACTTTTTTTTTTTGGCGGGTCTATGTAACATGGGTTGGTTGATTGGTTTTTGGTTTGTGCTTGCTTGGTTTGCTGGGATCGCTGTTCAAGACTGAGTGTATATGTGCGAAGTGTGCGCGTGTGCGAAATGTAGAGTATGTAAGTGTGCGCAGGAATAATAGTATGTAAGTAAAGAAAAAAAAGGTGGCGGCCCTGTCGTGTCCTGTCCTGTTAATGAATTCTAGCATATCCAGTTATCTAAAGATCAGCTTCCCTTTCCACCAGGATTAATTGCCGTCATCGGTGGTAGAGGCAGAGGTGCCGTTTGAAGAGGCGCGGGTGAGTGTATGGGGCCTCTTTCCAAAGAGTCGATTCCTCAGTGCCCGCGACGCAAAGACCGTCAAATCAAATCCCGCCCAGTCACCATCCTGCATATCCTTCAGGTCACCAATCGTCACAATGTCCTGGTTCTTAAGCTTGGCCAGCCATTCGTTCGCCTTGTCCGGTCCGCGGTGGTATTCCATCGCCGTATCATTCACCAAATCCTCAATTGGCGCATCCATGCTGTACTCTATTATTTTGTTGCCATACAGAATATGAATAAAAAAGTGAGCAACGACTGGAATGGCATTTCGACCATACACATAATTCTCGAGTCAACTACAAATAAATTAGCCCGAAGGGTGTACCTTTGAAGGGAAGTTCCATTTCACCACCCCAGTCTGGATTAGAGTTCTTGCGGCTGAGGCCGGCTCTGGTGACAGAGCCATCAAGGGTCAACTGAGAGACTGCTCCATGAGAATGACCGTTTGTGAGCATGGGCGAAGAAGGTGTCAGACCTGCAATATCCTTCTTGTCGCCCGTTCCTGCCAGTTCCCGCAATATCCGGTTGATGTCGTGTGTAATGATCCGTTGGTACCGTTGTGGCAGCACTTCCTCTTCGATCTACATATCCAAAGAACCGTTCGTTAGTTTAAGCAGTAGAGAGTAGAGAATAAATGAACATTTCATAGCATCTATGCTCAAAAGAGAATCATACCATTTCGTTGACAACTTCCTCGGCAGTATCAGTATCGGCATTAAATTCAAACTTGACAGAGAGCTTGTCCATGCCCTTGAAGACGACCTGGAGCGTCAAGTGGTTTTTTGCCTCATTGCTCGTCAACACAACCACCTCTGGCTCAACTCCCAAGAATGGATCTTCGATGGCCTCCTGAGCAGAGTATCGCTCGTGCTCAGGGGCTAGGCAGCGTTGAATGAGACTGAGCACTTCTGGGTCGATAATTCGGCTGAGACACTCTGGTTTGAGTCCCTAATGAAAATATAATACGTACGAGTCCCCAAAAAGAAAGGTCCTGTCAGAATATCGAGCCTTGCAGCTGACACTTCTATTTACGCTTGATCCTCTCACAACATTATTGCAAACCACTCCATGTCGAACGGTAAAATAGCTCATCAGCTGCCACGAGAAAAAGGGTGGTCAAGTCGTCATACCTGGGAGACTTTCTTGTATATCTGGGCAGCGTTTTTGCACTCGTTGTAAGGGTAGTCGCCCGTCACCATCTCTAGCAGACACATTCCAAAGGCGTAGATGTCGACCTTTTCGTTGTATCCCTTTTCCTCGTACATTTCCGGTGCCATGAACTCAGGGGTGCCTAAATACGGTTCATCAACGCAAGAAACAAGTTTAAGCAGTTTGGCCGTTCATGATAGGTCATATTGTGAATGAACAAAAGAGAAACCCGGCACCCCAGACATAGACCTGAATGGTCAGGCTGTCTTGTGAGACATACCAATGACAGTGTACTTTTTGCCAATCTTCATCTTTGCTGTTCCCATGTCGCCAATCTTGACTTCGCCGTGAGCTCCGTTGATGAAGATGTTGTCGCACTTGATGTCACGGTGAATGATTGGAGGGTCGTATGAGTGAAGATAGATGAGTCCCTTGAGGATTTGCCTGCACCACCGCTTGACGACTCTGAGATTAGGGGATTGCAATTTGCGGATATATCTATTTCATTGTAATGAAATTTTTGTTAGTTGGTTGTTATCAAACCAAAAATGTGAACAAGGGTAAAGGATGATCGCTCTGCTCTAGTATGACGCTCTTTCCCCCCTTTTCATCACGTTCCTCCTCGTCGTATCCCTCTTGTTCATGTCCTAGTCCAATACTCGTCCGACATTCATCGTATCCTTCCCCCTACACTTCCTGTACTGTACATGTCCTCTTGTAACACTCTTCCAGTCTTCATCGTCTCTTGTTCCTTTCCTGAGCCTGTCCTCTTTATAGTCCTCTCTCCTGATTGATTGTCTTGTTGAGCCGCTCAAAAACAAAGCCTAAAAAATAAAAGCAAGAGAACTTACTCTCGAAGGGTGCCAGAGGTCATGAGCTCAGTGATAAAGATAAATTCGGTGTTGCTGTACCAGCAGTCGTGAAAGTTGATGATGTTTGGGTGGCGAACTCTTTTCAGGATCTCGACCTCCTGCGAGAGCTCGGCGTATTCTTGTTTTGTGGTCTGGAAACAGTTCCATGCGACTTCGTATCCTTCTTCCCGGTCGATTCCCTTGTAAACAATCTTGTATGCGCCCTTTCCGAGGACCGAGTTGAGCTGCAGCAGGGTGTCGGTGTGATTTCGATTGTGGGGGGCGACAAGGAGGTCGACACAGACATGCATGCAAACAAAAACAAAAAAAAAAAAAAAAAAAAAAAAAAAAAAAAAGAGAGAGAGCAAGAGACCAGAAAAAAGGAGGCAAACAGCGTTAGACTGGCACTGGTATTGAGTGCTTATTTCATTTGGAATAGTAAAAAATGAGAAAAGTGAGGCATTTTTTTTGTTTTGTCCTGGTGCGGTAGCCCCTCCAAGCCCACACAATTATCACAACAACAGTAAAAAACAACACAAACACAACACAGGAGAGTATCCCCTTTGTCCCCTCTTTTTTGGTGTTGATGCTTCTTGACAAATCAAGTGTGCATTGCCACAGATAGCACCAAAAGAAACAAGTGCGACCCGCCTGTTGATTTTTTGCATGAGATGGAGTTGTTCCCGTTGTCCTGCCTCTGGCTGTAGTATTCATCGTGACACTGCGTTAGCCCTGCTGTGTCTGCTCCGCCATGATGATACGGTGCTCACTTCATGAGAAGAGAAAGTCTCCTTGGGTAGGAGTGTGGTATTGAATCCGAGAATAAAGAGAGAGGGGTGTGCAGGGAAATTGATGCCTGTGCTATTTCCCGGTTCCTGGGTCGCCTTGAAAAAAAATATTGCCACCAATAACAGCCTTTTTCCCTCTGGAGCTTTTTCCTTGCTAGCTAGGCTGATTCACTGTCGGTCCTTGATCCCTGTTCGTTTGAAATGAGTGTGCCTGGATGTTTGAATGTCACCAGCAGTGGGGATGGGATCTCGCCTGGATCACACAAAAAATGTACTTGTGAAAAAAGAAAGTTTTTTCTCTGTGTCCTGGGTGTTTGTCGGTATTTTTTACCTTGGCATATCGACCGTTGGGACTGACTTCGACGACTTTTTCTGGATCGTGCTTTGAGTGATCGATGTACTCTGCTAATGGGTCGGAAAGGGAAACCATTATGTGGAATGTAGGGAATGGAGGGTAAGAAGGAGTATATAGGTGTGAATGAATGGGAATGTGAAAGTGGGAGAGAGAGAGAGCGAGAGAGAAGGAGAGAGAGAGAGATGGGTAAGCTTTTTGGTTCGGGCTTTTTCTTATTTTTGACCGGGTTGTCAACAGTTGGTTAGTAAACCCTTGAAACCTTGGCTGATCAGGTTTTTTTATAGTGAGAGGATGAGTTGTTGTTGTTGTTGTGGTTTACCAAGAGAGGAGAAGGTGGTGTGGTCGTCTTCGTGTACGGTGCTCTCTGAGCCGCTCTTTGAGGACATTGGATCTGACATATGTTATAGTTGTGTGTGTGTGTGTGTATGGGTGGATTAGATAGGAGTAAGAGTGTGAGTGGTAGAGATGATAAAGGAGCAATGGAATGATGATGATGAGATAGAGAGAAGGAAAGAGAGGATGAAAAATCAAAAAAAAAAAAAATTCAAAAAAATCAAATGGTCTGAAAGGCAAGCCTCCTTTCTTGTACTCGTTTTGATTTTCACATTTGTCACCCTTCCCTTTAACATCCCATGCTACACAAAGGCAAGACAAGGCAAGACAAGGCAAGGCAAGGCAAGGCAAGGCAAGGCAGGAGATAATACTAGACATCACTCGCCCTTCCTCCTTCTTTGTAGCATCACCCACCTTCTCGAAGGGGGGCGATAATCTGTCATTTATCCTTGAGCGTACAACTATCCCGGAGTAGTAAATATGATTAAAGGATAGCAAGCTACCGTTTCGATGTCATGGAGCAGTAGAAACGTGGCACGAGAATGATAAAAAAAAGAAGCTCTTCTCCTTTCTATCCCCTTTCATCTTCCCTTCTCCCTTCCTCCTACTCCTTCCATGTTTGGTGGCAAACTGTTGAAAGAATAAAAAAAAAAGCTTTCATCAACGCGTTTTTTCTGAGCTTGCAGGTATGCGTCACGTGCACATCTCAAGTGACGTTCTCCTGTGTCCATTGCACCCTAATTCTTTCGGTCCAAAAGACTCAGAAAGCAAAAGTAAAAAAAGGACCGTTTCGTGTCCCTTCTTCTCTTGCCTGTCTCCTCCCTTTCTTGCTGATCCTTTATTTTATTTCTTCTCTTTCTCACATCCTCCACCCACTCACTCCTTCACTCCTTCACTTCCTACTCTTGGGTAAACAAGTAACCCACGATCCCTCATTCCACACTCGCAATAACCATAACCACCACGACTGCAATGAATCCAGAAGTAGAGCTCTATCCTATCGCCATCCTCATCGACGAGCTCCGTCACGACGACGTCTCCCTCAGGCTCAACGCCATCAAGCGCCTCAACACCATCGCTCTCGCCCTCGGACCACAGCGCGCCCGCGACGAGCTTATTCCCTTTCTCGATGGTACTTGCTCTGCTCCTACTGTCCGCAAAACAAACAAGCTTCTTTGTACCTTGTTCGTTTTCTTTTTTTTCCTTATTGTTTTTTACGAACAGTGACTTACTTGCTTCTGCAACTGTAACTATATGTGTTCATAGAGTCGATTGACGATGAGGACGAGGTGCTGTTGACGTTGGCAGGAGAGCTGGGCGACTTTGTTGAATATCTTGGAGGCCCTCAGTATGCACATATCCTCCTGCAGCCTCTTGAAAACCTTGCCGCCGTCGAGGAGACCATGGTCCGCGACAAGGTAATTTACAAGCGACTCGGCAACAGTCTGGACTCTTTTGTTACGTGGACGCGTCAATGTGGCAGACAGCAAGGACAGGTTGCCAGCAATACGAACGGTGTACTTTCAGCAGGAAACAAGGACACGACGCAGAAAACAGCACGACAGTGCGACAAGGACTCGCTACAACAACGACGCCAAAAGGCATTGTGGTGACATCAAAACGAAATGCTTTGCTTACTTGCAAAAGTAGCATGAGAGGGACACGCTGCAAACGAAAAGACGTTTCTGCGGCATCAAGCAAGAATGGCTTGCTTGCAACGTTGACACCTACTTACTCACTCACTCTCCGTTTTGTTTCCGTCCCTTCGTACCTTTTTTCCCCTTCCCCTCGTTTTTGTCCGCGTGGTTCACAACAATAACAAAAAAAACAACAGGCGGTCGAGTCGCTCAATAAGATCTGCCCCTTGTTGAATCAGTCGCAGCTGGAGCAGTACTACACCCCTTTGCTCAAGCGCCTGTCTTTGGGAGACTGGTTCACGAGTCGCACCAGTGCCACCGGACTCTATGCCTGCGGCTACTCGCTGGCCTCGGCTGCCACACAGGACGATATGCGCAAGTAAGTACGATGCCCTGTTTGGATGAACAAAAAGACAGTGGAAGCGTGTGAGAAAAAAATGAAGACGAATTGACCACAATTTTTTCTTTTTTCATCTTTGATGTTCTCTGATAGGTCCTTTGGTCAACTTTGCGTTGACGATACCCCCATGGTCCGCCGTGCCGCTGCCACACATCTGGGCGTAAGCACTCGTCTTCTTTCTCTTTCTACAACATGAACGCTGTGTATACTCAGACCAGGAAGGCATCAAAGCTAATACCCCATAACCCCCTTTCAATGTCAACTACTAGGCATTCGCAAAGAAGGTCAGCAAGGAGCACCTCATCACAGATATTATCCCCCTCTTCGCTAAACTATCTCAGGATGAGCAGGATTCCGTTCGTCTTTTGACCGTTACCGACCTTGTCGCCATTGCGGAGGAACTCACTCCCGAGGAGAACAAGACCTACTTTTTAGAGCCCTTGAAGGCAATGGTCGCCGACAAGTCATGGAGAGTTCGTTATATGATTGCCGATAACTTTGTCAAGGTGCGTTTTTATTCTTGACTTTTGAAGCTGTCGCGTACTCATCTCTCATGGCGATATATAAAGGAAACTAACCTTGGTGTTTGTACTTGCGCTCTGATAGTTGAGCAAAGCAGTCGGCGAGGACATCACACGCGACGACTTAGTCAGTGCATTTGTTCGCCTGTTGAAGGATAACGAGGCCGAGGTCAGGACTGCCGCCGCAGGACAAGTCCCTGGTATGTTGAACAATATGACAATTTTTGACAGTATTTTACTTCTGTTTTCATGAATTGTATTCTGAAGTAGACGACTCACGCTCAAATGTCTTTTCTTCTATAGGTTTCGCTCAGTTGGTAGACAAGGAGACGATCCTCAACTATATCTTGCCTTGTGTCAAGGACATGGTCACCGATACCTCGCAGCACGTTCGCGCAGCTTTGGCGATGCAGATCAGCGGCCTAGCACCTATTCTAGGCAAGGAATCAACGACCGAGCACTTGTTGCCTCTGTTTTTGCAGCTTCTCAAGGACGAATTCCCCGACGTACGTCTGAACATTATTTCAAAGTTGGAGACAGTCAACAATGTCATCGGTATCGAGCTCCTTTCACAGTCGTTGTTGCCTGCCATTGTCGAATTGGCTGAGGACAAGCAGTGGCGCGTGCGTTTGGCGATCATCGATTACATTCCCCTCTTGGCCACTCAGCTGGGAGTCGAGTTCTTCGACGAGAAGTTGGGAGCTCTTTGCATGTCGTGGTTGGGCGACAGTGTATTCTCGATCCGTGAGGCTGCCACAGTGAACTTGCGCAAGTTGACTGAGGTCTTTGGTGTCGATTGGGCGAAACAGACCATCATCCCCAAGGTTCTTGCCATGGGCACCCACCCCAATTACCTGTACAGAATGACCACCATCTTTGCCATCACAGTACGTATCCTTTGGACTAATTGTTGAACACCATTAATGTTTCGATAGCACCTTCTACGTCAGCGACACAAGCTAATATTTCCTTGAACACTCTTTCCTTTAAATAGGAGATGGCACCGGCAGTGACGCCTGAGGTGACTCGTGACTATATCCTGCCGACGGTGACCAACCTGGTGTCGGACCCGATCCCCAACATCCGCTTCAATGTTGCAAAATCGATAGAAGCATTGATCCCTGTGTTGTCACAGAACCCTGATACCAAGCCCCTTGTTGACCAGCAGCTCAAGCCTGCCCTGGTCAAGTTGTCCGAGGATACCGACAATGATGTGCGGTTCTTCTCGCAGAAGGCCCTTGTTGCCGTGCAATAGTTCACTAGATCCCCCCACAGTACACGCCTACGGAACACTCGCCCAGCCAATAAAAAGAAAAAGAGAGAGATGGATTGAATCTAAGCCACCGCCTTTTCAATCCAAAAATTTTTTGATGGTCGATAAATAAACGTCGGCAACTGGAATCGTGGAATCCCCCTCTTTCACCCACAAATCATCCACTTGATCAAAATGGCCTCCGCTCAGATTAGCAAGAAGAGAAAGGCAAGTCGCTTCTTCCCGATCCTTCTCTGCCGTCTCAGGAACCAACCGCAGGGGCTAAAGCACAGGAGTCGCACAAGCAACAAGCAGCAATCTCGAAAAAAAGCCATTCACCAATTACCAGGATGGAGTTTTATTTATTGGAACCAGCAAGAGGGTACCATTATGATCCAAGAACCGGAAACGACTCGACCCTTACAAGGTCCAACAGCTCGACGCCTCTATGAAAAGTGCGGCACCACCATGGAAAGAGTATCGTGGTTGTTATGGGCTCCAGGAATTAGTCGACCTGACTCGATCTTCATGGATTCCATCATCCAATTCAGCTCGGCCACCACTTCACCTGCGCCAAGTCAATTCAGTTGTTGACATCTGTCTAGTCGATAGCAAAAACAACAAACACAGCAAATTCCGAACAGGTTAACTACCACCACAACAACAGCAACGGAATACTTTATCGCCAGACCACCAATACTCGACTCTCAACTATCAATTACACCTATTCGATTATCACCAACCTATGCCACCTGGGTCATAACAACGCAGGAAAACAATACAGTCAATAACAGCAAGAAGACGAGAAACATGAACCATAAACTAACTTATCACCATCACCAATTGGTTTGAATTCTAACAAAAAACTAATAGTTCGTCGCCGATGGTGTTTTCTACGCCGAGTTGAACGAGTTCTTCCAGCGCGAGCTCGCTGCTGAGGGTTACTCTGGTGTCGAGGTTCGCGTTACCCCCGCCCGTACCGAGATCATCATCCGTGCCACCCAGACCCAGGAGATTCTCGGTGTCCAGGGCCGTCGCATCCGCGAGTTGACCTCCTTGGTCCAGAAGCGTTTCAAGTTCCCCGAGAACACCGTCGAGCTCTACGCCGAGAAGGTTTCCTTCCGTGGTCTCTGCGCTATTGCCCAGTGCGAGTCCCTCAAGTACAAGCTCCTCAACGGTGTTGCCGTCCGCCGTGCCTGCTACGGTGTTGTCCGTTACATCATGGAGTCTGGTGCCAAGGGTTGCGAGGTTGTTGTCTCTGGAAAGCTCCGTGGTGCCCGTGCCAAGGCCATGAAGTTCGTTGACGGATTCATGATCCACTCTGGTCAGCCCACCAAGGACTTCGTCGATACCGCCGTCCGCCACGTTCTCTTGCGCCAGGGAGTTTTGGGAGTCAAGGTCAAGATCATGTTGCCCTGGGACCCCACTGGAAAGATGGGCCCCAAGACCCCTCTTCCCGATATGGTCACCATCATGGAGCCCAAGGAGGAGGCCCCTATCCTCGCCCCCGTCTCTGAGTCTCGCGAGGAGGTTGTTGCCCCCGTCGCCGTTGCCCCCGTTGAGGCTTAAAAACCTTGCCTTTCTGCGCATGTTTTAAGAATAAATCCCAAAAAAACCCCTGATACCTTTGCTTTCCTTTTGATATGTTGTACTCTGCGAAAAGGTTGCGCTTCTATTCATCGACACGGGGACCATGTTTCTTGCTGTTATTTTTGCTTTCGCAGAGCAGAGCATGTTTGTCGCGTGTTGGGCAAAGTGGTGGCGACAAAAACGGCCAGTCAATGGCTTGGGGAGAAAGCAACACTCTCTTTCTGCACGCGTATGATATGACACGAGAGGAGAGAGAGACAATAGAAAGCAGTCACAGGCCTTGGTGCGAGGGTTATGTTTGGTGAAACCAGCAGAAACAACACCTTTCCACACATCACATCACCCTAACACAAACGGACATCAACACTGCAGAACAAAGCAGACATAATAAGGAATGGCATTACCAAGACACCTCAAGAACGGACTGACGCCCCTGGAAATCGAGTTCCTGGCCGAGAATGAGCTCATCGAGATCGAGGCCGCCATCGACACCCGGACAGATCTCGAATTGCTCTCGGTGAGTTTTTGTCCTTGTCCGTCTTTTTTTTTTTTTTTTTTGCAACAGGAGCAAGGGGGAAGGGGACGAAGAAAAAAGGGACTACTAGGCTATGGAAGAAGAAATAGTGTCAGGACATAAATAACCATGGACCCCTTTCGAAAGAGCGGCACCCCAGACTCTTCCCTGCAAGGAAGTGTTTATCTTTGCATTTTGCAATTTTGGACTTTTGGAACTGACCCCTCTTGTCATCTTTTCGCAATTTTTTTTTTTTTTTTTTTTTTTGGTTTGGGGGTATTTGATTGTATAGGGAACACTACCAGCATTAAAACCGTTGCGAACAAACAAGGTCCCGCTCTGGATGGCCATCTCACTCAAAAAGAAGCATAAATGCAACATTCGCGTCCCTGCCTGGATGACCGTCGGTAAATCCCACCTTCCTTCCCTACAAAAAAAAAAAAAAGGTTGGAGAGGCTATTAATTAGGATACCAAATAATTAACGCCACCAAAAAATCCGATCTTGCCCTCGCTCACTGGGGGTTTTTACTTTTCTTTTTTTGCTTTTGTTTTTTTTTAGAGGCGTTGACAAGGACGTTGAAGGAGGAGGAGACGAATGACGTGCGGTTCAGTTATATGCCGTATCACTATATGGAGATCGCGCAGCTGTTGTTAGAAAAGTAAGTTATATTTTGTCAGAGATCATCTAGGAGTAAAGAATGGCAAGAAATTACGCGGAGAAATACTGGGAGGGTTAGCGATTTTCTTCGCATCGTCCAACAGGAAAATAGAACGACGAAGGAGAAGGTTAAAGGAGAATGACAAAGGACAAAGGACACAGGTCAAAGGAGAATGATGGGATAGGACAAAGGATGGCAAAGGATGGCAAAGGATGGCAAAGGATAGGGCAAAGGAAAAGGCAAAGGAAAAGGCAAAGAAGAGAAGTTGCGATCGTTTGTTCTAGATTGATAGATTGGAGGAGGAGGAAGGTCCACATTTGGATAAGGAAAATCTGGCAAGGAATAAGGAGCGCGTATTAAGTCGAATGAGGATTTTCCGCATTGACTAAGACAAATCAGACAAAGGACAATGAGTAAAATGAACGAAAAGAAGGATATTTCCTGTTTGATGATAAAACGTCAATAATAACAAGGGCACAAAGTGGAGAAAGTGCAAAAGAAGGGTCAGCTCCAAGATGACAAAAAGAGGGGGGGAACATGAGGAGAAACGAGGACGCAATTGAATTTTGCGCTTCATCGTCGATTTGCATTAACGATCAACCAGATATAGCTCATTGACCGCCTGGAATCACACTTGTTCTTGAATGTAAACAAACCGCAAACAAAAGGACTGGACTTAAGAATTAATCATCCCACGCCTATTTTCTCCCCTCTGTATTTGATGTAAATGTTAATAGCGCAATGGATGATATCCCGTCAGCAGACGCTACGAGGACACTGCTGAAGGACCTGCGAGAGGCTAGACAAAGTAAAGCCCGTCAGGGTGTGCACTCATTAGGAGAAAGTTATCTTCAGGTATGTCATTTGCTACATACAAACAAACAACCAGAGACATGGATCTTTTTGTTGTTGTTGTTGTTGTCCGTTTGTTTGTTATTTGGATACCTGATTCTACTTCACTATTGCTTGTCCGCCTCATGCTCCATGAATTTTCGCGAACACAGGAGCAGAAAAGGCATAAATGAATATGAGAATTTGTGTCAGGGGGCATGAGACAGACGAACAGAGGTTTAGGTCAGACGATAGAAGCGACAGAACGAAGTGACGGGAAGAACCAGACGAAAGAAGGAAAGACGACAACTGGACGGAGGCATGAATATCTTGACAGGCATACAAATGGAGAGGAGCATGAAAGCAGGGATAATCGATCAAAGAAAGGAAGGAAAAAAAAGACTTTGCAAGGACCAACGAGAGAAGTCGACAGAGCCCTGGCCATTTCTTCTGCGTGGGTTCTGTCTGTGTTCAACGACAAATATTAATACCACGTTCTTGATTGGTCCATTGACACACATCTGTTTGCTTTTTCCCTATTATTTTTTTGGTTCTTTTCTTTGCTACGCGTTTTGTTGTTCCATTCAATGCGTGCTCTTTAGATGGATAACATCGGGCTGATGGAAATTAACGAGATCCGACCCTTCTTCACCAAGGCGTTCTTTGAGATCCAAAAACTGAGACCTGCAGTAGCAGGAAACCCCAACAACGACAACCCCTATGACTATGATCACTACGGGAACAGCAGCCTCAGCATGGATGGGCGGTACGGCGGCGCCAACGCGACGGATTTTGACGGCAAGGCATCGTACTCCAGTTCTACTATTCCCGAGTCGTCTCGCCGATTCCAATCGACGCAAGGGTCGCGAATGAATTAAATTGTTCTGTTTCAACTGTATTCTTTGTTTCTTACATTACTATTGACCCTTCCTCTTGTCCTCTCTCTCTCTCCTCGTCCTCCTCCTCTCTCTCTCTTTTTTTTCTCTCTCTTCCTCTCTGTGTCTATTTCTCGTCTTATTTTGACTCCTTACTATTGGTCAATCGTGTTTGTTTTCGTGGAAGAGATGTGTCCATGTTGGCTCTAAGAAAAAAAAAGGCGTTTGTGTCTCCTTCGATCGAGTTTATTCTTCCAATGCCTCAAAAATCAACTCACCATCAAGATGTGTTTCTCTCTGTCCTCCTTTTTTATGTGGACGTTGACTCGAAAAAAATGGAGTACACAAAACAAACAAAACAAAAAAAAACAAAGGCATGACTAAAGGGGTGGGTGGGTGGGTGGTATCAAAAAAAGACAGACAAAAAAAGAAGGGGCAGGTTTCTGATGGTCTTTTTTCACACCCTCAGATTTGTGTTGTATCCTCCCTCAATCTCTCTCAATCTCTCTCTCTCTCTCTCTCTCTCTTGCTCAAACTCGTGGGTGCAGATGGGTGGATGGGTGTTGTTGTTCCTTGGTTGTTTTTTTTGGTCCCTGATCTTATTTAATCGAGCAATAGCGGTAATGCATTTTGGAAACATGAAAAGGAATGGAAAAGGGGGGGAAGGGGATGAGGGGGGACAACAAGATGCACCCCACGACCTACACGGACGAAGAGACGAGGCAAAGGATGGAGAGAAGAAGGAATAGATAGAACTACACCCATGGTGTTCTTTTGCATGCAATTTTCCCGCATGGGAGGATTAATTGAGTGTTTTTCTTTCCTGTTGGGGGAAAGAGAAGGAGGAGACTACGGAAAAGAGGAGGAGGGGGGAGGTTTTTTTAGCGTGAAAAGAAAGCAAGTAACCTGGCGAAATGGATGGAGAATAACAAAGTCGACTACTGAATGAAAGGGAAAGACTGAATACTTTTCCCAACAACAAAGTGGGTCCGAGAATACACGAAAGCTGTATCTAGACCCTTTCCGATCAAGAAAAAGAACGACAGTATACTTTGGAAAAATGAGCTCGAGGATGCGGAGGGTAGAAAGAGGAGAGAGCGCACCGTGTTGATGACTTGAGTCCCTTGCGACAGGGCTATAGAGCTGGCAAGCAGGAATTGGAGAGGAAGATAGGAAGGCGAGGATGAGGAGGGAAGAAGAGATATCCTGACAGTGAAAGAAGCGCATATCAGGTGTGTTTGGCGTGTATATGTGTGAGTGCCATTTCAACTGAGTCTGGAGCACTCACTCCGCACATTCACCTTTCCAACTTTCCAACTTGCCACTTGCTGTCGCCTTGAACTAGGACGAGAATGAATGGATGAAATGAATGAATGAAAAAGTACCCCTGCACGCTTGTACTTTATTTGCATCGTCATGTCCCCTTGCAGTTTGTCATATCTTCATCCTGACGGCTCTTATTTCTATAGTCCTTGTCTGCTAGGCCATCCTTGCTTGCTTGGCTGCCCTTCTTGTTTTTTTCTTCGTCTTGACTGCTTGCTTGTATTGCCAGACCAAGTTTCCCTGCTTTAAAAAAAAATACAGTTTTCTTTTTTGTGTACGCTGCACGGATCTCCTTGACCCAAAATGATGATATGGTCGAACCGACTACCAATCAGAAACTTGGATTTGCTGGATGTCTTTGTGCGCTTTATCTATTGTACTACGCACTTGTACAGTTTGAAACGCGTCTGTTTCGTACATCTACCTGTCTGTAGGGCTCAATTCTTCCATTTTCGGTGCAAAGGAGGGATAACGAGGATGAGAGAAGATGAGAGAGAAAGAGAGCGAGTATGTGTATATGTATGTATGTGGTTCATTCAAGTAGGAGATAACTAAAGTACAACAAAACACACAAAGTCTGGGAGAAAGAAAGGAAAAAGAGCGATCCCGACTCTGACTCTTTTTCATCAAGGTGGCAACACACTGCGCTAGGACGAAACATGGGGGTGATTCTTTTTCATTCATACCCACACACAAACACACACACTTTCGCTGTCTGTCTTTCCCCCTCAATGTTCGTAGTGAGTTTCTTTCTCTTTGATGGCAGCTTTTGCGCGCGAAGAAAAATGAAAGTGAGAGAGAGAAAGCATCCGAACAATCGACATCACCGTGCATAAGCAGTGGTGCTCATAGGGCGGATGTCGAAACGCAAAGATCAGAGAGATGGGGTGAAGGGGCACAGACACATAAAGAAAAGAGAGAGAGAGAGGAACAACGGCAGGAGACTGCAACAAGAAAGACTACACACAGAAAAAGGGCTCTGAGCACATTATTAGCAACACGATGTGCGAGGATGTAAGAAAGGGGGGAGGGGAACCATGCTATTTACGACTCTCCGTCTCTTTTGTAGATGGAAGCTTGCTGTAGTACATTTCTCTTCTTTACGAGAGGTAAAGGTGTCAAAGAAAGGAAAGAAGAAAAAAAAGTGCCACGTTTCGCGTAGATAGGGTAAAGAGAATGCGCACAATCGTGCTTCCAATTGGTTCTTCGCCATCCTTTGCTCTTTGTGTGTACCACTAATTCGTGGGCGGCAAGTATATCTAAACCGTTGTTTTCAAGCACATGCAATAAAGGCGTTCTTTGTTTTAAGTGGAGTGCACATGTGCTTTCTAACAAGACACCTTTTTCCTAGAGAAATTCAATTGAATGAATGACTGGCACTATGGTGTTTCATAGTTTTTTGAGGCGCATCCTTTTTTAGATAACTTTCGTGGCATTCGGAGATCCAAGACGCGCCGAAAGGCATAGCTTCTCCAAGTTGGCAGGGAAGATGCGAGCGGGAAGGGATGCGCAAGGTCATCCACGTGTAGTAGAACAACACTAGCAAATAGGTAAGAGAGAAACCATATCAACAAGCCAACAAACTGCTTTTTTTATCACCCATGTCGTACGTACAAACCTCTTGCATAGATAGTTTTGGGGACTCAACCCGACTAGACTGAGGGAAAGAGGAGTCGAAAAAGTAGAGGGAGACAGGGAATGACGGTTTTGGGAGCTAGAAGAGCAAGAGAGGGAAAAACAACCGAAAATACCTCCGTCTGATCCAAACAAACAAACAAAGGTGAGCGTAGAAAGAAAAAAAAACGGACGCCTTTACTAACCGTACTTGCACTTCCTTTGTGCTAGTGACGATAGACTTGCGAGGGGGTTTTTTTTCTTCCGTTGGTGTATGTACATATGCGGTTTCGTGTACGGTGTAGATTCGTTGAAGGGGGGCGTTCTTTTCTTTAACAGCGTAACAACTAGCATGGCATGAAGAAAACAACTTCCAGTGTGTCATGATGAACGAAAGAGCAAAAAGAATAGTGCATCATGGTTGCTTGAATGCTTACTGGTCCGCTTGCTTGCTTGCATACTTGCGTCCTTGTTTGTTGTCATAAAAAAAGGCGATGGCGATGATGAGTTCAGAAAAAATTGCTTGAGAACTTCATGCAAGGTTACGTCCCCCAAACGCTAGTTCTATTAGTGTTATTTCTTGTTCATAGGGGAGATGGGGTAAGGGAATGAAAAAGTACCATTATGCTTTAGCACAGACGCCCAAAGAAATAAACTGTTCGAACGTCCATATCAATCACAGAAGGTAAAATGATAAACAAACACGAACAAACGATAGGAAGACAGGGAGGGTAAGACTAACAAGCAAAAAAAGGGTCCAGCGATGAGAGGATTCCATGATCGGGCTCGAAGTTTTTCTTACATCGTTGATTCCCCTGTGAGATCTTGCATAGTCTTTGTTGTAGCCAGACTAGACCTCTTGATCTTACCAGTTTTGTGCGACAAAAGGCGACATGCAAATGATGTGTTATGCCACTGTCTATTATCTGTTGCGCTTTGAAAAAGAGAAAGAAAAAAAGGTGGGGGAGGCAAAGGAGGTGAAAGGATAAACGACTGGATCTTGATTCTCATGTACTTTCTTCGGTGATTTTTACGGACTTGCGGAACAACGACGGTCAACAAACACCAAGATGACCACCACCACAAAAAGAAAGAGAGTAGAAAAGAATCACACAGTCAGCAACAGGTCTCCGCCGAATAGATGAGCGATCCCATCATTTCCTGGACTAGCTTTAGCTCTAATAGTGGTTTTTGCACTTGATTGCACATAATCAAAAGCAGTCTAGTTACCTTCTCTGTCTCTCTGCGTTTCTCCTATTCTTACGACATCACTGCTTTGTCATGGGAAAGGACGATGCAGTGACAGGCAGAAAGACAGACTTGAGATTGAATAGTGACAGTGAGAAAGTGAGGGAACAGTGGGCGTAAGCTGAACAACTCTGGGACAAATCCAGATGCGAGACTCGCACGGACCACAAAAGCCTATCAGTAGCAGTAGGCTATTTGTCTTTCATTGTATTATTGTGCCTAAATAAGTGCACAAAGCATGAATGGTGGGGTTCTTTGTCAACTTTTTTTTTTTGGCTACACGCTTCTATCGAGAGCAATGGAACATGGATGGCTAATTAAGGAGCATGCACAGTGTTGTGCGTGTTGCCGAACACAACGTCAATGATGCACAGTGTTAGATAATGCCATGCATTCGAGATGTGGCAAAGAATAGAGTGTCAGATTTATCGATTGGCAAAACTACGATGGTGTGGGCCGCAGAAGGAGAAAAAAAGAGGAATGAGTGTGCAAGAGATGAGAAAAGTGGGTCAGTTCGCGGTCTTGAGATGAAGTGCTTTGTCGAATCTCTCTCTTGGCAAAGGGAAAGCGCATTTGAGAAGGAAGGATAAAGGATAATATTAACAATATCAATTTTGGTGTGTTATGTGTCCTCTTCTTTCGCGTTACTTCTTCCCGTCCTCTCGCTCTCTCTCTCTCTCTCTCTATCTTCGTCCCTTCTCACTATTTCTTTTCATTTTCCTATACGCCGGAAGAAGAAGAGAGAGGAGGCGAGAAGAAGATGGCACCAGTGGTATGATCTGTCGTGTTCATGCGAGCGAAGGTTTAAGAACAGGGTGCATGAGAAAAATCGTCGCGAGATCGAATTGTCACTAAAGCAAAGAAGCATGCGCAACCAAACGATGAAACACTTATGAACGGACATTGGTCTACCAAACCAACCTATATGACTGTCGATGTTTCTCGCCCTCTTTCACGCGAGGACTCTCTCCCCCTCTCTCTTTGCCTCTCCACTCATTCGCTTGTTCTTCTCTTTTGCCAGTAAGACTAGACAGTAATTGGACCATACAAGCTAGGAATATTTTGTCTTCCTTTTCTTTACTCAAGACAACTCTGTTCCTCGCTCTGTGGTACTGCCCAAGGGCCCTCTCGCAATTAGGAAGGGTCCACCAGAACACGCTATGAACCACTTGTTTTTTTTCTCGTCTCGCTTCCTTCCTTCTGCCCCTCGAGAATAGCCATGCTGCAAAGCGAGAGACAAAGAAAAAAATGAGCTAACGTGCGAACACGAGGGCATGCCTGCGCTTCCGGTGTAAAGAATGGAGAAAACATCCTCGCTCAAAAAAAAATGCGTTTTGCTTCCATCAAGACTTCTTTGTTTACAGAGAAAATGCTCTTTGATTCCCAATGGGATAACGGAGCATGCTTTGGAACATTGACAAAAAGAGGAGGAGAAGTGGATCAACACTTGCCGTCCATGCTTGCGAACAAACACCATGTCAAAATAAACTTCCGTAGAAAAAAAGTAAGAGGACCAAGCACACGCTGTTTTGTCCGCACAAAAAAGCCTCCCAAAAACATGTACCGCGCTTATTCGAAAAGGTCTAGCCAGACATTTTCAAATGAACGCTCTATGAGAAATGAATTACATTGCATGCTTGCGACGTGTTATTGTTCACAAAATTAAAAATGAGAGACATGTCACCCTGTAGTTCCGCGGAAAGGGTATACAAGGACTGAACTTTCCCCTTCTGCTTATGCCTTCTCTCCTTTTGGTTGATTCCTCATAGCCACTTAGTCATTCGTACTATTATTCCCATCTACCTGCTTTTACACAGCTCTCTCTTAACAGCAAACTGTGTTTAAATGTTGTCATTTCTACACCATTTTTACCCAATCCTATAATTCACCTACCTACTCCAACCGTTTCAAGTACATTATTGTTACCCATTGCTTTCTTCCTGTCCCCCTTTTTTCCTATCCACGACTATGACGACGACTACTTGACTTCAATTGACATTTAGTTATTGCACCCCTTCTTTTTTACCCTTTCATCATCATCATCATCATCATCATCATCATCGCTTTCTTTGTTCTCTTCTTTGCTTGTTGCCTCGACTGTTTACTGTTGCCTCCTTTCCCCTTGGTTTCCATTTCTTGACGTTTTTTATTTCTTTCCCTCTCCCCACTTGTGTTTTTTTTCAGTTCGCGCCATCAATGTTGTTGTCGTTTTCTTTGTACCTCTGCTTGAGTCACAAATAACGGCGACCACTCTTTTCTTTTTTTCGCATTTTTGTTCTATAGTGATAGTGATATAGAACAAATTTAAAAGTTTGTAGGTTAATCGATCAAAGAATAAGACAGACCGCGTTTGGGCGGGGAGCAGACCAGGAGGCGGGTCAAGTGGTGGAAAGGAAAAGAGAGAGAGATACAGGGTGTTACCCTATCTCTTCCTAGATGGGACCTCCTTCGCCTATCTCACGTCCCTTGCTTGCCCCTAGCGCTTGGTGCTTGGGCAATCAATGTTGACAATCCTTATTGTCGCTGTCGTGTCTAGGAGTCTTCCATTCATTATGCCTTTCCTTCCTTCCCCTCCTTACTAGGGCTCCCTTTTGCCTTTATGACTAACCCTTTGCTTGTTCGTAACCTTGTTCTTTTTCCCATCTCTATCCCCATCTCAATCTTTATCTCAACCTCTCATACACACCCTTCGCATAGATACTTGCTCGTCTTATTTTTTTCATTCAGTCCTTTTGCCCTTCCTCTTTTCACTTATTGTTGTAATGTTTCTCTTGCGTTGTCAGTTGATTTCCTTCTTGTTTTCCACTTGACCTCAGTGGCCTCCTTCTTAGTCCACTAGAATGAGGTCCCTGTGTTCGGCAGGACCAGTAACAAACTTGATTTTTTTTCTTCTTGAGACCACAGTACCTGCATTGCAGCAAAAGGTTCACATTCCACCCCTAACAAATCACTCATACATTCTTACCATTTACCACACCCTTTTTTTGTCCCTTTCTTTGCACTCTTCCTCTGCAGATTTGTCCCTTCAATCGACCCCCCATCACCTCAACCCTTTCTATTCCTTGACATGTTCATCTTTTTATATCTGATCCTTTGTTCATTATTTCTTCTTGATTCCTCCTACTGATGTGTTCTCGCCGATTATCAGCATTGTTCACGAACATAAGGGGAGAGAAGTTGTCTTACAAAAAAATTGGCGAGAAGAAGGAAGGGAGGTGGATCATATGTGATTGACTAGCGCTCTTCGTATGTGTTTCTACAGCGGAATCCTTATTTCCTTGCTTTTTCCTTCGCTCCTTCTTTTGTTCGTCCCCCTTTACCTCCCCTGCTTTCAGTTTATTGCTATTTCTCGCACCCTTTTTCTTCTTTGAGCACCTCCTTCCAAGTCTAGCCCTTCCCTTCCCTTTCACCAATAATAATATTACAACAACAAGCATTGGCGCCCTAATGCTATTAGTGTGACATTATCTTACTATTGTAGAAAAAACCCTTTTTTGTTTTGGCATTTGCTTCTTGCACCACATCACTTTCGAACCCCTGTTGAAATGATAGCCCTTTCATCAATTCTTTTTCGCGATCGTATACCAACCAACATTCGTAGCACCATTGCAATTTGATAACAACGCCAGCAACAACAAAAAAAAACTCCCATGCTCACCCAAACGACGACATCAATTACCTTTGCCACAGGGAAGAAGAACAACCACGCCCAAAAAAGCAATTCTCATTACGCGGCACAGCACCAGTTGAATTGGAGACAGTTGCTTAACATCAATAGCAACTTCAGCACCTTCAGCAAGCAGCACCTTCACTAGACCCAACACCTCACTGTCCGCACATCCGTTCGCCTTGACACCCACCGACTACTATCACTCTCAATATCACCTCTCTCATTGCCCCTCCTTGTTTCTATCTCCGTTTCCCTCCTTTTCGTTACTCTTTTCAACACTTACACCATTTCCTCCTTACAATTCTGCAAACAATGAAAACGCGCTTTTTTTCTTTGCTACCCCAGATCCCCTGACTACATTACATCCTACAACAACAAAATCGACCATTGAACACATCCTATTTTTTTCATCTTCAAAAGAGCGCAACCTACACCAATCGCCTCGTTAACTTTTTGGCTCCGCATTCAATTACAGCTTTTCTGTATCCTTTCCGCTTTCTTCCTGCCACCTTTGTCATTCTGCTTCCCGCTTTCTGTTCATCTCTCTCTCCCTTCTCTCCTTTTCTCCTAATTGTCATTCGTTTCTATCTTTGTTCTTCCTGTTCTCTTCCTCCCCTCCTTTACAATCCTTCTTTCTTTTTCTTCGTTTTTGTTCTGTTGCAGTTATTCAGTTATTTATTTATTTACTTATTTTGCCTCGAGTGGATTAGGACCTATAAACACACATACAACTCCAACACACACAGTACAATAAGAAAAAAAGGGGGGATCCAACCCAAATCTCCCTTTTCTTTCGCTTGTTTACGCACCTTCTCCAATTCAATCCAATTTATTCAATAAGGATTCACTCTATTCAATCTCCTTCTTCACCATTCAATCGCCAACCATTCAATGCAATACAAACCAACAACCAACAACGACAACAACGACAGCTACACACCTTTCCACATAAACAGCGATACGACACCTGGTCTTGGATCGCATATAAATACTGACAGTCCCCTTCATTTTCTCTCCTTCCTTCTTCGTCTCTTACTCCTTCGCTCACACTTTTTTTGCTTGTCGAACTCTCGATCTCTTCATTCTTTATCTGTTTACCACTTTTTTTTGGTGTTTCTCTTCTCGTCAACTCTCAACAAACAACGTTTCGGCTCCACACGTATCCTCAACTCTTAATCATTTCATTCTATTACTCCGCACAAAAATCGACATCTTCCTCCTCCACTTCATCTTCCACTTCCACCACCACTACCACTTGCCCCCCTCAACTCAATTTCGACGTTTTGACAAGTACGAACGCGCAACTACCTTTCGACAATTTTCAATTGCTCTTTATTTTTCTCTTCTCCTTTTTTTGCCTATTCGACTCCCTTTCACCTTCCTCTTTCCTTCAACCACAACAACAACAGCGGCAGCAACAACGTCAACGCGCACACACCCATACTCATACACACATACACACACACATAATATGACACCTTCGTTACAACCACACAATTCAGCAAAGCACCCTCCTCAGATCATCCACAACGAGTCATTAGTCCTTCAGGATATGCTTGGAGTGGGTGCATATGGTTCTGTATACAAGGCCTACGACCAGGTCTCGAGACAGATGAGGGCCATCAAGTGCATCCGGACGGTAGGACTCGACAGCCGGCAACGGGCCTTCCAGGGCCACGAAGCCGAACTCCACTCGCTCGTCTCGGGACATCCCAACATTGCAACGTTACACGAGGTGGTCGAGGAGGACGATTTTTTCTACATGATCATGGATTGTGGCCTCGAAGGTGATCTCTTCTCAAAGATCACGGAGCGTGGGGGTTATGTCGGCAAGGCCCTAGCCATCAAGTCGATCTTTGGTCAGATCGCCAGCGCTGTCTTGCATTGCCATTCCAAAGGTGTCTTCCACCGTGATCTCAAGGTAACCACAATGGTTTCTGATTGTTTAGCATATCACGCCGTCCTTTTTTTGAGTGTTCAATTGGTCTTGTTTATTTTTTCCCTGTCGTTATTACAGGAGCGGCTTCGGTTCAGTAGCGCTTATTCGAGGGGGAAGGAGATGTTCAATTGACGGTCAAGTAAAGGAGAGAGCGTAAAAACAAAATAATCCGATGAAGGGAGTGTGGTGTGAGGTATGGGTGAGTACTTGTCCGCCCATTTCATTTGCCGTCCCTTTCATCCTCCTCCTTCATTGCCCCCTTCTTCTTCCCTTTCCTCTTTTGTCTCTACAATGCCTTTGTTCCTCTTCAGCCAAAAACCACGCGCGTGAGAGTATTCTGTGAAGGAAAAAAGAGGTTCAAACTGGGTAGTGCAAGGGTCAATGGTCGACCTACTTTTTTTATTATTTGTGTATCGTGGTATGGGCGTTGGTATTGATGTGTCATTGTTTCGGATAGAATATTATCCAAAAGAAGACCATATATAAATAACGCATTGTCTGGATCACTACTTCGGTCCAGGGGGAAAGAAGAGGATGAGGGTGAGGGAGGATGAAGGAGGAAGGAAGGAAGGGGAGGCGACACAAGAGGAAACGACACAGATTGAAGGAAGGGGAAAGAGAGGTACATAGAAGACGTATGGACTGACAACATAGAGAGTGAAGGGGGTGGGGGAGGGGGTGGGGGAGGGGGGAGGAAGAGAGGGAAGAGATTGACGACCAAGCATCATCTCGTTCTAGTGTCGGTGACAGTTGCACCAGACTTTATTATTGTTAGTCGCATTCTCTTGCGTCTTTGTAATCGCCATCGATGAGGATACGAGAGAAAGAAGGAGCTGTTCGGCCCATTTCTTTGCAATTGGTGACAAGAACCTAACCCGCATGCGCATTATTATCACAACACACGGACACCGTATTCTTGTACTCGTTTACTCATCCCAATTCGCCTTTTTATTTTAGCCAGAGAACATTATCATGTTTGGTGATGTGGTCAAGCTCGTGGACTTTGGCCTGGCTACAACCGAACCAATCTCGAGCGACTTTGGATGTGGGTCCACGTTCTACTTGTCACCAGGTATGTTTGCCTCCCGAAATGAGTAGATGTGATACTTTGTTACTTGTTGGATTGCCTGTTGTTTGTTATTGTTGCTGGTCTTGACTGTTGGCCTGTTTGCTGTTGTGACACTCCTGTTTGTGTTGCCCTGGGCTTGTAGTATGTTATGTCCCCATTACTTTTTGCTATCATCCCCTCTCCTTTTTTCTATTGCGCTATCCCATCCGCCCTTTCGTTCTTTGTGTGGTCTTTGTCTGTCTGTCTGTCAGTGTGTGTGTGTGAAAAAAAAATGTTTGTCTTGGATTATGCACTCCCTCTCTCCCTCTCCCTTCTTTCTTCCTCGTTGTTCTTCTCTGACCCGCCATTCCCTCTGTCTGTTTCTCGCTATTATATTTCCGTGTACCATCGGGATGTTATTTAACCAATAGAGTGCCAGGGAGGATATGTCGAGCAGGTCACATCGTTTGATAGTGCCGCCAACGATGTCTGGTCGCTAGGTGTGATCCTCATCAACCTCGTCTTTGGCCGCAACCCATGGAAGCAGGCCTGCCCACGAGACGAAACCTTCTCGGCCTTCGTCCTCAACAACGACTTCTTGCAGACCATCCTGCCCATGTCCGACGAGCTCAACGACATCATCAAGTCCGTCTTCTGCCTCAACTCAAAGAAACGCCTGTCCCTGCCTGAGTTTGCAAGACGCGTCCAAGGGTGCACCTCATTCACCACGGTTGGCGAGGGCTCTTCTTCACCCTCACCCAGAGCCGGCGCTGCTGCTGCAGGTGCCACGGGAGCAGAGACTACGCCGATCCGATTTCACTTTGGTCACGATGCATTGCTCTGCAATAGCCGAGACAACAAGGCTCAGAGCCAGGGTCAGGACTCAGGTGTCTGTGTCGAGCTGCATTCTGTGGCATGAAGGGGGTAGCGTCAGCAAGGCATGGTTGAAAACGTGCGATGCGTGTGTAGATCACATCCCACACCTTTTTTCTCCCTTTGTCATTCCTTCCTGCCCCTCATCCATCCCACCTCTTTTTTTGTGTTGCGCTTTCTTTCTCTCGGGAAGAGAATCCCTCTCCTCCCTTCTCTTTCCCCTCTTTCTACAAGGCGGCTCTTTTTTTCAATTGCCTTTTCTCTCCCCTTCTTTCCTTCGCTTTTCTTGTTTCTTCGTGGATACTTGTGCTTCGCAAGTTGTCTTGTGCATATCCTTCTCCTTCCTCTTTCCAACTCTGCAGGACCCGGGCCAGAAAAATGTTGTTACGCACAAGCAACCACTTCACCCACGCACAAACACACAACCAACAAAACACCACACACCACACTCATACACAAAAAAAACACAAAAAAACAATACTGCAATGCGGATACCTCATTCATTTTTCTCTCTCTCTTTCTCCCTTTTTTTTCGATGCACCGCACTGGCAAGATCTGACCAACTCTTTTTCGTTTACCCTTTTTTTTGTTGTTGTTTGTAATGACCAAAAAAATAACTTGTATAGTTTCTACTCATTTTTTTGTTTGCTTCCACCCCTTCTTTCCCCTGTCTATTGCTTTTTCTTCATCCTATCCTATCCCTTTTCTTTTCTTTTCACCCGCACATCGTTATACCTCGCTTTCTTTCCCATTCTTCATTAGTCATTATCTGTAGTAGTATCATGTATCATACCATATCATAAATGTCATTTTCTTTTCCGACTGCATATGCAATGCATGTATGGGTGAGGATTGAGAATAATGGTGATATATTTAAAACTAGAATGAATGTGAAATGAACCGGGAGAACCCCTTCTTTGTCACACATACAAAAGCGTAGAGACTGGAAAAAGAAAGGGGACCAGAACGCGAGCGCGCGAAGATTGCTTGCTGTTCAGACTGCAGACAGCCAAATTTGCCGTGGATCAATCAACTCAGCCTCAGCCTCTCAGCCTCCCTCTCGATTTTTGGTCCTGAGGGTCTTGTTTGTTGATATTGTGTACGGTATCTGCTTCGTCCATTTCCATTATTGAATCCGAGGGGTTCGCTCGGCATTTTTCTTTTCCTTATTGTTTTTCGGCGCATTTTTTTTATTTGATTGGAGAAGGGAGCGGAGGGAGATGGAGGGAAAAAAAGGTAGTCAAAATCCATCGATTGGTCCGCAAAAGAGGGTCCCTCTTTTCCTCCCGCCCAGTTGCTATTCGTGTTTGTTGATTTCTCATTTGCTCATTTGTTGATTATTGCAGCAGGTTATTACAGGAGTCGCTTTTTTTTTTTCCTGCTTTGCTAATCCAACTTTTTTTTTCTTGGTTGTGTAAGGAGGGCACCTGTGTTACTTTGCCCATTTTTTTTTCCCCGTAATAATCCTTGAGTGGAGTGTAGTGGAGTGGAGTGGATTAGAGAATAGGGAGGCACGAGAAAAAAAAACGAGAGAGCGTGTCATATGAGTTAGCGTGTAAGGTACATTAACATGAATATGTCTCTCCTTGTTGAAAGCTGCTTAGCATAGCAACCCAACGTTCTATGGATCCAAAAGCAATAGCCATTCCTTTTTTTTGCTTGTATTGCGTTTCAAGGGCTTTCACACTTACACCACCGAATCCTGACCTTTGACCCTTTACTAGCTGGTGCGCGCTCCTCTCAACTTCACAACATCCATGAGGGTTGTGTGGATTTCCATCAATATTTCTCCTTACACTTTCTCCGTCGGTTCCACTCGGTGACTCTTTCTTCCCCTCCTACCCCATCTCACGGTCTCTGCAATGCTTTGGAATACTCGCAAAGCATTGGTTATGATATCTCTCCATTGTTCTGATTGATATTCCCATGGTTACCCCCCCCCCCTCCGTCTTTGAAGGTGAGAGGAAGCGAGAAAAGACGCGTTTAACAGAAACAGTCGCGAGAAGTGAAGCTCACAAGCGTAATATCCATGCCAAACTTGGCCAATCACTCATTCATTTCTCTCATCGGTAAGACCAAAAAAGAAGGAATCCAAAAACGATGTTAGTCATTCATCAACCACCTGCACTCTGAACACCACACGCGTTTATCGCGTCGTGCGGAGATAGAATTGTTTACTTTCGACTTTTTCTACCCTTTGTTCTCTTAAAGTTTTGATACTATCATTTGGTGATGAGTGAAAAACGATAGATGGGTCAAGGTAGTAAAGCTTCTCAATTCATTGATATTTTGCGACAGACCACGGAAAAAAAGGGATTGCCTTTGGAAGAGCAAACATAAGGGAGTAGGAAGATAGGCCCTGAAGAAGAAGAAGAGAGACGGCAAAGGGTGATTTTGTCTGTGGCGAAAAGTCGCGACAAGACAAATTCAATCAAAACAGCAATTTGCGATAAAGTGACAAGGGATGGGAGATGATGGGCGGAAAAAACGGTAATGGAGAGGGAGAGGAATGATCGCAAGAAAAGGAACGAATGGATTTTTGGATGATGCGGCTGAGCCGAGCTGAAACCGCGAACCCCTTCTCAATGCTGAGATCCAATGTTGTCGCGGTATTTGAGGAAAGGGTTAACAAGGTAGAATAGATGGGAGAAAAGGGGAGTGGACATTGGGATCGTGAAAGAGATCGAGAAGTAATGATACATGTCATACATGACAGAGTGCAAGGACCGCACGATTCAAGGTTAGGGAACGGTGAGCTTCAGGGAGTGACGTCGAACCTCCAAAGTTTTAGAAGCGCGACTTGATCGTGTGGGGTATTTGGAGAAGAATGAAAATAGGGAGAAAAGGGAGAAGGAGGAAGGAACAAGTAAGTAAAGGAAAGACATGGCACTGCAAAATGGATGTTGCGTAGCCTCTTTTTTTTTTGGAAAAATGAACGCGACAATACCAGACCATTTTCTCCATTGGTGAGCACGAACAGCAAAGGAGCTTGCGCGAACTCATCGCAAACCAGAATGTAATATAGCGTGGGAAAATTTAACAATAGTAATGTGGGAATGAGGTGAGAGAAACAACATACACTCTTTGACAGAAACTACAAAAATATGAAATAAAAAAAGTCGATAAAGCGCGCGGCGCGCGAAAAGAAGGTGATAGAAAATAAGGAGCGGCGAGGAAAGAAGAGGAGCGTAGAAAAGGGGGGGGGGGGGGGGGTAGGAGGAATGCGTCAAGAAAAGTAAATGAAAAAGTCGGGGAGATTTTTTTTCTTTGTTGTAATGCAAGGTTTTGCATCGTGTCCAACAATCATGTTGCATGGTTGTTCATAGTGTTTTCATTCCCCCATACCTCACTACTTTACTTCTATTCATTCAATTAGTTATCCTCCATCAAACCTGTGGCAAAAGCACAATGGGAAATAAGGTTAAGAGATGGGTGGTATTTCTTTCATATTGTGTTCTTGGAGCTTTTCTTTCGCGACAATGAAGGGATGAAGACGGGCAAAGGTGGATGATAAGAAAGAAAAGCACGGTCTCGGCAAACGACCAAAGATATGGCGTTGCCCTACTTTTGTCCTTCATTGAATCAGTGGATATCTTGATCCAACCGGCAAGTGATTAAGTATGGTTTGGAGTGAAATTGACAGTCTAGGGATGCACACATAACCGCGACTTTGTACATTCATTCAATGGGGAATATTTCTCTGGCCCCTTTTTTTCTTTGACTTGCACTTTGTCCTTAACTAAGTCTTCGTCCTTGTCATTCCCTTTTTAATTCCTTTAACCTTCAACCCACTCTAATCCTCCGTTGAAGGCCATTTAATGGCATCCCCATTTCAATTGAGAACCCCTTCTTTTTGTCTACTGAGCGAATGCCTATCGTTTCTTTTAATTTAGTGCTTTCTTTTTCACCCATAGCTGAAAAAACAGAAAGAAATTACATAACTATATCGTCATTACACTCCTTCGTCATCTCTAGTTCTCTCACTCCTCGCTCTTGACGTGGATTTAGTTCACTGTCCGAGAAGGAGGTCGACGGTGACTCAGGAGGCGGCGCTAGCAGAGGAATCGGCTTTGTTGGCACTGTTGTCTCCCCTGAATGTTGTAGTATTGGGTGCTGTAGATGGTGGTTGCGATTTTGGGACTGTACCAAACTGCAAACAGCCGTCGCTGTCGTTGCTGTTGACAGCTCTAGTCCCTTTTCCTGCTCCTGAAGATTCCCCCCATCAAGTTCTTTTAGCGCCTGCTCCTGCTGTTGTTGTAGCGGTGACACTTCAGCGACCTCCTTCTTACTACCACCTCCTATTCTTCCTTCCATGTCCTCATCAACATCCATAACCGCCACCTCCGACGATGACGACGACGACGATCCTGCGTGATGGCGATGGCGACCACCAATCATCATGGAGTCTAAGACGTGGGTTGTGACCTCTACCGGTTCATCAACGCCATCGTTACCTCTCCCTTTGGGAGTTAGGAGGGTATGACCGTGCGATGCGAGGTCACCTATCTGGAGGACGGAACTTTCAGGGTCCAGAACCATTGCGGTAGTGGTAAGGGAGACCGCTTCATCGCCTTCGGCCGTTCCGTCTCGAAGTCTAGACCGCGTCTTCGTCTCGGCATCCTCCTCTACATTACTACCACCAACGGACAATCCTGCAGGAGCTGGAGTAGCGTTTGGTCGACGCGCCGTCGGGCCCATGTTGCGACTCCCACGCAGCCGCGCGTCAGCGAGGACGAACGCCGGTGCCGGAGCCCATGGACTCAACGCGTAATGGTTCACGTCCATGTCATTATCCTCCTCATCATCATCGTCTTCATCAGCTTCCGGTTCTTCATCCTCTTCGTCTGAGAGGAGGTCGTCGGACACGGTGGATCCACTATGCTGATGACCCCTCAATGCCGCCACTGATGCGGAGGAAGGTCCAGAAGGCGAAGAACCTGGAAGTGGAGGTGGAGGCTGAGAATGCCTTGCGCGTGCGCTATCATGGCGGTAATGTTGATGATCATCCATGTACTGGTGATCCTGATGCTGTTGGCGCAGACTAGGCGTGCTGGGCATCTTCTTGACACGCGCAATCATCATCGACTTCTCCTCAGTCGGCCCCGCAGAAGGGGAAGTACACCCACCATCGGGCGAAGAAGGTGGGGACCGCCGCGCCATCGCAGAAGTAGGTCTCAAGATGGTGTGTGGAGGCGGTGACGCCGTCGACATACGAGTTCGGTGTTGGTCGACCAATCCTTCTTCGCTTGGTCCCTCATCGGAGGCTGGAGTGTCTTTCTCGTGTGCCAGCGTCGTCGCGGTCGTCGTGTGACTCTGTGGCGAAGAAGAGGTTGGAGATCGGTATGGTCCAAAGTAAGATGCTGCTGTCGTGCGGGTCGGTGTTGTAGCCTCGTCGTCATCTTCTTCTGAAGCACCACCCTCGCCGCGAGTGATAGTAGTAGCGATGGGTCGTGAGGATTCAATTCCACCGGAATGGCCTCCTCTGGTGATGCTTGCAAGTGAGGACGAGAGAGGCGTCGACACCATACGCTTCAATGTGCCGCCACCGGGGGGTCCACTAACCAAAGGTCGAGGATGGATGTCCCTAAAGTCTGGCAGGTCCGGCAACTCGTTCATCGTCAGCCGCTCACTCGCCTATATCTCACATAAAACAAAAAACACATTGAGTATCGAAAATAAACTACCAAGAAAAACATGATGAAATACAGGAGCAAAGTCGATACTTACAACAAGTCCGGCCCAATCAAGGTACATCTTCATCGTCAGTTCCAAATGCCGATCCTCCGTGATCTCGACACACCCCCAAGGATGATCCTTGCACCGGAGTCCATACATGGCCTGTAGCTGGGATGCACATTGGACCACATCCGAGAACTGCACTGTCGTCTTTCCCGACGTTTTGGTAGGTGTTTGTGCACTCGTTGTTGGTGTTTGTGCCGTGGCTCCAGCTGCTTGGGGATCGGCGTTCTGAGAGTCTGATGATTCCGCCATCGAGGAAGAGTGCTGGCGCTGGTGGCGGTACGAAGAAGTAATAGTCTCCCGAAGTTCAGGAGAAGGTGACCGGAGATGGTGCTGCCGCTGCGAATGGTGCTGGCCATTGTTACTGCCTTGATGGTGGTGACGAAGGTTTTGATAAGACCGATGGCTTTGCAGGTTGTGATGTCGGTTCGCGGTGCCATTGAGTCCAGAAGACGAGACGCGGTGGTGGAGCGTTCTGTGGGGCGGTGGAGTTCCACCACCAGAAGTAGCAGAGGCAGTATGAGGGTCGGTTGTTGATCCTTGGGTGTGCTCTTCGTCAGGTGCGAATGGTCCTGGGACATGCTTGACCTATCGATAATTACCACACATACACAATCGATATTAGAGGACTGCGTGGTTTTGCCACGGTAATGCTATCACTACCTAAGAAAAGAGCGAAGAAGGGCTGTGAACCAAACGTACCGCACATGCGCGGGCTTGATTGAGTAGAGTCCCCGTCGAGGCGCGACGCTTCAAAGGCTGGTATCGATTTGAGTCTTCCGCCTCATCTGAATCATCCGGATCGTGATGGTGGCCACGGTGGTTGTGATGTCCAGTTCCACGTCGCGCGTCCAGATCATCGTCGTCATCGTCCTTGAAATCATCATCTTGCAAGTCATCCTCATCATGTTCGTCTCCTTCCATGCTCATAGATGAAGGCATACGGCCTAAAACAAAGGAAATAGAAGCGGAAAGGAATTAGATCACTGAGAGGCAATCTTGACAAAGGCATTAAAAACCAAAAGTGAAGGAACGAAAGACGTACGCTTTTTGAAGGCAAAGTCGTCTCGTTTGCGCTTGGACAAGGCGCTACTGACGTGAGCACCACCGGCCATGGGCTCAGATCGAAGTGCATGACTCAATGGTTGCTGCTGCTGATGCTGAGAGTATTGTTGCTGCTGAATTCCGCCAGCAGTAGCAGTGCGGCCCTGATGTATCCCACCAGAGGCTCCCACCAGGTCTTGAGTGCTCGGGGTCCTTGCATGTAGACCCGAAACTGCTGACGGTGATGATGAATTCGGCAACTGTATCGGGGCAGAATGATAATACGGCTTGGGAGGCGGAGGCTGCTGGATTCTTTGGGAATGGTGATGGGCCTGTTGTTGCTGTTGCAAGTATTGTTGGTGGCTCTGGTGGTGCTGCTTCAATCCCACATTGACGAACGCCTGGCCGTGTTGTTGTTGTTGCTGCTGTTGTTGCTGTTGCTGCTGAGCTTGTGTGTGAGAGGGGGGCGGTTGAGAGATGGACAAATTGGCAATCCGAGTGGTATCAATCGAAGACGACGAATAATGGTGCCCACCAGTTCTACCACTCCCAACTCCGGCACCAAGAGGATACATCCCGCTGCTAGCCTGACGCTGCCGGTTACCTCCATACCCATGATTCTCATCGTCTCCACCACCACCACCACCATTACTCTCACCCATCATGACTGGATGCAGTGTCAACTCCTTCAGCAATCCGACAACCTGCTCATCATACCGAACGTCATCCCAAGGGAACCCCAAGTTCTCCTGATGCTTTTTGAGTCCATTTACATACCAATGCAGGTTACTCGACTTGATCCGCTTGGACTGGTGGTGGAGGTACTTGAGGATAGCTTCCTTCGAGATCGGGTAGAGAGATCCGTCCGGGTTCAGGAGCTGCAACTCCTCGGCGATCTTGGAGTACGTCCTCCAGGCTGTCGCATAGGGGTCTTTTTTCTTTGGTGGCACTATCGCACTTGCGTTCATAGATGATGTTCCCACTAATCCACCGCCACCGCCACCGCCACCGAATCCCGAAACTCCTGAGACGCCAGAGGACCCGCCACCGTACCGGCTCGATTGCGCCATCATCGCAATGTTCCCCGCAGAGACACTATGATGAAGACGAGGCTGATGATGGCCAGGAGGGATGGGTGGTCGTTGCTGCTGTTGCTGGATGCTGAACGACGAAGAAGGCGTATGCGAGTACTGCGGCGAATGCTGCTGGGACGATGACGAATGACTGAGCTGTGACAAGGACGATGTCGAAACCGAGCGAGGCGCAAAACTACCCCCTGGAGCGTCCGAAGAAGAAATGGACGACGAGGAAGCAGAAGAGGGCATTATGGGTGGATGTCCCGATGTGTCCATATGTTGCTGCTGTTGCTGGTGGTGATTATGTTGGCTGTGGTGGTTATGGCCACCCATGTGAGAATGTATATGGTGTGACATAGACTGTTGTTGTTGTTGTTGCTGAGACGATGATGATCCTCCAAAGTGCACATTACGATGCTGTTGTTGATGCTGTAGTTGTTGCTGGAGGGTTGAATGATGTCCCGGTCCTTGACCTGGATCCACGGCCATCCCGGTACCAACGTTGCTTGCCATCCTGTTTCACCGCTGGCTGATGTCCAGTTTCTTGCTGCTGCGGTGTGTCGAATTGAAACAATACCTTGTCACTGGATGTAGGGAAACACGCAGGCCAATTGATGTGTTGCTCGGCGAAAAAGACTATTGTTGCTCTTTGTTTCTTTGTTAAAGTGTGTCGAATAGAAAGCTGGTGTTGTACGACGATGGCAGACAACAAAGAACGGGTATTTCGATGATTTGGTGTTTTAAATGAGCGATTCAGAGTGCTTGGATCAGTGTTTCGTCCTGTGTGAGTGTTGGGTGGAACAGGTCGTCGAGATTAAGACCTGGAAAGAACCCAAAAAAAAAAAAAAAAAAAAAAAAAAAAAGATAGATAGAGAGTAGGTTAGTGGAGATATGAAGAAAAGTAATAGATGAAGTGGTGAAAAAAAAGAGGGGAATGAGCGTTGCGAATGAACAGAAGAACAATAAAAAGAAAAGCAAACAAGCAAACGCTTCTCCTTCCTTTACTTGTTATCATAAAAGGTAAAGTTCCGATGTTTGGACAATTAGATTGTATGTTGTCCAAGGGATGAACAAAAATAAATGCCCACAACATACATTTTGCACACATGCAAATTGAAGAGGTGTACACGCTCATCTTTCTTTTCCACCACCTCTCAATCCGCTCATACGTGCAATGGGCAATTACCACTCACATCTCACATTAGGCAATGTGTCACTTACAGAATAACCAACAATACCGACGCTCGATAAAATGAAAGACTGGGAGCACAAAAAAGGCGCGAGGATAGAGAAGGTGGTCGAAAGGGAGAGAGAGTAAAGGGATGAAAAAAATGTGTGAAGGAGATGAGATAATAAATGGCAAGAGAAGGAGAATACTGAAGGTATTCTTTTCCCCTTATTTTTTTGTGCTCTGTCTTTTAAATGGTGTGTTGTCGATAGAGAGGATTTAGTAGACGAAGTTCCGACGGATCGACTTCTTTCTCACTTGATTGCTCAGTAATCTCGTTTCTTCTTTTATGAAAGGGGGTACGGTCCAGTGAGAAGAAAGACGGGAGAGAGAAGAAAGACGAGGGGCGAAGGAAAAAACGAGAAGATACAGGAAAAAGAGAGGGGTGATATGAGGGGTGAGGGAAGAATATGTGTGCGTTGCACATGTATGGTAGAAGCAAAAAGCAGGAGTGTAAATATGTGTGTGTGAGAGAGGGGTAAGGAAAAAAGTTCATTGAGAGATTAGGGGAGGGGAGACAAGAAAGGGGCCAGCGACAAAAGAATAGGGATCAGGATTGGCCTTGGACATCAATGCACACAACCAAACACGATAAATAATGAAGGTACGTCTTCATCATAACTCCCATACCTCTTAAAAGCATTGGCCATGTCGGTTGTAATTAGAGCGGGAAGGATATGGTGAATACAACCTTGGGCGTGGGGGAAGCATATCCCAGTATTCATATTGATCCCCTATGTGGTCTTTGCTTTGCATGTCTGTCAACTGAAGACAACAACGGTACATCCATGCAGCCGCAATGTCTTTTTTCTTTCATGGGCGGGACAATCTTTGACTGGGGGGGGGGGAAGGAAATCAAAGGAAAGAAAAAGGCAGGGAGTGCTAAAGGGGTAAAACAAGGGAAGGGATGAGAAAGGAAGGGGTGGGCAAGCATGAAAAACAACCGTGAGGGAAGAGTACCGCCTGTCGCCGGGTGTCAACAGTACAACAAAAACAAGCAATGGACGCACTCCTCTGGCCCGAGCGAGCATATATAAACGAGAAAACAGGGGCGTTTCAAGGAAGTCGATGGGAAGAATTACGTGTGTGTGTGTGTGCGAAAGGGAGTTGCAATCCATTGCCATTCACCATCGCGTGCGCATGTGTCTGGCAATCTCACTTCCTTCATCTGGCCTCAACTCATTCAGCTTGTCCTTAGTTGTGACCAAACTATTCTCATCAACTCCTCTTCTCCTTTTTCTTTCGACATGGGTGTCATTACTTTCGAGGTGGCAGGCTCATTCCGCTACATCAGCCTTTTGATTTTTTGCGAGTCCGACGCGTCTGTCGAGAGTCGCGCTTTTCCCTTTCGAAGAAGCCCCGATCACCAGCCAATAAACACGCGTCAAAAGAAGAGTTCGGTAGTCTATGTCTCTCAAACAAACAGAAATGTGCATCAACAAGATGTTTTGTTGCCTCACCTTGCGCGTTGTTGTGCTGTTAAAGTAGTATATGCAGTAGCAAGAAGGATATGTGTTGGAGAAAGGAATTGTAAGAATGAAGAAGGAAAAGTGGACAAGGAACAAAGAAGGAAACAAAGAAAAGAAAGTTGTCTACAACAGGGGGTGGAAAATATAATGAGAGGGGTAACAAATAAAAATACAATCTACAAACGCAAGGACGCACACAAAAAAACAAACAGGGGAGAATAAGTTGCTCGAGAACAGGTGAATGAGTAAAGAAAAGGAAGAGGGGCGGAGGAAATAGGTAATAAGAAATGGGTTTGCGCATTGAGCACTAAAAACGACTCCTCTGTGAGAAAGACGGGGGGAAGGAATAAAGGAATACATGGAGGGGTAGATTTTGTCAGTATGCATACAGAAAGCAACAAACGAATGGAATGGACGGGTCACCATGCGGTTTGTAGCTAATAACTATCAATAGGCATTGGCGCGAGAGTGGGGAGGTCGCACCAGTACAACAACAAAAAAGCAACCTTGGTGGCAATGCTGTTGTGGGCACCATTGGTAATGAATAGTGCCATAACAAGCATTGTCTCGCACGACACTCAGACACTGATGTCTCGCTCAGGACCCTGCCTGAAGATGACCTCAACTTTGAAAAACGGGGCAGGTTTCGGCCGATATTTGATGGTAAAATGAATGAAACGTGTTATTTTGAAAAAATTATCACAAGTCCATCTTTTAGGGGGAAAAAATACTTCTTTTTTCGAGAGAGCAAGGTAGGTAAGGTAAAGGGTGAGTGGTAGTGGGTTATCTTCATCTGCTTCCTCATGATGATGTTTAGCAGGTAATCCTCCTTACTGGGATCCAAGGCTGGGGAAGAGCTCAGTGTCGTCGACGTTGACAGAGGCACCACCGCCGCTGCGACGAGGTCCAGACGAGGCATGGTTGCTGCTGCCTCCACGACCGCCGCGAGCTCCTCCACGTCCGCCACGACCGCCACGATCACCACGGTCACCACCGCCACGGCCTCCACGGAAGGCGCCACGGGGGGCGGGGTCACGAGCTGGTTCGGTGAAGCGCAAGTCAATGTCCGTGATCAAAACCTTGCCCTCCTTCTTGACCTTGCGAGACTTTGCGACGGTGTCCTTGCCCATCTTGATAAAGTCGACCGTCACTTCCACCTCGAGAACCTTAGCGTCCTTCCACTTAGAGTCGTCGGCACCAGCGTTAGCAGCGCGAGTCTCGGGGAGTGAGAGCTTGAGAGCCTTGGCGGCCTTCTCCTGCAAGTAATCATCCAAGGTCTTGACAGCAACCTCGGGTTCGGCAGGCTCGGGAGAAGGTGCAGCAGATTCCCTGGCGATCCTATTATGATGGAGAAACATATTGGACAAGGGTTGTGTCTGTTGAGTATGCTACTCTTGGCAGCGTCCGTTTCTGATTTGACAAATATCGGTAAGTTCCTGTCAACACAGACTGATTATCGAAGGTTCGTGCTCCATGATCTCCTTGATGATTGCTTGCGTAGCGTTGTCACTTACTCTTGAGCATCCTTTTCGCCTTCAAGGGGAGCGGTGGTGGCATCACCCAATCGGTTGTGCTCTTTCTTTTCACTGTCAACAATGCCGGTTCCAGAGTGACGGTCAAATCCGCCGTGACGGATACCACCGCGTCCACCGCGACCACCACGGGTACCACGGGTACCATGGGAGCGAGGAGTCGACTCTCCCTCACCGCGAGGAGCACGATCGAAGCGGGGTCCGCGAGGAGCTAATGGATATTTACAAGACTGTTGTTAGTCTCCTTCGATCGAAGGTGTTGTAATGTAGGATTGGACCAATGATTCCCCTTTCTTTCTTTGTACGCTCCTGTGTGGGTCCAATTGATCCATCCTTCATCTGTGAAAAAGAGATTCTTGAGCAATTGTGCTTTCCTCCTGGTCTACTTAATATCACTCCCTAAACTGTCGCGTGTCTCGTGTTCCGGCTTCTAACCCCCTCTTTTTTTTGTTATTCTCCCTTCCCTTGCCAGGTCAGTTCAGTCATCCCAAGGTGTGATCAACTGGCCTTTTCCTTGCAGGGTCCTTCCAAAAAAGAAGGCTTCAAAACAAGGTTAGAAACCTCAATGTCCGCCCTGCATGCTCAGTTAATAAAAACGCAGTCGCTCGACTCGCTCCAGGTGTGTGTATCGGTCCATTGGTCATGGTTTGGGCTAGTTGGGCTGAGCCTCGAGGTAGATGACAAAACGTAAAACGAAAGAAAGGCAAAAACTTTTGCTGTTTGTTGAAGGGAGGGCTATCCATTGTCGATTTGCATGAATACAGTGTCAAGAAACAAAAAATTATGTCTGGATTGGTTGGTGTGTCTAGCCCCAGTTTCTTTTTCCCCCTCTCAAGTCGCAAGTACCCACGCGAGTTCCGATCCGCTCTCACTCACACACACACCCTCAGACTTCCTCCGCACTCTTTCTCTCAATCACCCTCTCTCTCCGTGCGAACAGAGAGGAAGGAACAAGTAAATCAAAACGGTGGTATCAATGTCTCCTATCGCCCTCTCCGCTTGCATATACACCCTTGGAGCTTGAAAGAGAAGGTGAGAGCGAGAGCTGTACCGGCAGCCAGTGTATCGTTCGTTGTTCCAAGTTGGACCGGAGAAACAGTTATTTCTCACGCCCAAATTAAAACTACGTTTGACTTTATCCTGAGTGAAGTATGAGGTTGTGGAGCAGGAGGAAGAGTAAGGTTGATTCCGATCGGTTACAGGTGTTTGTGGAGAGGTGGCTCATGTATACAAAAGGAGTGAGAGGGGTATATGTTGGTTTGCTGATGGGGTCTGTTCGGATCACTTTTTCTTTTCACGCGACTCAGTTCTGAGATTAGCCATTGTCTCAAAGGAGGAGAGTAAGAGTGTGAGGGAGGGTTGGCAGGTAGAGTGAAGTGAATGAGAGTATGCTTGTGCGTATATGTGAGTGTGAACTTGTTGTTGCTGTTGTGTGTCAATAGAGTACAAGGGAAAAAGTTGGTCGCTTTTTGCTTGCGTGTGCAATCGAACTGTATCGTGTGCGCGTTTTTGTTCTTTGTCGGCGTTCTCTTTGTCCTTTATCCTGCTCTTCCTTGAGTGTGCGCGTACGTGCTGTATGAGTATCGTGTATGAGTATTACCTTCGTTGGCGTCGCTGTTGGCAGGTCTGGGTCTGTTCTGACGAGCACCACCAGCACCACCTTCCTTGCGGGGACCTCTGTTATCTCCGCCAGCCGACCGACTAGCTCCACCAGCACCAGCGGCGGGAGTGGCCTTTGCGGCTGGCTTGGAGGGAGCAGCCTTGGCAATGGCGGGGACCTTGATCTCCTGGTCCTGCGCATCGTCGTTGAGGAGGTCAAACATGTTTTTTGAAGCCATTGTTGTGCTTGTTTGTTGTTGAGGAGAGCAAAGGGAACTGAAGAATGGAAGGCAAAAAAAAAGAAAAGAGAAAAAAAAGAATTCGGACAAGACCCATGACTCTCCTTCCCCCCCTTCTTTCAATCCTTTTCATTGACCACTTTTTCGCTTCACAGGAAGGAATAGGACTGTTTGGTTTCTCAACCCCTTCTAATTGCACATGACTTCATTGACAGAGCTGCATTAACTAATAGCAGGAAGGGGCACACAGACCTTTGGGCATCGATTAGTATCGTGCGAACAAACATCCATCACTCGCTAACAACGACCGCAACCATCGATCGATTATAGGTGCGTAGAAAGCATATCCGTTCGTACAAAAGCACCTACTTGGCTGACATCCACATCTGCTCCAAACTGGACTCCCCCTACCGCAACATGGTCCTGACGCGTGATGATCTACACAAGGGGAATGGATTTATTAAGGGTGTCTTGCGACCTTGCGTAGGACGAAAGGGAGTAGGAGAGGGCTTCTACAGAAGGTAGTCGCCCAACCAGATCTTGGGCTTCTGACGCGCCCCCAAGACCTGCTCACAAACTTTGGCCACATGGATCAACCTCTTCTCATCCCACCACTGCGACATGAACTGGATACCGATCGGCAGACCCGTCTCATACTGGTCACCATTATGGTGCTTGTATTCCTCTGCGGTGTAACCAGCAACAGCAGTGATTCCAGGGATACCCGTGAAATTGGCCATCATCATGTACTGCATACCCTTGACGTTGTTCAGGTAGTTTGACTCGCCGTGAGACTCGGCACCAGGATGCACTTTGGGTGGCAAGTTGGCGATAGTGGGTGTAACAATCACATCGACCACACCAGCCTCAAGGCCACCGAGGCAAGGGTACTGTGCGTGGTGATGAGGGTCGCTCTCCTTGTGACCAAAGAGTGACTCCAAGAACCGGATGCTGCGTGTTCTTTGTTGCTGAGCCCTCACATAGTCCTCAATACGTAAACTAGCCATCATTGCCAATTCCAATCTCGACTGATAGTTCAACTTCTTGCGGCCAGTCTATTCAGAATCGAGAAAATTTGCACACTTAGTTCGCTACCAAATCACATTTACATTCAACACCCAAGAAGAGACAATACGTACGCTGATCTTGGAAAGCATCTCGCCGACAATAGTAATATTATGCGCCTTGCCGTTCTCAAAGAGCTCAGGAATCTCAATATCGACCAACACAGCACCATGGTCCTTGACAAGGCTGTCCAGCATCTTGTAGCAGACCTGAGCAATTTCGGGGTGCGTCACATCCTCAAACCAACGGCGGTAAATTCCAATACGCAATCCCTGCAATTGTCCCTTCTGGGGGCTGGAGATGAGGTTGGTAGGCGAAGGAAGGACGACGGTTGGTTGGAGAAGCGAATTGGGGTCCTATGATTTGCCAATGAAGAGTAACAACGCGTGTAAGATGACATTTCTTACTCTCGAAATCATTTATGTGTCGTTATTTTCTAGGAGAGAGTGAAAAGGTACCTGGTTATCACGTCCGGCGATGATAGCGTAGACAATCGACAGATCCTCCATAGATGCACACATGGGTCCACTAATGGCAACCGTGGGTGCCAAAGGGTACTCTCCCCGTCCTGAAATGCGTCCCTGGGTGGGCTTTAATCCATAGATTCCACAGTACGACGAGGGGATACGAACCGATCCACCGCCATCGCAACCAATTGCAATTGGGCAAAGTCTAGAGCGGAGTGTCGAAAAATAAAGCGAGGAATTGTGAATATCTTTTTGTTCCTCTGTCCTCAAATCAAACAGTAAGAAAACCACGCGTTTTCATAGTAAACGGTTGATCTGAAGAACAATCCTTACCCTGAGGCAACGGCGGCGCCAGAGCCTCCGGAACTGCCTCCAGTCGAGTGTGCGGGTCTGTAGGGGTTGCGAGGGGTTGTGGTGCTGGGATTGAAGTTCGTGATTCCCAGTCCTATTGTCCAATTGGGCATCAAAATAAAAATATGGATGAATTATTAGATATCGCTTCCTCTACAAAAGACACATGCCAGCTCTCAGTCGCCTGAGAGCACATTTTTTGTTCTCCATGACAGGTAATAAATGGCTTACCAATCTCGTGCATGGTCGATTTGCCGATGATGATGGCTCCATGGCTACGGAGGAGCGCGACCAGATGGGCATCCTCCTTGGCCGGATTGCCCTTATTGATGTAGCTTGTGCCCACTCCAGTCTCGAATCCCTCAACGTCAATCTCGTCTATCACAGAAAAGGTTAGCGATCGAGACCATGGGTCAAATAAAAATTAAAATTAATTACATGAGAACAGAAGAGGTGAAGGAAAGAGGCGCGGGGAGATTTGTGCGCTTTTTCCCACACAACAAACCATATACACACAAAACAAAAAATATCCCCCTGACCAACTCAACGACAAAGGCAGAAGTGTGAACGAGTTACCTTTGACAATAACAGGGACACCATCAACGATGCTGAGAGGTGTTCCGTTCTGGTAACGCACGGTTGACTCCTGAGCCTGCTTCAAAATCTTTTCCTTGTTCCAGTTCCAGACAGCTCCCAGGGATGGCGACACCTCGCTGGAGGCTTGAATGCGCTCGATCAATTGCTCCGCAACCTACACGCCAATTGACACGAGAGTTTGTCAGTACTCATACTTCTGCTTGCGAGATATACCGCCAAAGACGAGGAGGTAATAGGAATTACCTTGGTAGGGGTGTACTGTCCAGACTTGTAAGCAACATAAAAATCACGACACGTCAAGAATCGATGATTATCTTCTCCTCTAGTATCAGCCCTCAGACCAGTAGCCTTCGCAGCCTGGTCATCAGCATCCTTCTGCAAGGCGGTCAAGTAATCCTGAGCAGCAACCGTGTTGGTCTTGGGGTCGGCAACAGCAGACTGGACCATTTTTTCAACAGGTGCCCAGACAGGCATGGTGGTAGGCGCCTCAGCGTAATCCTTGTTGCGGAGGACGTAGAGTCCAGCATCGGCGCAGAGGTAGGATGTGACTCCGAGGGGCTCACCGACGAGCTCGAGAAAGTTGGTGAGGAAGGCTAGGAGTCTTCCGGAGACGATGGGGGTCTTTGGGTCGACAAGGTTGTAGGTTGATGATGGGGGTGTTGTGTTGTGGGTCATTGTCGCGGAATGAGAGTAGAGGGAGAGAGGAGAAAGGAATGAATGGGGAGTAGGTGATGAACAAAGGAGAGATGGAATGAGAAAATAGAAAAGAGAGGAAAACGTAGACAGGTCTTCAAAGGATAATAGACATGAACTCGGCTTAATTTGAGCCGAGGAAATAGGTTCGATCTTGTACCTGATTTAGACTGGCAAGATCAAAACAAAGGCGTTTTATCTGTCTCTCTCTTGTTTCTTTCCCAAGAGCATCCTTGCTCGCTTACTTTGCCCCCTCGATGCCATTGACAGCCAGAACACGATGCTTGTATATCGCGTTGCCGTCATATCTTTAATGATATAAATGCGTTTGTCTCGGGTCAACGCCAAATGATACAAATGCGTCGCGTCCTATCTATCAGTCGCAAAACATCGTATGCAATCAAGTGATACGCGTCATTAATTGAACAACAGGAAAATCATCATGCACACATAGACACACATTCCCATGTACCAAGTGCAACGACTACTGGATCATGAAACACAAAACGTACACAATAGACACAAGAGCAGAAAGAATAGTAGTGTATTATGAAAGAAAGAAAAAACGACACTATCTGTTTGTCGAGGCTCGACGGAAGAACCACCCGATCGATGCACCTCCGCTTGTTGGTCACGCTCGAACGAATATATGGCGCGCTTTACGACCGATTCAATCCAGGTATTCATTTTCGCGTTCGTCTCTACCGCCATCTGCTGTTGTTCCTACATCCTCGCTTTCCTCCCCTGTCTCTCCCAAAAGAAAGACAGCTCCAAACTCGAAGCCGCATCTTCTAGGCGGGCCTTATCCACCTGGATGCATGACACGCTTAGGAAAAATAGAAGAAGAGAAGAGTATGTGATTTACTTTGTGCTTGTGGTTGAAGTGCACGTGCATGGAGTGCATGGAAGTTGGGGTTGCAAGGAAAGAGATCCAACTCCAACAACAGGCCAAGTGAAACAATAAAACGAAAAGGAGAGTCCAACTCATCCATCGTAGTTTGTTGAACTATCTGCGGATGAAATTCTCGACCGAGCAAACTGGTAGTCAGCCAAGTCATTCTCCGTTTCCGCGAATTGAGGCATCGCCCGCCTCTCTTTTCGCGTTTCCCAATCCCCCAATCCTCAAGACACGTATCGCGTCCTAGATCTGATGGTCAATCCTATTGCCGCTATTGTTTCCTTTGGTACACCGACACTACCTCCCCAGGTTCATTAGCGAAACTTTCTGACGTTTGCTTGCCAAAGAACCCATATACCCACACTCTTCTCGTATGATACTCGTTGTGATCACCTCCAACCAAACCCGAACATGCAATTGATTGCAACCTTGGTTCTATGGATGGAGCGAGGGATTAGTTAAATAAAGAGTGGAGTGGAGGAGGAATGAGAGTAGTAAGGTGGGAGGGAAGACAGTGAAAGAAGGCTGGGCGGAAAGAGCACAACGAAGAATTGGAAAGGAGGAATGATAGAGTAGAGAAGGTAGAGGAGGGGAAGAAGAGAGAAAGAGAGAAGAGATAATGAAAAAAGAGAGAAGGAAAAAAGAGAGAAGGAAAAAGGGGAAAGAAGAGGAGAAGAGCGTGGGAACGAAAAGAAGGAGAGCAGAGGCGAAGTAGAAAAGAAGGGGGAGAAACAAAAAAGATAGAGAAACAAAGGGTCATGGACACAAAAAATTAAATAACGCCTTACTTTTTCAAGGGTGCCGCAGCGACAACAATGAACAAGCATGTATAAGCAAGCAATTACACTGTGACTCGTACACAACCCAGCAAAGAAATAACTATCAATGAAAGAACTTTATTCATATGCTACCTACTCTATCGTATTGTCGAAACAAGAAGAACGAGGCATCAACAAATAAAAATGTCTCATACGCTCACTCAGAACCGAAGGTCTGGTCGACCCAGTTCTGCCAACCACCGATGAACATTGGCCTTGTCAATATCCTTCAATGGTTGGAGATCCAGGGACATCAGCCAAGGCAACACCACCTTTACAATCCTGTAAAGTCCGTCAAACGCCCATGCCTGTCCTCTTGCGGAAAGTCCAAGGTGCTTGAGGTTGGTGAGTTGGTTCAAACATGCGAATTCTGCCATAAGAGAATGATCCGAGTCACGATTTTTGATCGCGAGAGAGCGAAGGTACCGCATTTGGCCAAGCTGTGCATATGTAACATGCCAAATCCGTTGGCGGCCCTGATGAGTGGCGGAGACGTAAGGGTCGATGTCAAGCTCAATTCAGAGCTCCTTAACCTGTGGCGCAGGGTTGCTGTGGGTTGCGATCTCTCCTTCTTCAACCTCGTGCAGAAAGAGTCCCGAGGTTGGACAGCGAATCCTTTGAGAATAAGCGTCGTCACCTCCCTGTGCCAGAAGAGAATTGAGGTCAAGAGAAAGGCATTCTGCCAAGTCAGAACGTGCTCTTGGCCATCATTTTCTCTCTGCACTTCCAGCTTGAACGACCTCAGCTGAGGTGCGAATGTCCGGAACTGCAGTGCTCACAGCCGATCGAACCGGTTCACGCCCCCCAATGTAATGCTTACTGCCGTAAGGGGGTTCAATCGGTCATGCATATTGACCATATCGGATATCCTGAATGAGAGTGGTCCATCGAACACCAACTCTTCAAGTCGCCTGCAGCCGAGAATTGGCGCCAATGATGTCACCTGGATATCTGTTGGCTTTGCAGTCAGAACTAGTTTTCGGAGGTTAGGACAGTGTTGGATGAATCCAAGTTCACTGCGTGGAACGCGAAGATCCTTGATCGCCCACTGAGGCTTGATCGCTCCCGGATATTGTACATCTCTTTTTATCGTTCATATCATACTGCGATTCATCGTTGACTCTATTATTTGACGCTGTTCATTTCTGTAGGAGAGATTGCGCTCGCTGTGTTGACAAGTTTTTTTTCCAATTGGTTGTTGTTGGCGTCGCACTCAGTTTATCAAGTAAAAAAGTGAACTGGGAGATGGCGAGTGACGATCGCTCCACTCTCTCATCCGTTTTCGAGCATTCATAAAAGAGCAACGATGTTTTCCGAGCAAGTTTGGCTCTTTAAAATAATATGGGGGAGGGGTGAAGATTCGACGACAACGCCACGAGTGTAGTATTTTTATATTTCATTTGCTCTTTGAGGTTGCTTGTATCACAGCTTTATTTCATGTAACAGTAGAACTCGGATCAAGTTGCTGGCTTACTCTTCGCCTTTAGAGTTTTCGACATGGTGCATGGAGACAAAATAGCAAAGCGATTACTTGAAAATGAACAAAAAAATATGATATGCCCGGTTGACCTCGAACGTTTAGCACCACCCCCCTTATTCACGCAACAAGCAGATCTATTCTACTACGTATTAACAGCGCTCTTTCGTTTCAAGGCTTTACTATTACTTTCTTTATGTTATATCTAGTTGCAAATGGTTTTTTTTCTGGCTACGATCGTGAGAATTTTACACTTTGATGATATCGGGTTTTCGCTCCATGTTGAAGGCCGCGCCTTCGCCCTGTCTTCAAGATCGTGACAAGCAATATCTCGTACCCATAGAACAGTTGTGCTTGTTGTCGTATGAATGACTTTCGACGATACATATTTTCCGACACTCTGTCTCTTTGAGCGTGCACAACTGTACAAGAAGGATACTCTAAAGGGTAGTGCGCGGGTTCTTTTCTTTGTGGTTGAATGTTGCGGAGTGCCATTCTCGCTTGTTCATGAACCAAGTCAACAGGCTTTCCTTTTCTTACTCTGTAAGGCGAGGTGCCGGAGGTGAAGGAGTGGAACGAAGGAAAGATGCGCGCCAACGCAAGGAAAACAACCAGGCGGTTTTGGTGGCATGAATGACCATGAGAGCTTGTTCTATTGCCAAGTCGCTTTGTTGTTGATCGCCACGGGACCCTCGCCCTCCCCTCCCATCAGCACACTCTTAGCTATCAGTGCAACAATATTCTCTCACCATGTTAATATCCTCGCGCGCCTTGTTGGATAAACGTGTAACCTTTCATTCGAAGATAATTGGTAACCCAAAGGTCAACGCCGCCCTTGGGCTTTCACCGTACCTTTTTTTTTGTGAAAACTGAGACAAGAGATGCGCTTTGATCCCCAGCACTCCCTTCTCCACAAATTACATCTTTAGGAGGAGGTGGGATAGAACAGCGATGCATGACTGACAATGGTAACAGTTTTCGTCACGGAATCATGTGTGCTCAAAGGGGTAACCCCACTCTACTGTACAGCACTGGTTTGAGTGCTATGGAAGATAGAAGGGGACGGAAGGAAGGGAGGGAATGGGCATCTACTCCCCGAGCGGATACCAGCAAACGACCCTTCCATCTCTTTTTTTGGACCTAACGTGTGATCCACTTATTAGCGTACATGATAATGTTTCGAAGACTTCGGTCGAGGAGACGAGAAGACAGAAGGCGTCATGGCTCACTTGCACCTCATCTCTTTTTTCTCTCTACTTACAAGCGCCAACGCTCACCATGACAATCATCGCACAGCTTGTTTGTAGTTGACGATTTCTTGATTCAATTGCTCCATAGAATGGAACACTCGCGTATTTGGCAACGACGAAAAACGCGGGGACAGGGTTCAGGAGGCGTGAGCGCAAAAAAAAAAAAAAATGCAGGAAATACTTCCCCGTCTCATTCCCACTCAAAAAAAAGGGTTTGATTTCTGCCAGGGCCTGGTGTTAGAAAAAAAGAAAAGAAGGGCGTGTGACGTCTCTGGGGTTGGTTGGCTGGCTGAGGTGAGAAAAGTAGGTGCTCACTTTTTTTGTTGTTTTCGGAGCGTTGCCTAAAAGAGAATATTCGCACGCATTCGGACCATGCGAATTGTTGGTGGGGTGGTATTGAGGGAAATATACATGACAAGGGAGAGGGATCTATAAAAAGTACATTGTCGTGGGTAAACAGACAACCGCCTCTTCACTCCAGCTCTTTCTTTTTCTTACTCATACTTTTCTTTGATCGCTTCTTTTCTCACTTCTTTTCTCACTTCTTTTCTTTCCGTTGCTCAACCCCAATATCACGGAGAATAGAAAACACACGAGAAGCGAGGATGCGGCGATCCATTGAAGCGCAGGAATGCAAAGGGCAGTGCTGTTGAAGAGCTAGGAAGAAAGAAAAAAAAATAAAAAAAAGAAGCGTGTGTGAGTCTGGACAAGAAGGAAGGTGAGTGAGTAATACCAAGGATGCGTGTGAACTGCATGTAATAGATGAAGTATTGGTTCCAGAAGTGTGTGAGTGGGTGGAATGAGTTTGATTGAGTGATAGAAGAGAAGTAATGCCTCTGGAGTTCAAAGTCAGTCTCTCCGTCAGTCATTTTTTTGTGCGGACGTAAACAAACAAAACCAGCAATACCCTTTCCGCGTATGTCCCCTTCTTTCCTTTCTTTTCTCTCGAAACAATCTCTCTTCTTCTCCCCACACTCACACCCCATCACTTCTCTCTCTCTCTCTCTCACCTCCCACCCTCCCTCCCTTTTTTACGAACACATTCCTCTCCTCTCATCCGTACCCTCCTCTTTCTCCAATCTCCAACAACACATATATTTCACAATGATCTCTGCCGTCCGCTCATCAAAACAGGTCGCCCGTGCCGCCCGCCCCTTGGCCGCACTCTCCAAGACCACCCTCTTCTCTGTCCCCGCCGTCCAGGCTCGTCGCCACCTCACCATCAACGCTGCTGCTGCCTCTGCCGTCGCCACCCAGCGTCTCAGGTACATGCGGAGTTCGCAGGATCATTTTTCCCAGGATAATATTGATGATATTACACTGGATCAGGCTTGTGTTTTCGCTGTTGCTCCTCCAAGGAAACGAACAGCACGCGCGTTTCCTTTCGAGTATCTATAGCGAAACGCGCGGAAAGCAACAACGATAACGAGAACGACAAGAACAAGAACAAGAACAAGAACAAGAACAGAAAGACTGACTCTTAGTGCCCTCGTGATTGTTGGGACCTCTCTTCTCCTTATTGTTCATCTGACCGGAATAGCTCGCCTTACCGCACCCAGGTCAGACACTATGGTAAGCAAACCTTCGAGCTCGGACAAAGGATAAAGAACAATAATACCCCACAGGCAGAAAATGGACTCTTGCAGAAAAGAGAACAAGGCGCAATGCAATGAAGACATAGTGACGAAAAGGAGTGACAAAAAAAATGCCTCTTTAGATAATTGAACTCTTTTGAATTGGATCTAATGCGCCTTTTTTGTTGCTTTTTATCCGTGCCGTGTTATCTATAATAGCTGACTATGTCGTCAAGGTCCCCCACATGGCCGACTCCATCTCCGAGGGCTCCTTGAAGCAGTGGAACAAGAGTACGTAACGCCTCCTTCCTTACTGTCCTTTTTGAAGTCGCCTTCCTCACAGATTCTCTGTTTTTCTCACTCTCGGAACGTTTATTCGAGGGCACCAGGACCATTGTTAACTGATCAGGGGAACACACGCACTCTGCTTGAATGGAATGGAGAAGGAATGAACTGAGAACACGACACTGATCTGCTTTGTTACACTTTGAACTAAATAGAGGTCGGCGACTTTGTTGCTCTGGATGAGGAGATTGCCACCATCGAGACTGACAAGGTAAAGAAAAGAAGAAAGAACGATGCAATCACGAACAGAACAAAACAAAAAAAGAGAGAGAGATCTCCATGAGGGAACAACAACAAGTGGAAGAATGAAAAAAGGAACACACGTCCAACTTTGATCTTCTCCTTTGATCGCGATGAAGATATCCAGGGCAGCCGGCTTTTCGGATTAGGATAAGGATAAGGGAAGAGAACGATCGATAACTACAGAGAAGAAGGGAGGGGCTGATCAGCATTGAGCAGACAGACAGACTGCTGCCCTGTGGTAAAAGAGGGTCTCGAACGGCGTCAGAGTAACACTTGCAAACGATAAAAAAAAGACGCAAACGTTATCACAACCGGGTCGGAGAAACTTAGGATTGTGTTTTGCCTGTTTACAACTGACGGACGACAGACACATCGTCATTCATTCATTGGCGGGGACGGGAAACACGGAGACCAGTGGGATAGGCGCACATCATTTCAAAGCGCGGTTTATTACTTTCAACGCATTCAAGCTTACACCTGTTGTCCCCCTTGCAAACTTGTGAAAATAGGTCGATATCGCTGTGAACTCGCCCAAGTCTGGAATCGTTCTCGAATTGTACGCCAAGGAGGAGGACACTGTCGCTGTCGGTGCCGATCTCTTCAAGCTGGAGCTCGGTGATGCCCCCGCTGGAGGTAATGTTTATTCCTTTCTCGTTTAGTCACATGCATGGACAACAGCCAGCCAGAGAGACAAAGAGACAAGCAGACAAACAGACGACAACGACAGAGAGAGAGAGCTCTTATTTTGATTGTTGTTTCTCAACGTTCGGAAGGGAACTTTCGTCCATGTTGCCGGGTGTGATCTGGACAAACACGTTTGCGTTTCAATTTTCCTCAATCATCATCTGACACCCTCTCTCTCTCTTCCCAATATGGATGAATGAATAGGCGCTGCCCCCGAGAAGGACGAGCCCAAGAAGGAGGAGGTCAAGGAGGAGCCCAAGAAGGAGGTTGCTGCTGCCGCCCCCAAGAAAGAGGAGCCCAAGAAGGAGGCCCCCAAGCCTGCTGCCCCCAAGCCCGCCGCTGCTTCGTCCGAGGTCCCCGCCGCCCCCGTTGCCTTCAGCCGTGAGGAGCGCAGCGTCAAGATGAACCGCATGCGTCAGACCATTGCCAGGCGCTTGAAGCAGTCTCAGGAGACCGCTGCCTCGCTCACTACCTTCAACGAGGTCGACATGACCAACCTCATGAAGCTCCGCTCCACCTACAAGGATGCCGTCTTGAAGAAGCACAACGTCAAGCTTGGATTCATGTCGGCCTTTGTCAAGGCTTCGTGCTACGCCCTCAAGGAGTTGCCCTCTGTCAACGCCAGGATTGAGGGTGACTCGATCGTCTACAACGACTATGTCGATGTCTCTGTTGCCGTTGCCACCCCCAAGGGCCTCGTCACCCCCGTCATCCGCAACGCCGAGTCGTTGTCCTTTGTCGAGGTTGAGAAGAGCATTGCCCAGTACGGAGCCAAGGCCCGTGATGGCCAGATTGCCATTGAGGACTTGTCCGGAGGTACCTTCACCATCTCGAACGGAGGTGTCTTTGGCTCGATGATGGGTACTCCCATTATCAACATCCCCCAGAGCGCCATTTTGGGCATGCACGCCATCAAGGAGAGACCCGTTGCTGTTGACGGCAAGGTCGAGATCCGCCCTATGATGTACATTGCCCTTACCTACGACCACCGTATCATTGACGGACGTGAGGCCACCACCTTCCTCGTCAAGCTCAAGGAGGTCATTGAGGACCCCGCCCGCCTCTTGTTGGACGTCTAAATCTCTAGACGTTTTTTGTACTCTTTTGTTTTTCTTTGTTTACGTCCTCCCTCCCCGCCTCATAGATATTTAAATGGCCCTCTGTCATTTACTCTCTCACAAACACTCTCACACCATTCACCACTTTCCTTTACAGACAACAAAAAGCACCAAAAAAATTAAACCATTCTCTCTTTTTCATGATTATTCACCCTTTGATATTATTCAACTTGATACTGATGATGAAAGAAGGAGCTATTGTTACTAATCGCGCCAAAGAGTCGCGCTTCGTCAATAATGGGTCAAGGAACACCAACTAATAATACACGGCATAGGATTTGAAACGATCAATGAAAAATCACAAAGGGGTGGCTGACTGCCTACCTGCAGTGGCTTAGCACCGACTTCAATGGACATCGCCCAGTCCTCTGATTCACAATGATCATTTAGTTCAGGAGCCAGTGCGTAAGACACCTTTATCATTTGCTGCATTGAACCACTCACCCAGTACGCACGCCATCTTTGCTGTCGATTACTTTCACCTTCTGACAAGACGCATAAAAGCGCGCGACCCCCTCCTTTTTTTTCCTCTTCTTCTTTCAACCAACTCATCCACTTCCCACACTTAACACCAAGCAACACCTCCCCAACCACCAGAACGAAGATGTCCATCCCCCAGAACACCAACCCCGCCGAGACCTTTGCCGAGTTGACCAAGTCCGACCCGAAGGTGACCTCGCTTTTCGACTCGCACTTTTCCAAACCCGCCTCTGCCGATCGCGTCAATGCGGCCAAGGCCGGGTTGGAGAAGAACGGGTTCAAGGTCCATGTGGTCAACACCCGTGCTGATGCCTTTGAGGCCGTCAAGAACCTCATCCCTGCTGTAAGTTGGTCTTTCATTTGGTTTGTATTTGTATTTGTAGCTGGATAATTTTAATTGATGTTATTTGGATGTGATCCCATATATTTTTTTTGTCCGTGAGAAAAAATGTCGTTTCGCGCTGCTTTTTTGTCCTTATGCATTCTTCGGAGTGTTCAATGCTGGCGAGCGACAGTTAGCTCATTGATGTACTCACGCTCTTCTCCCTTCCCTTGCTCACTTCTTTTCTTCATGTAGGGCGCCTCGATCAACAACGCCCACTCGACCACCTTGGAGGAGGTAAGATAAATCACCTTTGACTCCAACCCAACACAGCCTCTTTCTCCACGCTCTCAACAAACATGCACATCGCTGCATAAATCTTATTATGCTTTCTGCTCTTTTGCACTTTTGCAATTGAAGCGCGTTTACTCCATTGTGTCCATCAATTGGTTTTCTAATCCCGTCAGTTTGTTTCTTTATTTCACTTTAACTTTTCATCCTCACTACCACTACCGCCACCCCTCCATATAGATCGGATTCATCACCTATATCAAGGGCGATACTCCCTGGAAGAACATCCATGGCACCATCGTCCAAGAAAAAGATCCCGAAAAACAAGCAGACATCCGCCGCACCCTCGGTTCAACCGTCGATTACTACCTCACCTCCGTCGCTTCCGTCACCGAGACCGGCCACTTGGCCCATGGTGACTTGTCGGGATCCAAGGTGGGCCCCGTTGCGTTCGCAGCCGGCAAAGTGATTGTAGTTGCGGGGTCGAACAAGATTGTAAAGGATGAACAGGAGGCCTGGAAGAGACAAAAGGAGCATGCTTTGCCGTTGGAGAGTGCTAGGGTTAGGATTGCGTATGGATTGCCTCAGTCCAACATTACCCATTATGAGTATATTAGGACCAGCTCGCCCTTTAATGCTAACCGCATCCAAGTTATCCTCGTCAACGAGGCTTTGGGATACTAAGGAGCTGGTTCCCGGAGTTATGGAGGCGATTTTGGAGGATGTGAGGTGAGATGAGATGAGAAGTTTTTGGGGGGTGGATCCTGATCCCCCTTTCTCCGTTTCCCCACTCTTTTACACTCACATTCAGTGTCACTTTTTTTTCAGTTCCCTAATGGGCCTCTTCTTCTCCTTCCAATTCAATTGCGCCTTAAAAGTCTCTTTTGTAAATAAAATAATCATGCAATTTATAAAAAAAAAAAAGCAAGCACACGCCTTTGAAACATTGGTTGTTTGAGGCATGGAATTGTGAACAAGAACGCGTCTTTTTTTTTTTTTTTTTTTTTTTTTGGCTAGCGAAAAAAATTGTAAATGATTCAAAGCTGGGAAAAGAATGTCGCCACAGAGAATGCAGGCAACAGTTGACATGAACTTTTGGCACGCCCATGGTTCACAGAGACAAACGCCACACTTTTTTGTTGCTGTGGTGGACGTTTCTTGTACGTGTCTTTTCACGCAAAAAATGGCCTTCAAAAAAAATGATTGATGCGAAAAGTAAAAATATCAGAAAGGTCTCTTCTGGGAAAAACAAAAGTCTGCCGGTGACGAGCCAATTGGATGGAATAATGGTGCTACACAAGGACCAATGGTTAGATATATCCTTATCAACAAATTATAGAGCGAGGTTCGTTCGTTCATTCGTCTGCTGAGAAAACAAGTGGAGTGAAAGCAAAACAAAAGTGTTTGTACTCGGACTTGAACCGAGGACCGTCTGTGTGTTAGACAGACGTGATAACCAACTACACCATACAAACTTTGCTCGATAAATTTCTATAAGCTCACACATTATTATTTCCATGACACAAATGATTGACGCCACTAATTAAACATCACGTGATGTTTGATTTGGCATTAGGATCAAAAATAACAGAGAATTTTGGAAATCATCAAGCAAAGTTTGTATGGTGTAGTTGGTTATCACGTCTGTCTAACACACAGACGGTCCTCGGTTCAAGTCCGAGTACAAACACTTTTTGTTTTGCTTTTACTCACTTGGTTTTGTTCGCGGACATCTCAACCCTGTTCCTAGATATCACATCCAGTGCGCAATTTAGACTGGTAAGTGAGCCTTTTCATTTCTCTATTTTTGTTTTGTTAGTGCTGTGGTTAAAAGGGATAAAAAAAAACTGGATGCTTGTTTTAGTTGGACTGGCAGGTCGGACAAGCTTCGCCGAGATGAGACGAGACGAGGGGTTGAAGCTGAACAATGGTTTCCCTTTTGTCATGATTCTCAAAAACTTAAAAAAAATGGCGGGAGAGGTTGTAGGTTGATGGATATGGGTAAAGCACCAAAAAAAAAAAACTCGCCATTCTTTTACAAAATGAATCAAAGAGGTATTCCACTGCATGCTTGACATGGCTAGATCTTTTGCGCACAAAGAGATAAAGTAGAATTAAAAGTAATTGAACAGAGTCCAGGTCGCAATCCGATCAAAAAGGGTTTATTAAGCTACTAAATGTAACAGGAGATCATTGTTGCTGTTGTGAGGCAGGGAACGGACACCACAACAACGAAAAGAGAGGAGTGGGGTATGTGCGAAAAAAGAACGTAGAAATGATGTCAGCGTATCCTAAAAAACTGAAATCCGCGATCCATTCGTCCATGTTCATGCATGGATTAGTTGACGACCTTGGACTCTTCATCTCCAGCGGTGGCAGAAACAGAAGCAGCCTGGGTCTCACCCTCATAGATCAGAGTCACATAGCTGACAAAGGGTGTTGTGAGTCCGAGAGCGGCAGAAAAGACACCCTTGAAGATCTGAGGGAATGGCCACAAGTTAAACTCTCCATCGGCAACAGCAGCTCCAACATGGCCACTCTTCAATCCATACAAGACGCCGATAGTAATGGGCCAGTAGACCAAGAAGGTCGCAACAACATAGACCACCACCCGCTTGATATGGAATGCGAACCCAGGCTTGCCTGCAGCCTTGATATCCTCCAGACCGACAAACCATCTGACCAGTGAAGAAGCATCACTAGGCATCCTCAACGGTGCGACAAGTCCCTTCTTGAGGTCGCCTCGGACAGCGAGACGGTCCAGGATCCAGGTGAGGGTCTGTTGGATGATGATGGTGACGGCGATATCTCCGGCGAGAGAGTTGGGAAGGGGCCAGATATAGACGGGGTGCTTGCTGTTCTTGTACATTGCGGTGGCGAGACCAAAGTTGATGCCTGCGTCGAGGATCATGGCGCCGATGGTGTGCATGAAGATGAGGTAGACTATGTGACGGGTGGTGAGTCCGAGGACGGGGGCTTTTGTTTTTGCCGACATTGTTGTGTTGGAATGAGAGGAGAGAGTGGAGAGGAGAGGAGTGTGGTTGATGAGAGCGGGAGCTTCGCTGACAAGAGGAATGAGAGGAGAGGAGGAGGAGTGCGGCGGAGTGAAGAGGAGGGACCTAGGGGGAAAGGAGAATCAGTGTGGGGAGTGTGAAGGGTATTTATATGAATGTGAGTTGGAAGGGAATGAGAGGAAAGAGGAATGAGCGAGAGGAGCGGAGAAGGGGATACAAAAGACAAGGAAGAAAGAGCGGGCTGCAGTGCTGTTTGGATGTTGTTGTTGTTGTTGACAGGTGGAGAAAGTAGAATTGGCAAAAAGGAGAGAGAGTAAAGTAAGTGTGTGGGGTTGAAGTAACATTAAGCAAGGGGTGCAATTGCATTTGACCAATGAATGCTCTACCAACCTGCTCCTCTTTCTTCATTGTTGTTGTCGGGTGGCAAACAGGTGCAGGTGGTGCTCCTTCAGTCGAGTCAAGCGTCAAAAAAGGCAATGGCCTGGCCTCCGATGCTTCGTTCTTTGGAAATAAAGCTGTAAAAAACCTTCATCCTCCACAACAAAAAGCGGAGGCGAACCATTATAGTTTGTTTGTTTGCTTTCATGCCTCCACGGAGACAATTGAGGTTGGCTACAAAGATGAAAAAGAAGGTTGTTCCGCCCCAAGAAGGACTCATGGCGTCCAGGTGGCGAGCTGGCGAGTGGGCTCGTTGTTTTTTCTTGGTCATGGAAACAGAAAGATGTATCCGGACCTTCTGTTCATAGATAGTGTCCATTCTTCACTCTCATGCCTGTCTGTCTGTGTTCACACACGTAAGAAATAACATTGACAATTATTTGTCCGGGTGCCCGACATCCCCTTCTCCCTTCAATTGTTTATGCAAAGCAACTATTGAGTAACACAGGGGCGACAAGGATGTCCTACCAACTGCAATAGGTATTTGAACCTTGCTGCGTCCTTTGAACACTATGGGTTGGGAGTGACTGCTTGTTCCTGAGAGAGAGCGTCCACACGCACTTCACTCAGCACGGAGAAGGAGCTCGTTCCTGACTTGACATCATTCTCCGCGCATTCACTTTTCACACCACTTCATTAGCAAGCAGTCGACACAAATGGAGATCGAGATCAAGATTAGACTGGCATCGGAGGAACACACCGCAAGACTCGAACATGCATTAGGAGGATCGCCTGTCAGTGTCGAGGACCAAGACAATGTCTTTTTTGATGGCGTGAACAAGGAGTTGTAAGTTGAAGCGAGCAACTGACAAGCATATCGGTGATAGGGGAGGAAGACGCGTCAAAGAGTTTTTGGCACTTTATTACCTTCTTACACCCGTCTCCGACATAGTTGGCTTCTTTTTGTATTGACAGACACATATACGATATACGACAAACAAAACAATAACACCAAACACCATGTACCCACCTTATTGCTACTAGGATCAAGAATAAGCTGGTGTTCCGAATTCGAGTGATTGAAAAGTCCGGCAAGGAGCCCGTGGCTGTTGTCGCCCTCAAGGGCAATGCCGTCCTGATTGACGGTATCGCCTCCGTCGAAGAGGTATAGTGCACTAAGTTCTAGAGTCTTTTCTATAGTCCTTTTCTTTTCTCCGAGGAAGGAAGAACGCTTGGAGAGTTCGTACTCCAATACCTCTTCAACGCGTCGAACACTTCTTAACCTTCTTTCTCCACTTCCATTCATGCTTAAAATACACTAGGAAGAAGAAGCTATTGAGATTGACCTTGCTAGACGAATTATCGAGAACCCCGGCCTGATCCCGGAGGCCGCAAACAGGTAAACAATATAACAATATCCAGAGCAATTTACAGGCAACCACAACCAAACAAAAAACGGAGATAAGGAGGAGGAGATGGACGCAGAGCACAAGTCTGATGCAACTTACAAAGCTTGCATTATTCTCCGGCGTCTGTATACACAAGTTCTTGGACCTCGACTCAAAAAAAATGAACCCCGAACCCGACAATCATGCGTGTTTCGATGCATAGCAATTTGTTCTTACACTTTCGACCTGGCCTCTTACTTTTCTTCTTCTAGTCACCGTTTGTTGAAAAAGATTGTCAATCGCATCCCTTGCAGCGAGGGCTACTCCCACATGGGCCGGTTCAGGAACGTTCGACACAAATATCAGTGGCAGGACTATCTTGTCGAAGTTGATCGAACCTCGGTAAACACCAACTCTTTAACTAGACACTGTCTTTGTGGGGGATAGTTTGACTTAATGTCGATGCAACAATAATTGTGCGATAGCCATGCTGGTGCCGTAGTGTTTTCTTGTGCATCCACTTACAGTCGCCCTCTTTTCCTACCAAACCATCATTCTTTTTTACATAGTACCCTCATGGAACAGCATACGAGATCGAAATCGAATCGACGGACCCTGAAAAGGCCAAGTCGCGTCTGTAAGTGTTCTCATTTTGACAAAAAACACGGAGCAAGAGAGGGGAACAACATAAGCGCATTCATGATGACAGATCCGTAATACCTTTTGTCCCTCCTTCCCGTCCATGTCAAAACTTCATTCCGTAGCACGGCTCTCCTGCAGGAACATGACATTCCATTTGGAAACAGCCAGCAGAACAAGTTCGAAAACATGCTGCTCGGAACACTTCTTTAAACACTTCGACTCGAGGTATCCATCGCCGTTGTGTATTTTGTTTGCGTTGGAGCGCTAGTGTGAGCCATCTACTGCCGAGTAGGCGTTAGACACGATGTTCGTATCCTCATTCATACAGTAAACCAGCTAGCAAAAACACCAACTGACATGGCAGTGATGATGACAAAGAAATAACACGCAAAAGAAACCTCCGATGACACACATACACACACAACACTCTCAGCGAAAGTTCGTTTTCGTGGAAACATCAGGGATGAAAAAAGGGTTCAGGTGTTCGATACACGTTTGTGCGCTCGCTACCTCACTCACTTCTTTATTACTCTCCTTTCTTGTCGACAATTAAGACAATAAGAGAGAGAGAGAGAGGACATCCAAGAATGATCGCATGGACTTACAGAGAGGCAGGACGTTCAAACAAAAGACCATAAAAATGAAGGCAACCTCAGGTAAGCATGCATGCTGCACACAGGGACATACAAATAAGCAATGGGAGTGAGGCTTACCTTCTTGATGCAATGTGACCTCGACGCGCACCCCTCGTTGGGAAACGTGATGCGTGCCTGATGTATCCTCGTTCCTGACCCTTTCTTTCACCTTTGTGTTGTTATGATGTTTTCCTTCACAACCCCCTGAACAAACGGATTCACCCTCTGGAGTATGAGAGTGAGTATGAGAGTGTTTTGGCCACCTCCACCCCGTGCCCTTTTTTATTTTCTCCCTTGCTTTGCTTGTTTGTTGATGTCGATGTCGATGTTTGTCTGACCCAAACATCCCTATTTTTTTTTTCCGTTTTTCGTTCCTAAACATCCTTCGAGAGGATGAGGGTTTCTGTGTGTTCTCTTGTTTTATTCATGTTCTTGCGAGCTGCCGCCCCTCCTGCCATGTGTCGCTCTGTTTGTTGGTTGTTTGCCTCCAAAAAAAAATACCCTTTGTTCATCCCTTACCCCTCTTTTCATCCTCGGACGGTCAAAGCATGGTCAGTGTGTAGCACCATTTAAAAAGACAAAGAAAAAAACTGCTATGTGACCCACCCACTGCCTTTTTTTTTTTTTTTTTTTTTTTTTTTTCAACACATGTATAACAGGCGTGAAAGAAGCAGTAGCAGAGAAGAACACACCATTTGGTTGGCATTTTATCTCATTTGAAGGTGACAGGGAGGAGAGGGTGGATGGACAGCAGGGTTGTCATCAATCATCCTTGCAGGGTGAGGGCGGGTGGGTGTATGTATGAAGCAAGGTGCAGTAAGGGCTACATGATTTGCCAACTTTGCAGCAGCACCCATTGGACACCTTACTCTTTTTCAGGTACAGGCACAGGCGAGAGAGAAAGGGGAGGGATGGAGGGATGCGAGTGAGGAAGGGGAATCTCGCCGCATCGATACGTCGTCCATGCTCATGTCTGTTTGAAAATGACTAACCCAACATGACCATTGCACCACCAAACAGGCACACACACAGGCACGATTCTCGTCCTCCTCCCTTCCCTCTTCTCCTCTCTTCCCCCTTTTTTTCTTTTTCCTTTGGATGTCTCGTCAACACAAACCCGCACTTTTCATGCTTTTCTTTTTTCTCTTTTCTCTTTTCTCTTTTCTCTTTTCCCTTTTCCTTTCTTTCTTTCCACTTTCCTTCCGACCAGCTCCCTTTCCCACTGTGCAATTGGTATCACACCCATTCTCATCCGTCTCTTCTCTTTCATTTCATATTTCCCTTGTGACAGTCCACTAGCAAAGCACCAGACCAACAACCAACAATAACCATCGAAGAGAGTTGACAGCTACGCCCAAAGGACGTACTATCCATCAGGGTCCCTTCCCTATTGCTTTTCCTTTTGTGCCTGCCTCTCTTCACCTGTTGTTGCTGACATCTACTGGACACCCTCTCTGGTACTTTCTCTTGCCTTCCTTTCCTGTACCCGCTCTTCCTTTGAACGCTCTTTTCGCCCCCCCTCTCTCCAACGCTTCAACAAAGATGATCGCTTCAAGGATGGCCTACCCGCCAGATGGTGGCCTGAACGACCCCCATCCTCGCGTATCATCCCCACCCCTGGCATCCTCCCCTCCAACCAGGATAAGGACCAGCGGCATCTTTACAAGGCGACTCTCTCTCACCGCAGCCTCCGTCGCCAACGCATCCTCCTCGCTCTTTGGGTCCTCTCCTCCTACTTCGAACACCTCGGGGTCGATCTATCAACAGAGCTCCTTCTTTCGGTCGTCGAGTACTGGTGTCCATTCCAACAGTGCAGCAGCAGCAGCAGCCTCGTCATCGTCTATCAACGTCTCGTCCTCGGCTAACAACGTTCCTAATACAAGTACACAGTCATCGTCTTCAGGATCGGGACAAGTAATAGGAGGAGGTACATCAGGACGCCAGCGCACACGCAGCACAAGTCACCCACCACCACCAAAGTACAAATCCTACCGTACACCTCAACTGCGCATATCCCTACAGGACGTCATTGGAAATCTGGTCCTTTCAGCACCCGTCATGGCACCCGGAGAGTCCATCCGTGGCCAGATTCATTTGGAGCTGCCCAAGGCGACACCGGTGCACTCGATTGAGGTTTATCTGACAGGGACGGTCACTGCGTTGGATGGGACTCGGCTGGGGTCTATGAAGACAGTGACGATTTTGGAAGAGTGCAAGACGGTTGCGACAGCGTCAATTACGAATACTAGGACAAATACTACGAGACGACATACAACTCCTTCGCCGTCGGCGACTGCGTCTGCCGCCACTGGAGGTGCTACTGCCACTGCGAGTCAAGATTCGACGATGACGACGACAACAGCGACAGCGACAGCAACAGCAGTGTCAGGAGGAAGAGGACGGCGCAGGAGCATTGTGAACGCCAATTCTGCGATTGCGGACCGATCCCGGTCACCGACGTTTCCTCCACCCAGCGGAATGGCGGCTATTGCAGCCACGGCCGCCGCTGCAACCATCGCAGCTCAGAGTCAGGGCAACTCCCGTCGTTTATCGACAGAACTGATGTCTAGAACCCTCTCGATGCCTTCATCCTCCTACCCCTACGCGCAACACAATAACGGGTCGACTCTTTCTTTAAACCGATCCGCGTCCCCAACCCCTGCAGATTTGCGTGGACGCAGGACCAGTTTCTCGGCCAATGTCGATGTCCCCGGCGGGTTCAGTAGTCTCCTGGGCCTGGGTCTGGGCTTGGGAGGTGGGCGAGCAGGGATGAGTATGGTCAACATTAGCACCATCAGCCAGCAGTTCCCGTTGGACGATCCGTCAGAGCCTGAGGCGCCATCGTATGATCCTCCCCATTATGAGGGGATTTTTACAGATGGTGCACGGTCGTCGACTGAGAGCGGAGGAGGTGAGGCAGGAGCAAACTCTACTTCTCCTGGAGAGATTGTCTCGGCGCCGATCGCCACTACTTCTTCTCCTCAGACTGAGGAACCGGCTTCGACACCTGTCTCGGCACCTCTGGCGACAACGACGACGACTGATGAGGATACGGCTTCTCCTGTCTCTGAACCTATTTCTGCGCCTATCCCAACTCCAAGCCCGTCCGACAGCACCGACGATGGTAAACTATTTACCTTATTCTTTTTTTTTTTCTCTTTCTTTGATGCGCAGGGATGGTTTTCGCTAACGTCCATTCGCTCTATCTTCCTCCCCTCTTCTAGTGCGCACGCAGAGTAGTCGGTCATCGAGAGACGGTCGCAGTGACCCAACTCCAACAGCCTCCTCAAACACGACAACAACAACAGCAGCAGCAACAACACCGCCTGCAGAACCGGTCGAACCTAAAGCCGTCCTAATGCAACCTGGAAACTACGTCATTCCCTTCTCGATCCGGATCCCTTCAAACTCAACCATGTCCCTCCCAGGATCCTTCACCGATCCCGTCGGCAATATCTCCTACCAACTCAAGGCCGTCATGAAACAGATCCTCCCTTCCCCAGACCCTTACGACCCCCGGGCCCTCGTCGTCGAACCGACCTTCACATCTTCGACCCAGATCATCAAGTTGATCCCCATGAACGATCCGACGTACATGCCTTTGTACACGATGCCGTTTGAGACGGAGAGTGTTCGAGCGAATGTTGGGCATTGGGTTTGGTCGACAGGGTTCTTGGAGGCCCACGCGTGGGTGCCGAAACAGGGGTATCGGCCAGGGAGGATGGTCCCGCTTGTGATTCATATTGTGAATCATTCGGATGCGAGACAGGTTGTGGTTGAGACGACGTTATGCAAGTGTTTGCATTATGGGTCTGGGCTGTCCAAGGCGAGGGCTATGGGTGTTGCAGGGCAAGGGTATTTGATGGATCCGACGCTGGTTACTTCGGATGTTGCGTCGGAAGAGATGTCTTTTGCGGAGGGGGAGGAGACGACTGCTGTTGCTGTAGCTGTGGAGACAGAGAACCCGAGGGAGAGTCGGCGTAGGTCGAGGAGGAGCTCTTCGAACCGGAACGGTCGTCAACCACAACTCTCCACGACAACGGCAACACGTGAATCGGAAGCTTCAGTGATGCCTTCTCCACCAGCGTCGCCGTATGGAGCCAATTTCCCGTCAACACCCACCAGCGAGCAAGGAGGAGAGTCACCCGAGGGATCGGTCCATGGGATGACTGCCTCTGCATCTGCTGCGTCTGCAGCAGCTGCAGCAAGGATGGCAAGTCCGAACAGCATGGCGTCGATTTCTAGTCAATGGGGATCGATCCATTCCAGCAGCAGTGACAGCAACAGTAACAGCAATGGTGGCAGTGGCGGCAGTGGAGGCGGAGGTGGACACGTCGCGGCGGCGATCCAAGCATACAACAGCATGACGATCAACTCCAACGGCGGAATCCAATACAACCCGGACACTAGCTCGACCCTCGTCACATCCCCAACTCCTTCCTCAACCATCAAGGAATCCTCAGCAACCATCCAACCCCTGCCGATAATCCAACACCGGCGCGAAAAGCTGACAAAATCAAAAACCCTCATCTCCTGCTCCCAAGCAGTCGACCGCGAGATCCAAAAGACAATTCCCATCGTCATTCCCGCAACCGCCGGATACTCCATCCTCAATGCCCCTCTCCTCGAAGTCTCCTACGAGATTGTGATCAAGATCCGGGCCGAGAAGAATAGCACGGTCTCGTCAGTTGTTCCGAGGAGGAGACAGGGTGGGGTGAGGTTGAGTGTGCCCATCGTGGTGGTTGTGCCGGAGGATGGGGATTTGGAGGATGAGGAAGAAGAGATTTTGTTGGCGAGCGCGGGGTTGTCGCCAGAGATGCTTGGGTTGGGTGGAGGAGGGAATATGAGTAGCCTGGCGTTGGGGGGCACGACGTTTAGTGGAGATGATAGTTTTGATTTTGGGGAGCAGGGGGAGTGTCCGCCTTATGAGGTTACTGCCAGTTCGACGAGTCGTCGTCGTAGTCGGCGGTAAAAGATGTCTTTGTCTCCCTCCGTTGCTTTTTCTTCTCTACCTTTTTGTACATAGTTTTTTTTTGTTGTCGTTGTTTGTTGTTCTTGATGATTGTTTTGCTTTGGGCTAAATAAATATTTACCAATTGAAGAAAAATATGCAAAGCATTGACGCATTGACGGGAGATGGAAGGAAAAGGTGTGGCGGGAAGAGTCATGATGTGCATACATGTCATGAATGACTATGCATAGCATGATCGGTGCGGAGTGGCGAGGAAGGGATAAAACAAGAACAAGAACATAAACAGACGAGAAGTGTCCAACAGCACAAAGACAGAGAGATAATTAAAGAGAAAAGACAGAAAGTTAAAAACAAAAATGAAGAGGACACACCACCCAATTGAGTCTTTGGTAAGCGGGGCTGAGTGTCCGTTCATTGGCGAGTAAAATTGGTTTTGGAGGGTGAGTGAATGACCACTCACTCGCGGCGGTTCTCCGAGGGAGAGAGAGGCGCTCTTTTTTTTTGTTGTTGCTTGTACTCTGCTGTTTGGCCAGGTACCCTTCAAGGGTAGTGGCAAAATAGGGTAATGACAGAGGGACAAGAAAGAAAAAAAGAGGAGGGAAAAAGTGATCGTTAGAGTGAATGAGCACTAACAATGTTATGGAGCGAGGAATGGAGGGTGTAGTTTTGTAGTCTATGTCTCATTTTCCGATGGACAATGTTGCTGCTGCGTCGTTTTTTGTTGTTGTTGTGTTGGTTGAATGAAATGAACGAAGAAAGAAAAGAGAGATATGCAGCCTTTTATGTCCACCCTGTCCATCTCCCTGCCGCGATTGGTGTGTGTCTGTTCCCAGTTTTTCCCTTCTTTCCCCTTTCTTTATGTCCATTAACAACAAACAGGGCTCGCCTGCTCTTCACGCTTCGATCCTCTCCACTTTTTTTTTCGACTCTTGACTCTTGACACTTGACACTTCCTCTTCTCTTCTCTTCCTTTCTCTTCTCTCTTTCCTTTTTCTCTTTCCTATCCTCCTCCCTTGCCTTCCCTACTTCCTCCAATTCATCAAACTCACCCATCCCCGCCCAGAACGTGTTGCCTCGCCACTCTTCTCTTCTCTTCTCTTCTCCCCCTCGCCTCTCTGCCAATTGATCTGCCCCCCCCCTTCGCCCATCCTCTTTATCCTTTATCCCTTTACCTCCCACGACTCCCTTCATCCTCTTTTTCACCTCTTCTTCTTTGCTCCTCCACACCACCCAACTCACTACTCTTCAACCTCGCCCATTCTTTCCACCATTCGCGCCCCACTCCCCACCCAGGTCGACCACTTCGACCAACTTCCCCTCGAATCCAACTTCAACAACGACAACAATGACGACAGCAACAAACCACTCTCGCCTTCACACCTCCACCTCCTAAACCCAACTGCCTGGCCACTCCCCCCTTCATTCCAACCCCCCTCCTCTCCTTCTTCGGCATCAACCAAAACACCACAATCGCAATCACATTCAACAACAACAACAACAGCACAGACACAGGGACAAGAGATCACACCGCCAACGCCATTGTCCATCATGATCCCCGTCTCCAGACAGAAAGTCGTCCCAGTCCCTGTGTCTGCGCCGGTGGAGGTTTCGAACTCTGTTTCGGGCTCCAGGGTCGTAGAGGTGCCACAGCCCCAGCCTCACCACGCGGTGTTTGTCTCACACACTTCTGCGCCCGTTTTGACTGTTGAGCAGCTGCAGCTGCAGCAGGAGCCGGGGCCAGCTCTGGTGCCAGGGTCCAGTTCCAGCGGCAGTGATAGCAATAGCAACGGGGCAGCTCTTACTTTTTCTTCTTCTGCATCTTCTCCACCACAACCACAACCACTCGTATCGAACAGGGTCCTGGATCGGTTCAGAAACCGGCGCACCACCAACAACAACAACGACTCCAACTCCACCACACTCCAACCAGAAACTGAAGAACCACACCCGCTCACAATCCACACAATCGTCTCAGGACCCGAATCGCCCTCCCCTATCCTGGCAACGTGGTCAACCCCACAACACCCAAACCCAGACTACCTTGCGCCCTACCACCCCTCGCTCCACAAGAATGTTCACAACTGGTCACAGATCCTTTTGGACCAGTTGCGCCAAAAGAGTGCTTCTTCGCCCGAGGAATTGGAGCCCCCCCTGGTTGCTGCTAACAATAGTAGTGGTGAAGATAAAGGGAAGGAGTTTTCGGTCCAGGCAGCCTTATCGTCTTCTGTGTCTGGGATTGTACCAGCTGTGCCTGTGACTTTTGAGGGCTTCTCAAGCGCGTCTATCGCCATTGCCTCGTCTAGCGACAATGCTGGTGCCTCTTCGCCATCGACTGCTGCAACTAGGAGGAGGCAACAGGTCTATGTGCCAGCACCGATCGATAAACACTTTTTATTCCAAACCCACCACCGCGAACAACAAGCAGCGCAACAGCAGAAACCTCCACAGTTGGGCAATGGTCGGAAGCACTCTTCTCGGACACAATCTCGGGCAGAATCACCTGTACCGTCTTCGTCCTTGGCATCATTGGAATCAGGTGCAGGAGCTGGAAAGAGGATTCGGAGGAGGACGATCCGGTCATGGAAGGAGTTCGTGCGATTTTTTAAAAAACTCTTTCGATCCATGCGGTCCGAGCAACAACAACAACAACAACAACACCAGCAACAACAACAGCAGCAGCAGACAATCTCCTCGTCGTCCTCCGCGGAAGAGCACAAGCGACGGAAATCTAAATCCAAAGCAAAATCCAAACAGAGAGAGGGCAGAGTCGAACCCCCTGTTTTGCCACCGCCACGCATCACGAACGACGCTTGCTCCAATAACACCAACACGAACAGTAACAACATAGCCGCAGCAGCAGCAGGACAACAGAATCACAAGGACAAGAACAAGGACACAGACGACACATTTAATTACTTGGTCGTCTCCGACGACGACGACGATGACGACGAGACTTTGGATTTCCAGAACTGTAGGAGGGAACAGAGGAGAGAGTCGTTGACCCAGATTGTATTGTCTGCGGAGAGAGAGTGTGAGGTTGTAGCGAGGCCACTATCAGGGCTAACAGCACAACCAGCACAGCCAACAGGAGGACCACCACCAGGCACATCGGCGCTTAGGGCAGTCCCCAAGATGATGAAAGTCATCAACCGGATCAAGGCCAACAAGGCGCAGGAAGCAGTTCACCTCCCCGAAAAGCTTGCACCCACACCTACACCTACACTTACACCTACGCCTGCTCCAGTACCAGAAACCGTCGTCCCTACCCCAGCAGATATAACACCAGCTGTACCGGAAGTGGCCGTGCCTCCACAAAAGCAGTACTTTAATGGAGCACGGATACACCCGACACTGTTGGAGCTGTACGAGATCACGGACCATGTTCTGGGAGTAGGCACCTTTGCGACTGTCCGTGAGATCCGACTCAAGTCTTCCGGCCAGTCCTTTGCCCTCAAGATCATCCTTAAGAAGACCCTCCAAGGTACTTTTCTAAATACTGACTGACTTGTATGTTGTTTCCGTTACCTCAAGCAACAGCACTAACCATGAGAAAACTTAATACCAATAGGAAAGGGTTCGATGCTGGATACGGAGATCTCGGTGCTGTCCAAGGTCCGCCATCCAAACTGCGTTTCCCTCCTCGAAATGTTCGAAACTGAAGACGCCGTCTTCCTCGTCACAGACCTAGCAGAGGGCGGAGAACTATTCGAGCAGCTACTCCAAAAGGGCTGCTACACTGAAGGAGACGCCGCCCGACTCGTCCGCGAGATCCTCCTCGGAGTCGAGTACCTCCATAGTATGGAGATCGTCCACCGCGATCTCAAGCCTGAAAATCTGTTGTTTTTGGACAAGTCTGAGAATGCGCGGTTATTGATTACAGATTTTGGATTGAGTAAGGTGTTGACGAGTGGGGAGGATGTGTTGATGACGGCTTGTGGGACGCCTGGGTATGTGGCGCCTGAGGTCTTGGAGCAGATTGGGCATGGCAAGCCGGTGGACATGTGGAGTCTGGGTGTTATTGCGTATACTTTGCTTTGTGGATACACACCCTTCTGGGGCGATGGTACGTTTCTTTTTTTTTGTCTTGCTAATTATTTCTTTAACAGGTTTTCAGTTATTCTTGACATGTTTCAACTAATACTTCTCCATCTTTTTTTTTTTTTTTTTTGTTTCTACGACCAAAATAGACCAACAAGCCCTTTTCGAGAACATCATTGCAGGACAGTACCAATTCGAAGAAGAATACTGGCGAGATATCTCCCCACTCGCCAAAAACTTTATCAACACCCTCCTCGTTCGCCCTGCCGAGATCCGATCCACCGCCACCCAGGCATTGGCGCATCCATGGTTCCGGGCCGTGTTGGATCAAGACCTGTCGGCCCCTGCATCGCCTCAGGATAGTGTCAACTTGTTGCCGGCGGTAAGGAAGAACTTTAATGCAAGGACGGTGTTCAAGAAGGCGGTTAGAGCTGTGGGTATCTTGAGGAGGATGCAAGCTGCTCCTCCTTCGCAGCAACGAGAGCAGCAGCGGCAGCGGGAAGCACAGTCACCTCCAGCTGGTCCTGCGAATATCATCAACCCTCTAGATACCTCTACCGCCGCCGGCGCTCTCAGTAGTGGAACGATGGTCCAAGAAGACTCTGGCTACACTCTCCCATCTCCACCACCACCCAACAACAGCTTCGCCCACCCGCACCAAGCAGAACTGGTCGTCACCGTCAACGGCACCGCGGGGCGTAACCAGGCCCAGCAACTGGAACAGGAGCGATTGTATTTCAAGGAGAATCATGTCAATAATTGGAGCTTTCATGATGTCGTCACTGCGGCCATGATCACCAATGGCCAGGGTCTTGGTTCGGCTGGTGGAGATGGAGATGGTGGAGAGGGTGAGGAAGGGAGTGGAGGGAAGGAGGCGGTGAGGAATGATAGTGAGGACCAGCTTCGTCTTGTGAGTGATGTCTTGGAGGACTTGAGCGCTACTCGCGCGCCCTGAACGAAAGGCTGAAACAATCCCCCCTGCCTCGCCCCCCCCCCCCCTGTCCTCTCTTCGCCTTCCTATGCCTCCTCACAATAACGGACAACGGAGATTCGGGGCCCAGGAGCCTCTTTTTTTTTTTTTTTTTTAAACAGTAACAAATATAAAACAAAAACTTTGAAAGTAGATAGTCATGCTTCTTTCTTTTTTCCTTTTTTCATGAATAACAATGTAAATTATGTACTGTATGTTGTTGGTGGTATGGGACACGGGGTATGGGCTAATGGACTAATGTCGCACAATCTCGATTACCGATCATATTTTCGTTATGAGTTATGAGGTAAAAGAAAGAGAGCCTTTTTTAAAAGGCCTGCCCTGGATATGTGTAGAAGAGGGACCAGCCATTTTTATTATTGGGGGTATGGTCAAGAACGAATAATTAGAGAGAGAAAAAAAAAAAAAAAAAAGAGTGAATACGGTGGGTTACTGGTATACGAAACAGATGTTAAATGGGATGCGTGCGCGTAACGTGTTTATGGAAAAAAAAGAGTGACAGAAAAAAAAAACTAGTAGTGGCGTCCGTAACCGGCGCCACCGGCGGCAGAGGTACCAAAGTCCTGCTCTGGCATCATCTCGGCATTTCCATTTCTGCGCGGCGAGACCGCAGCTACCTCGGCTGGGTAGGCAACTCCGCTACCATCCATCACTCCACCTGCCACTGCTGCACCAGCGCCGCTTGCTACAACGGCGCCAGAAGCATCGACACCAGAGGTAGAGGGGTACTGGTAATCCTGCTGCTGCTGAGAGTAATCGTACCCCTGCTGATCATAGTATCCGGTCTGGTCGCCGATATAGTTGCCGTGCTGGTCGTAGCCCTCATACCCGCCGGCGGCTCCAGCTTCCTTGTAGTAGCCCTGTTGGTCGTACCCTTGCTGGCCGTACCCCTGGTCATATCCTCCCTGTCCGTAGCCGTAGTTGTCATATCCACCGGTCTGGTTTTCATAGTTGTCGTATCCGCCCTTGCCGTGCTGAGCGTATCCGTCATCATAGTACTGGTCGCTATAGAAATCCTGATCAGCCGTAGCTGCTCCGGCCGCAAGAGCTCCAGCACCAACACCAACACCAACAGCAGCGGCGCCTGCAACCACGGGGCGGTTCGAGAACGGGTATGACTGCCCACCATCCCCGCCAGCACTCGACCTAGGCTCCGACTGTCGCTGACGATGAGATTTAGACCTGGCAGTAGTAGTCGACATTCCATAGTCAACATCTGCAAAATCAGGCATCTTGCGCGACCGCTTCTTCTTGTTCGACTTCCACCTAACCACCGCAAAGACAATTCCCAATAACGCCACCGCTCCAATGCCAATACCCGCATACTTCAACGTCGACTTCAACTTGTCATTTGAGTCACCCGACGAGGACTGGTTCCCGCTTCCAACAAGTGTTCCTGAACGACACTCAGACGGAGTATTAGGGACACCCATGCCCGCACAGTTGTGGGTGCTCCTAAGATCGCAGTACCCGAATCCGAACGTGTTGCACTGAGTATGCGAAGTACAGGGCTGAACAGGCGAGGAAAGACACATCATTATCCCGTCCGTCATGGGCAGACAGTACCCCATGACCGTCGAGTTCTTCAAGGTCTCGGCCGTAACTCCACAATACTCGTTGACCTTACAAGTACTCGTATTAGCGCAGGGCGCCAGTGCCGCGGGGGGAGTAAACGTCGGGGCGGCGGGTGAAGAAGTCGTAGTGACGACGGTTGGGACGACAGGCGGAGGGGTCGTGACCACGGGGGGGACGGTGCTCGTAGGATTTGTAGGGACCGTAGGAACGGTAGGGACAGTGGGGACGGTAGGAACGATCGGTACGGTGGTGGTGGTGGTGGTGGTGGCAGGGACAGTGGGGACGGGCGGGGTTGTAGTAGCACCGGCAGGGGTGGTGGTTGCATCGCCGGGGGCTGCTGGTGCTCCTTTTTGGGCGAGTGTGGAGCCGGGTGAGGCCACGAGGGCGACGGCTGCGACGAGCAACAGGAATTTCGTTGGGGTTGTGAACTTCATTGTTGCTTTCTCTTGGGTAAAGAAGTTGGGCGTAAAGGAAGAGGGAAATTAGGGAGGAGATGAGATAAAGAGAAGAACGGGAAGGATGGTATGGGAAGGGTGAATGAAATAATATGGAGAAAAGGGAAGGAGGGGGTTTGTGGTTGTTGCTTTGGTTGTTGTTGGTTGTTGTTGGTTGGGTCGTTGCAGAAAAGGGGCGGAAAAGGAGTTACAGATGGTTGTTGTTTGTTCCTGAGACAGACAGAGTGTTGCTGGCAGGGGTATGAACGTCGTTGCGGGAGATGAAAATAAGAATAAGGGAGAGAGAAAGAGAGAGTGAGAGTGAAGAATCTCGGTTGATGATGAGAGAGAGGATGGATGAGGATGGAGGATGGATGAGGAATGAGTATCGTCGTGAAGGGAGGGGAGGAGGAGGGGAGGAGGAAGGAGGGTAAAGGAGAAAGAGAAAAAAAAGAGAGAAGAGAGTAAAGAGGTGTGAAGAACGCACAAAGAGGCAACCTCGGGAGGAGGAGGGGGATATGTGGAAGAGACAAAGCGAGAGAGACAAGCGACAGATTCCCATTGGCGTCTGAAGCAGTGACCCAGAATGTATTGCACCAACCACCGGTGGTCCGTCTTTCTGACCTAACAACAACAAGGGCGTCGAAGGGAAAGACAGGGTACCCGGTGCAAAATGATGAGTACAAGACATAAAGGTACAAGGGAGGAAGGTGCAGGGAGAGCAATGAGGGAGTGCGAACGGACGGACGGGAAAGAGACGGTTAGTTTGTTAGGGGTGAATAAGGATGAGGATGAGGATGAAGGAAGGTTGGCCTTCCACACCTTCTTTTCTTTTCATTCTTTTCCTTTTGCTTTGTCCAGCTCTCTTTCTTGCCTCCTTCCTTCTTTTCCTTGACTCCACCTTGTTCACAGCGCACACGATCACCACAAATAGGACTCGTAACAGCTCTAATAAAAAAACGAAAACATGTACATGTACACTGCAAACAATATATTGACATCGCTTCCAACTTCCACTTTCAACGCCACGTCTGTTTAAAACGAAAAGCTCAAGAACAAAAAAATAACGTGAGACTTGACAAAAAAAACAAACAACAACAACAAAAGACGATGAGAACCCAACTCTATCACACCACTCTCAGAATTCTTCATTGCTCTCAAAATCGTAATTATCCTCATGCCATATGGGACATCCGTAGGTCCCACCACCTACCCCTCATCCATCATGATCCAATGTCGATGTATGTCTTTCCTTGTATTTTCTCTTGTGCGTGGCTCACTTTGCGCGTTTACTTTTCCTTCCGCTTTTTCTTAAAAAACCTTTTTTTTGGTGAGCATCACCCATGCTTCCCATGCTTCCCATGCAACCCATACACGCCCTCATTCACAGTCAGAAGTCCAGACAGACAATTGAGCATTCATTTTCCGCCACGCCTGGAGTCTTTCTGCTCCATTAACTGCAGCAACAGCAGCTACAACAGCAAAGAGCTTCCAAGCGTAAACAGAGTGTCAGTCAAGGAAACAGAGTGAAAAAGGAATCGTACCTTACAACGGCGATCTCGACTCGTTAGTCCCTTGTGCTGGGGTTGAATAACAAGACGGGACTCCTCAATGGACGCCTCAACGAATAAAAGCCCTTCGCCCGTAGAGTCAGAAAATGGCGGGCACCAGAAACAGCGAGAACCCCTTTGTACTCCTCTTCTGAACCCAGCTCTGGTTAGGCAGGGTTAGCCAGGGTAGGGAGTGACAGAGTGACAGAGAGTGGCTATTTCAGTCTCAGTCCCCTCCCAATCAAATGATCAGTGATCAAACTTTAATTGTGTTGATAACTTTATTCATCTCAATTAATAACGGGCAACACCATCATCACCATATACTTCTCTTGCAAGTGTTCTGTCCTTGGTGACTGTGAACTGGGAGGAATTGTTAAGCAACATTCGCCTCGACCGTTGAGTGAAAGATCAATCGTTGTGAGTCTTTCAGCCAGGCTGGCAGCCCAACGGTCATTGCAGTTGCTGTGCTTTTCGTATAACTCACACTCACCCGCCACCTACCCTTCGTGTTTTAGTCTTGCTCTTTTTTTTTCTTTCAATACGGGCTAAAATAAAACAAAACATAAAAATCATGACACCATTTACAACGTCCTCAAACCGCGTCTAGTTTAAGTACAATAGTTAAACTGGCTCTCATATCATGATCAGAAAGAAAACAAGAATTTGTAGAAGCGCGTTCTGTCCATATGTTGCTCGTTCCTGTGCCCATAGAAAACAATAATGCTATCTCGGCTTGATTCAGTTATCTTTCAAGGTTAAACCATGACGCGCGTGTGTCCCGAGCCAGCCTTGCTACTTGCGTCTCGCTTTTACATCCAAATATCCAAATATCCAATCATTTTCAGGCAGCCTCCTTCTTCCTTCTACCCGAACGAAAACCCCCTTACCTAACCCACTTTAGAAAAGATAATAAAAAACAAACCTGATCGAATCGCATGCTGCATTCATTTGGCGTCCATCCATTCATCATCTCTTCAAACTCCCGTGCGTGCATATCCTGAGACAACCCATCATGCAAAAAAACCCACCCCTTATTTTATTTTTTTGTTGATTCCTGCCTATTTTCTTTCGTCGAAATGCAGATGCATTAACGCTGTCTGTTTATACGTATGTGTGCATTGAGCGTTGAGTATTGAGCATTGACATTTGCATGTTTTTGTATCGGACATAAGATGATGTTGGCGTTATTTTAGGCGGACAGTTATAAACAACGCAGATGCTTCAAATCATTCATCTACCTTTTGCGCGAAAGGTACATGAAATCGCGTAAAAACGAACAACACCCAGATGTCATCTCACATCCAATGCTATAAACCAGTCACACTACCTCCTAGCACTCTTCCCGTTGAGAGCCCCAGACGCCGAAAGAAAGCTCTGTTTTTTATTTGAAAGGTTTCCCCGGTAACCCCTTCTCTCACATCCAACACTTTTCCTACATTCCTCTACGTGCGTGCCAAGAAAAGAGTCAAGCAATAAATGTAAGGCATAATTTTTCGAGCCGAGAGGCGGAAACACGGAGAGCCTCTGTTTTGGTTCGACAGCGCCCAGTTGGCTGGGTACACCTGTGCATGTGTTTGCATTGATCAAATATCAACCCACCGCAATTACCGTACAAGGGGTGGGGTACCCAGTCCGGTGGCCGCGCGACTCGGTGTGGCGTTTGTGTGTGTGGATGTGAATCGCACATCATTACGAGTTTGAGGGGTTTGTTGACTTGATTGATTTGGCGCAGAATCAGCGCGGTTTTTGGTGTGTTGCTGCAATTGCTGCAATGCTATACACTTTGCTGTGTTACTCCTCCCTGCCTATCTGTCTCGACACCGGCTTTATGTCTTCCATGGAAGGACCTAAAAGGAGGCAAATGGAAGACAATAAAGGGTGGATATAGCCAGATCGTCAAACTATAACTGGCAGACACAACTGTGCCTGTGTGTGCGAATCAAAGAGGAAGGGGAAGTAAGGGGGTCCAGAAGCCAGAAGCCAGGAGTTAGGAGAGAGGAAAACTGCACCGAGGAATAAAAGAGAGAATGGACAATTGTCCATAACTACGGCTCGGTATAGATAACCAAAACCCAAAAAAAGGAACGAGGAGGGAGAGTGGCGCGTTTAGGTGGATGCGTTATTACGAAGAACCTCAATGTCTAGGAGTGGAAGAGGTTTTGATAGTCAACCAGGACATAGTATGGCCCTCGACATATCATTACCATAAAAAGAGTGAGGAGTGGGGACGTGTTGATTTCTTAAAACTCCTCGAGAAAGGGGCAAGGAGAGGAGAGTAATGCCTAAAAACCGCCGAACCCGTCGTCCATTCATGAATGCCAGCCCCGACCAGGCAAGATCCAATGATGAGAGCTGTAATTGCGCCAGTGAGGGTCCGCTTTGTTTGTCTTTCGGGTCCTACCCGCCTACTTTCGCGGGTGAAGCAGTTGTGAACCAGGCTGGGTTGGACATGATAGATAGAATGCCTAGACGACTGGCTGGACTATCCCCGACTTGTCATTAACGGTGCACAACGGCCTCGACTTGTCCTTACATTTCGCACCCCTCATCACACCCCCCTTCTTTGTCTATCCTCACCTTATTCAGTTGATGTACGCAATATTAAAAAAAGAAACCTCTGTCACCATGTCCCCCGTCTTTCAGGCAGGCCGGCAGTCATACAAGACACGAACGGACACGTTCAGGAGCTGGATGATTGTTTCGTGAGCAGACCAGCGTTGATTTTTCATCCTCTGTCCCCAACCGCCTCTCTCCATCTCCCTTCCTCTCTTTGTGTGTGTCTGTCCCTGCACGGTTCCCGTTGACGCGATTGTGAGTTTATTGTTTTCTGGCGTTTGTTTGCGTTGGACGATTATGGTGTCACACCATTGTGTTCTCGGTTGCAGGAGCTAGCTCCAACTCCGCTGGAGCGAGTACATAGTCCATTCAGCTCTTTAATGATGGCGCCGTCTCCACTCTTCTTCCCTCACCCCCTTGTAACTTCCCTTCTCCTTTCCCCTAATCCTCACTTCTAGACTATCCCCCTCTCTGTGTGCCCCTGGAATCATTACATGTTTCGCGCTTTTTCCTTTTTCCCTTCCTCCTCTCTTCTTTCTCTCTCTCAACCGCTCACTCCATGCCATTTTTTTTCTGCCTCTCACTTCCCCCCTGAAAAAAAAAGTACCAGTCCACCCAATCATCAAACTTTGTATTATCACATTTTGTACACAAAAAAAACCTTTGTAAGCACGACGAGTTATTTCCCCATGCTACATACATAAATCAACACCATCAGCAAAAAAAAAAAAAAAAAAAAAAAAAAAAGGAAGTGTATCAGCTAATCCATGACTGTTGTGTGTGTGGGTACGTGCGAATATGCGAGTGTGTTCATTGACGCGTTCTTGAACCTGTCACAGTGAAAATAAAAAAGGAGGGGTCTTTTCTTGCAGGAAGGTAGAGAGTGCGGAGTATGTATGTATGTAATGACCAAATATCAAACAGATACCAGCGCAACCGCTACCATAACCACCTACTAACCAACTAACGACTAAAAACAGAGAGCAGCACTCAAACTGATGGTCAGTGGATACGTCCTTAGTTGTCTGAGGGCAACACTGTTACTCAGGAGAAAAATGAAAGGAGATGCTAAAGAATTGAGGGTGGGTGATTGTCCGAGTTCAAACCGGTGCATGAACAGGACCTCTGTTTTTTTTTTTTGCTTCGTTTACTTTTCTAGGAGGAGGAACACAAAAACCACGAAGACACGTTCCTCGTTCCTGAATTTAGGTGACCAAGACAACGAACGCGAGGTCTCAGATTGGAACAGGGCGGAGGGACATCATAACGTTGGAGGTATTGCGCCCTTGGTCAGACGAGTAGACGTTGAAAAAGTAACAGTATCGATCGACCGAACGAACGGACGGACGGACGAAAATAGGAATGAGAGAGGAAAGAAAGCGTTGATAGAAAACAGCGACAACAACGACATGCAACCAAGCAATGCGAAACCTCTCTTGATTCGTCCATCCTTCCTTGACAAGATGCAAAGAAATAACAAGAGAAAGAAAAGATGCGTGTACACTTTCCCTGGAATGAGACACAGAACGGGACGAGGGCAGCTGGTGAATGTTGAATGCCTTTTCGGATTCAAGCGATCGTGATTTGAGGTCGTACAATGTGTAGAATGTTGATCAAGAGCCTCTGTACTCTTCTTCGAACGCACAAACAAACAGACAACAAAAAGGCAAAGCAAAGAAAGACATTCACGTTGTGTTTGCTTGCTAATAAAAAGGCGGCACAATATCCAATTATTTCTTTATGCCCGATTGATACAAACCTACAATACCCAGTGCTCAAATAAAAAAACAGAATGAAATGCCCAATGCTGAAAGGATTGCATGGTCCATGGCATATGGAAGGTATAATATTTCGATTCAATGTTGCAACAATGGCGAACGGTTGTCAGTTGAATTGTTCAAACCGACCAAAATGTTTTTGTAACAAACAACAACCTCCTCTACAATTCATTGACTCAACCGTGAACCCATCCAACCTATCCCCTCGTTTCCGCGGCTCCATTGACTATTTTATTTTATTTTAGTCCGCTTAGCTGTCACTTCTAGTCCAGTCTATTGCCCCTCGCTCTGTCCGTCTGTACCTCTCTCTCTCTCTCTCTCTCTTGCCAAAGGTACATTTTACCCCTTGTTTTTTTGTCGATTGTGTTCAGCTTTTTCCCTTTATTATTTTCTACATTTCCCTTTCAACATAAACAAAGAGAGACACAGGGCAGTGGATACTGTCAATAGAAACTTTCCTCTCACCGTTCTAATGAATAGGTAACCATTAAACCGGAGATTGTTCTTACTACATTCAATTCAATGGAGCGGTACTCCTTGACACTCCTCTCTTCTCTTTTTTTTTTTTTTGAATTGTTCTCTTTCGGCTCCCTTGCTTGTTCGTTTGCACCCTTGGCCCTCTTCTTCTTCTTTTCTTCTGCAATAAATAGGGCCCGCTCCATCCTTACTTTCCCTCTTTTTTTTTTTATGTTCTTTTTCCTTTTCTCTCTCGCATTATCGTCTCCCCTTGATCCTTAGCAAGACTCGAGTTTTTGTCCTTCCCTCATCTTCTTCTTCCTGTTCTTTATCCTCCTAATTCTCAATTCTCTTATTACGTCAACATCTCTTTCTTTTTATTTTTATCCTCCCATCTTGCAATTGAACAACCACCTTGCCTACCACAACTCTCTCTCTCCTCCCTTCTATATCTCCAACCTGTCGATCCCAGATTTAAGGAACCCCTCAGCCCTATTCACGACCATAAACGTGCTTTCCTTCCTTCTTCTCCTTCTTTACCTTTCCTTCCCCCCAACTCCACCTTTCGTCTCTCCTCTCCTCTCTTTACGTTCGCCCACCTTACTCCCTTACTACCTCCGCCACTAGCTTGTACATACATATAATTATATCACGATGCAGATACCAAACATTCCCTGTAGGTGTTTTGCTTTTGAAGGAGCAAAAACGGTTACGAAAGTTCCGTTCAATTTTATTCAAGACGCGCAGATGCTCGTACCTTCCATGACCTTGTGCCTTTTGGATTTCGCCCATATGCATTGCAGTACATGACAACAAAACAACGAAATACTCTTGCACTTCAACGTTTCATGAAACTCATCATCCCTTCGCCCCTTTACCTCTCCCTCCCTCCATCCAATGCAACAGCGATCTTGTCGCTACTCGTCTCGCTCCTCTCGATCTCCCTGATGTCACTTTTGTTCGGCCGTAAGACCTCCGGCACAAACATGTCAAACATCAACTATGCCCGGGGTCTCGTTATCTCCCTCTACATTGTCTCCTGGGCCTTCACTACCATTGCTGCCGTCTTGGCCTCGACCAACCACGGCAACATTATCTCCTGCACGCTGTCGATTTTTGTGTGTCTCTCGCTTTATGCCATGTCCAAGATTATCATCTACCTGTTCCTGATTGAAAAGGTCTATGTCGTTTCTTCGGTTGCTACCCTCCGGAGGGATACCACTGTAAGTTTCTTTTTGCCTGTGCCTTTTTTTTTTTTTGGGTTTTAATCTTTAGACGGTATTGCTCCAGCTTTCTTTGCATGGTGTTCTAGTCCAACAGTGTTTGGTCTAGCCTGCCTTTTTCCTTCCCTCGGTGGTTTTTTTTTTCCTTTGCATCCCTCCCTATTTTCGCGATGCATACAAAAAAAATAGAACTGAGCGAGGACGAAAAAAGGGGTAAAGGCAAGATAGTTTCACATTGTGTTGCTTTGATCGCCTCCCCCTTCTGCTCTGTCCACTTCTCTCGTAATTGCTCTCTTTTGTTGGCTTAAGCCTTTTACACCTGTTTGCTTTTTACCCTTTTTTACCCTGCTTATTGTCTCTCTTTGTTTGTCCCACAAACCCCTTTGACCTGCCCTGTCAAACAAACAATCCCTCCTTGATCCATCTCAGAACGCCATTTTGTTTGTTGAATTCATGCATGCATTAACGCCTGTTCGTGCGCATGAATCACTCGCACCCCTCCCCCCTTGAAAATTATTTGATCACTAACCGCCATCTTCCCTCCTTTTTCTACCTCCCCTCCCCCCATACCCATCCACCCACGCACCCCCATCTCACCAACATGACCCCCCTACCCACCAACCAACCAATAGCTCTACAGGGTCAACATCCTCCTCCTAACCCCCTACACCGTAATTCTAGTCCTCATGATCCTCAACCGCGTCGCAGTCCTCGACGTCGACGACCAATGCTTCATCGGTCTCAAACCCCTCGCATCCATCACCCTCATCCTCTACGACATCTTCATCTCCTCCTGGTTGACAATCCTCTTCATTCGCCCTTTGATGTCCACAACCTCCGTTCTCCAAGGACCCTCAAAGGGAAAACTCCGTCAAGTCGCCCGAAGGACCCTCATCGGTTCCATCGTCGCCCTTATCCTCTCTTCCGCGAACGTGTTTACCTTGGTCTACTTCAAGGGGTATGAGGATTCTGTCTTGTGCCTGTTGTCGTGCACGCTGGACGTGACCTTGAACGCATGCGCTGTCCATTGGGTGACTTCGAGGGCGAGGGGCGCGAGCAACTCCGACAAAGCTGGGTCGAGGGGCCAGCATCATAATCCTCATGGTGCTATTGGACATGGTGCCGTCGGCTACAGCAACAACTTTACGCATCCTACCTCCAGTACCGAGAAGCATATGATGCCGACCGACACTCACATCTCAGTCACCGTCGAGTCCTATCAAGAGTAGTACTTGAGTTTTTCCAACGTTCTCCAAACCTTTTTGGTTCCTTTTTACATAGTTTATCTAAATAGCCATATTGACACACAACATAACATACCTCACCTATTTCCTATCTCCAATACACCTTTCACTTGACATGCACAATGCACAAGGAACGACGACACATGCTAATAGCGATAATAAAGACGAGACAGAGCGCTTTATTTGTCGGGGGGAAATGCTAGTAGAGAATTATGGTGAAATTGGTGTGTGTGATGGCTGGTTGGTAACTCGTCGAAAATGATGGTTATTTTGTGGATTTTTTTGTGTTTGGTTGGTATGGTGTGAGTTGGTTTGGTCTGATTGTCCTATTGTCCTGTTGTCCTATTGTCCTGTTGTCCTGTTGTCCTGTGTGAAACTGAAGATGGTCACAGAAGACAGCCATCTCATGTCAAGATGGCCCTCCTGCGCAGACCTGTTCCTGATTCGTTGCAAATGTTGGCGGTTGTTGTGGATATTGTAGCTGTTCAGATCCTTGGCGCAAATATCCGTAACCACACAAGGCGGTCTCTCAATGGCACGCCTCCCAAGTGAATATCAAGTGTCAGTGTCCCTAAGAGTTGTACTACATGAACGAAAACCGCAAAAAGACGATACTAGTTAGCAGGGAACCATGGTAGAACTAAAACAAATACAACTACACAAAAGTGACAGAAAAGAGACGTACTTTCTTGGCGACCATGCCCTCAGGAGGACGGGTCTCGACGGTACCCTTGCCAACCTCGTCCCAGTTGGTCGAGAGGCAGGTTCCGTTGCTCTCCGTGAAACTCTTCATCATCGCACGCTTGGTGTTGTCGTCGGCGTCCTTGTAGATCTGGGCAAAGAGCTGGTTCAAAGCCTTGTCGCCATCGGCCTTCTCTTCATCCTTGGCCGCCTCCTTCTCCAACGCATCCCAGTTCTTGGTCTTTCTCGACGACGAAGGGTAAGCAGGGGCACCTGCAACTATTGTTTGATAACGAATCATGTAAGTCAACATCAGGTCATAGATAGTGCTGTGCAAAGTGGAGTTGAATCGTCCAAATAGAAAGTAGAGAAAGACTAACCGTTGGTGGTGGCCATTGATCCGGCGTTGACATCGTCGCCTTCGAGGGCTCCCCACTTGATGGCGAAGCGCTCCTTCTTGAGCTGGATCTCAATCTTGGTCGAAAGGACCTCAAATTTGCTCTCCGAGGGAACAACGGCGTGGCTCAAAGGCTCCAGTTCCAACGAGTAGTCCGATCCAGTAGGCATCTTGACCGAGACCGACAACTATTATCGAGTAATCGCAGATGGTCGTATGTGTTAGTGTTGTACTCCTTTGCGGTTGCATGGATTCCAAAATCTCGTGGTTCAGTGAGTTGTCGTTTGAAACCCTTACAGCGTTCTCCGTGATGTTGATGTCGACCGACTCCTTCTTGACGCTCTTGATGAAAACGCTGATGGTCACATAGCTGTCGTTCTGGTACCACTCGTGTCTATTGTAATGGAATGAAAATAAGAGAACCTCAATCATCGTTAGCGACTCTTTCTTGTCCATCATGACCTCCGTCTAAATTCCTTGTGACAAAGAGCTGCAATCCATTACCTGACACGGTGAACAGCGGGGGTAGCAGGAGAAGCAGGGACAACGGCAACGGGTGCAGCAGAGGCAACAGGGGCAGCAGCAATAGGGGCAGGGGCAGGGGTAGGTGCGGTAACCTTAGGCTGCTTGGCGAGTTCCTGTTCGTTCTTGCGCATCCAGCTGGCCAAAGTTCTCTGATCGGGGCTCAAAGCGTGGCAAGCCTCCAATGCGACTTTGGCAGTCTGGTAATCATGCAAGTGGAACGCCGCAACACTATTAGACAGACGAGGAGATACAATACAGGTCAGCTATTGTTGTTTTCTTGTGGAAAGCAAAGCATGGCAGATCGAATGATGAGAATAGTGTGGTCAACGTGTGGTAAGCGTGGCGAAAAGCGGAGGATATCGTACCCCTTGCGGAGCTGAGCCTTGGCCTCGACCGAAACGTCGACAGAGGGCTTCTCCTTGATGAGAGCGAGGGCCTTGAGGGCATCCTCATAAGCTTCCTTGTCCTTTCCCAGTTTCTGATAGGTGGCCGAGCTAAACACGATGTCAAATAGCAAGAGTATAAAGAAGTATTAGTATCTTGTGGTATTTTTTTGCTGTGCAAGCGATAGTTATGCTTTGGCTTCGTTTCATCCCAGTCACTTATTTTGCGCAAACTAGCCCTTCGCGTTTGCAGTCTATGCCTCAGTGTCCATCCCAAACAACTTTTCCTTCCTTGCTGTTCTCTCGTTGTCTTCCAATGAACAAGAGCAAAGGTGACTTACCGCTTGAGGAAGATCTCGACATGAGACGCGTTGATCTCGATGGCTTTTGTGTAAAAGTTGACGGCCTCCTCGTAGTCTTCGTCGGCGAAGGCATGGCTGCCCTGGGCGAACAAGTCCTGAACGGTAGTCATTGCTGTGTGTGTTGTTGAGTTTGAGGATGGATGGGTGAGTAGAAAAGAAAAGGGAGGGAAAGGGGTGATGTGTGAAGAAAGACGCACAGAGAGGAGTCCAGAAACATCCATCAATGGTGTATGAAGATCATACTCGATCAAAAAATACGGTGACGTATATCGGGATTTCCAGCGAGCGAGCTGGAGGAACTCCTGCAAGGGAGAAAAAAAAAAGATCTAACCATGCTTGCATTCGAACTCTTCCACGGAAACCCAAGGACCACAGCTACCACAGGACTTGTACCGCCAGCAACTACTTTTTTTCCGGCGAAAGGACATTCTGCGCGGGAAACAAACATCCATCTCATTCCTCGCATTCACTCACGCTCACAGGATCCCCGAAAAGTCCGAGAACAGCCGAGGAGCACAAGAACCGAACCAACACACCGCAAACAGCCGCCCCTCCCTATCGACAACCACCTCCAAGAGGATATCAATATACAGAGATGAAGCCGCTCACGCTGCTACAGCGACAACGGATCACCCTCTCACTTTTTTTTACAGTCGCGGTCGGAGCCGTATTCACAGTCGCAACTCCGGCATTCGTCCCCTGGAAGGTCGTGGACGACAAGCGTGCCGAGGCATTGAATCAGCAGAGACTTCAGGGCAAGGATTTTCATGTCATCGAGAACCGCGGGCGGTCCAGAAGTGGCACATCCTCCGAGGAACAGGATCCATCATCGACATCGCATTCATCACAGCACCATAATGCGACCACGTCGTCTTCAATATCGCATCAAAGGCCTATCATTTCACTATTGACTGATCGGACATCAACAACAGATTCAGGACTCGAGAGCACAACGGCAATAACTGATGCAGAGCAGTCAGGGACAGAACCAGGGGTCAAGAAGCGGAGACGGAGGCGGAAGGTAAAGATGGTCAATGAAGGATGGCAGGAGTTCACGGGACGAACGGCCAGGGAGGAGAAGGAGAAAGAAGAGAAGGAGAAGCACCAGCACCATACCCAGACGTCTTCTGGGCCAGAACCCCTTGGCGAGAATGGCGGCCGAGAGATCTCCTGGAAGAACAAATCGCAATAAACCCAACGCATCGACTTCCATTGTAATATATTCTGCTACACCTTATCCTTTCCCTTTCTCACTTGTCATCTTTGCACCAGTTGTTGTCAGTAGAGAGGGCAGCAGGAGATATCTTGTGTGAGAGTAGTGTGTGTAGAATAATTTGCTCGCCGGATTTGGGATTGTTTGATCAGTTTGATCAGATATCGAAAATATATTTTCAGGTACGATCTCTGCCTCATCACGTGGAGTTAAAAAAAAGGGGTTTTAACTATTCGTAATTGCACAGCCTCCACACGCGTAATTGAACGTTCGATAGTTGCACGTTGCATATTTGATGCCCCACAAAAGATCTTTTTTTGTGCACCCGTTCATTGCTCACAACCTCAACTCTTTTTCTTCATTCTCACACCTATCGATGAACGCCTTCTCTTTACTCTTTACTTTGTACTCTTTACTCTTACTCTTTACTCTTTATTGTTTATTCTTTACTCTTTACCTTTACTCTTTACTCTTTATTCTTTACTCTTTACTTACTCTTTACTCTTTACTCTTTATTTTTTTTTCTCTCTTCTTTGTTCGGGATTACTATTTCCACACAGACAGGCACGCTCTTCTGGGTTCAACGAATGGGCCTATTGAGAGCTTCAATCAAGTGTGAGAGAAGGAAGCGGGAGAGAGAGGAGGGTCATGAGGTGCAGAACATTTATTCATCACCACCCAAATCACAGCCCTCAACCACCTGTCTGCAGTCCTTTGTTCGAGAGTTCGATTTGTGTCTCTCAGTCCACTTTGGGCGATGTGCATCAGTTCATCCAAGCAAATACCCTTTCGTGTGTTCGTGCGCATGTATGTGCGCTGTTTTTTGACACAAAGGAGGAGAAATGGAAGGGTATGGTGGAAGAGCGAAAGCGAGAGATAGCCCTTTTGAAGGGAAAGGGCTCGGTCATGGACCTATTTTGGTTCGCAACACAAACGCATCGGGTAAAGTACAAGATGCGAAGACAAAGCGGCATAGCAAGGGAACCATGGGTGGAACCTGATTTCCTCGCACCGCACTTGGCACCAAAAGAAGACCGAGCGAGAACGTTCATTTTGTATTATTGACAAAACAAAACAGAGAAAACTAGATAATGTAGATGAGCGAATAATTGACATGAAACGTGGATAGTGCGAGGGCGCAAAGATAGTGGTGACCATGAGCAAGGGGGATCCTTTGTTGCGGGAAGAACGTATCGGAATGGACCAGAAAACGAAGTATGAGTGATGAAGATGAATGCGCCTTTATATTACTTTTTCTTTGCGATTGCGAATATAGAACGAATAGTAACCCCAACATAACTTTCTCAGAGATGAAGAGTGACATTTTCGTTCTCGCTGTAGGGTGGTTATTGGATCTTTTTCCTTCGGAGAAAGAGAGCAGCCGTTGTTGTTTTTTATCCGACTTCTTCTTACTTCACTCTGACTGTCGGTCGCGACTCCCTAATGGATAGGGAAAAGCGTGAAAGAGGGAGAGGGAATAGGGAAAACCTTGTCGGATGGACAACTTATCCGCCAATGAACGACGGCGTGCAAGGAACCAAAAATAAGAAAAGTACTCTAGTTCGACAAAAAGGGTGAATGAGAAAAAAATGGCAATCGAAGACGTTCATATAAAATGGCGAGGGGGCATTGGAGAGCTCCCTTTTTTTTTCTCTCTTTCTCTCTCTTCTTCAACCTACCACCACCGACCGACACTCTCCCAACAGAAACACACCCTTGCACATTCACAAATAACAACACCTCCTTGCACTTGTGATTACAGGAAGCTCGCTTCGTCGTCCATATCAGAATCAACCAGGTACGAATGACTTCCCTTCATATAGACACATTCATCCGGACAAACAGGCAGACAGTACGAAAGAGGGCCAAGGCTAGATAAGGGTATGGCAGAAGCGACAATTACAAAGCGAGACATACATATGGAATACAGAGAGAGAGGGAGTTTCCTTTTTTTGCATAATCTGGACAAGCATGCCCCTGTTCTGTGTTTGTTAACAGGAACGTGTGTGTGCCTGTGTGCTCATCTGGACTGCTATTGTCGTCGTCTGCCCTCTGTTCCACTTTGATATTTGAGCACTAGGAACTGCATCATCGTCACACGCCTCGTACATATCATATCTACATACCTTCCAGATCATCTTTACCATGGTCTCGATACATTGCTGTCCAAAAACCATATGGCCGTTTTCCTGTTCCTCGGCCTTTGTCTCCCTATCCTTTCTTTCCTTATAAATACGTCTATCCGACCATTCGTTTCTTCTTCTTTCTTCTTTTATCTATCAGCTTTCTTCTTTCCATTACCCCACTACTACCTTTTACCACTCTACATATTACTTTTCGAGATCCGACTGCAAGATCTCGATACCACATACATATCCTCCACCATTTCATCCTTTAACACTGCTCGCTTCTGGTCACTCTTTAGCAAACCAGACTCACCACCCACATCACCACCCACATCACCAGCAAACATGGCCGCCGATACCATCCATACCAAAGAGACCTTCACCACAACCACTTCCTCGACTGAAAACATCGCCACCCAGGTCCAGGCCCTCGACATCAAGAACCCCCATAACCACCACCAACACCATCACCATCTCCTGCACAAGTACAACACCGCCAAAACCGACGAGACTGACGATGAAGATGACGACTCATGCTGCGCTCGTTCCCCTGTTACTCTGGGACCTAGCCCCTCGGTCGCCAAGGAACACGGCCTTGCTCGTTTGATCAAGAACAACCGTGCCTGGTCCAAGGCCATCAAGGAGCGTCAACCGGATTTCTTTGAGAAGTGCTCCCAGGGTCAGCAGCCCAAAGTCTTCTGGATCGGATGCTCTGATTCTCGTGTCCCCGAGAACGAACTTCTTCAACTCGGTAGGTTTCCCCTCTTGCCTTGTTTTTTTTTGTCCGCCTTTTTTTTTTGTCCGCCTTTTTTTTTTGTCCGTTTTTTTTTTTTGAGGAGGAATGGAGTCGGGGTACCAAATAATAGCTTCGATAAGCCTGAGAGGGCCACACACACACACCATTGGCAATTGTTTGTTCCCCTCCCTTTCCTTCGTACATCGCGGTGCGATGGTTGGCCAAAATTGTATTTTTATTTTCCGTCTCTCAACAATTGCTGTATCCCTGTGTTTCTTTTGTGCTCTTGTGCTCTTGCTCTCTTTTCTGTACTCTGTACCTCGGGCATGTCATGCCATCACCCCAGCCAATCTCTAACCGCCCCCCTTCCATCTCTTCTCTCTCCATTCTTTTCGATCGGGTCCCCAATTCCGCCGTATCTCACGACACCAACTCACCATCATACGCCATATCTTACCAAAAAAATACAACAAAATGCAGCACCAGGAGAAGTATTCACACACAGGAACATCGCAAACGTCGTCGTGAGCACAGATCTGAACTGCCTCTCCGTCCTCCAGTACGCAGTCGAGGTCCTCAAGGTCGAACACGTGGTAGTCTGTGGCCACTACGGCTGCGGAGGTGTTGCCGCCGCCCTGGGTGACCACTCCTATGGCCTCATCGATCACTGGCTCGGAAACATCAAGGAAGTCAAGGCCCAACACCAGGATAACCTCGACCAGATCCTTGACCAGGAAGAGAAATGTCGCGCTCTGGTTGAGATTAACGCCAGGAACTCGGTCTTGACGGTCGCAAAGTCACCGATCATGAAGGCTGCGTGGGAAAGAGGGCAGAAGGTTGAGATTGTCGGATTGGTGTATGATATACAGACGGGCTTGTTGGGAGAGTTAGGATACCATCTTAAGAGCGCGGAGGATCTGAAGGCACAGTTGAGTGTTGATTCCAGTACCCTCTTTGCAGCACGTGATACCGTCGCCATCACTCGCTCTTAACACGCGGGTTGTACAGTAGCATGGTAGCATGTTACCCTTCTTTTCTTTCTCTTCTATTTCTGTAAAATTCTTTTGCTTCGTTCTGTCATTTCCCACAAAAAGCTCCCATGGCTTTTTTCTATACCTTTTTTCTTCTCTTTTCTTCTTTCTCCAAGAGAAAAACACCCTCCTCAAGAGCTGTAATTAAAACCAAATTTTGTTTTCCTGTTTTCCTTGAAGTATGCTACGCCGATCGTTGCTCTCTTTTTTTTTTTTTTTTTTTTCTTGACCTTTTGGTCTGGTCAGGGGACCTTTCCCTCCCAGAAATTGTATTTTCGGCAATGCAAGACACCCAAAAAGTAAAGTACATGACATGCACAAGAGCATTCAAGGAGAAAATTTTGAATTCAGGGTACCCCCACCAAAGTCAAGACCATCATCAGCTGCATCATCGGCGAAGGGTTCCGTAGGAGTGTGAAAAAAAAAAGTTTTTTTTTTTCTTTTTTGTTTGAACGTGAAGGGGTTTAGAGGGTTAGAAAGGGTGTACAGTAACATCATGCATGACCTGCAGCTGAGGAAGATCGACTGCATGAAAAAAAGGTACACGATCTCCTTTTTTTTTTTTTGAAATGTTGGTTAACATCGCCATTTTCTTCTCACGCTTGAAGATCTGGGAACTTGATGTAGATGGAGGCTTAGACAGCGTAAAACGTGTGCAAAAAAATGCAAGCAGGCACAGCAGTAAGGAAATAGAAAGTGAGGTCCCAACAGGCGGAGGTTCTTGCAGAAGGTCAAATTACATTTGAAGGCGCTGGAATGGGAGGAGAAACAGTGCGCATGAACTAAACAACGCTTCCCAGAGATATGTGGCGAATGACCAAGAAAAACCCTCTATTGGTTTTCTTTTTTTTACGCACACGCTTGCCACATGCAAGCGAGTGTCCCTTCACTTTATCCCAGTACAGTTAGACCAGGGGTATAATAAATGCAGACTACGCTTAGCCTCCACGTGTCCTTGATCGACGGCCTTAAGAAACCTGTGTACCGCTTGAGAACCATCATTGCGCGTGCCTTGTCCACTGCTATACATACAACCGACTCTGTATTGACCTTCTGCCAATCCGTGATTGGCAGCATCCTGGTACCAGTTCATCGCTCGAGAAAAGTCCTGGGGACACCAAGACCGTGTTTGTATAATGTTCCGATGTTGAGCTGTGCGTTTGCATCTCCTTGATTGGCCGACTTTAGATACCACCGCATCGCAGTCGAGTAGTTCTGGGTGACACCCTCACCACTGTCGTACATGGATCCGACACGTCGCTGGCCGACTGGATGTCATTGGTTGGCGGCCTTGAGGTAGCATTCCATGGCAGCTTGGTAGTTCTGGTTGTACATGTAATTATCTCCAAGAGCGACCTGGGCGTCAATGCCACTCTGACTGACAACGGGTTTTGTTGGAAAGGAGTTGTTGGTGAGAGGAGGGGCTTCATTGGCAAGAGTAGGGAACTCCTTGGACATTTGCGGCTCGTTGTCATCGCTGGAATGTTAGACAACGGACGTTTTGCTGCTGTTGTGTTGGGACTTGAGTAAGCTGCTCGTGGGCGTGTCGGGTGCCGCTATCTTTTGACATTCGGAGCTATAGCCATGTGGGGATGACGACGTTTTGGTAAGAATTTGAAGCATATAAAAAACAACACTCGTAACAATGGACAAAGTTTACGCCACTTACAGTCTATGGGCCTCAACTTTTCGCTGAGCTTTGGTGTCTCCTTGAAACTCGCTTTATGATACCATCCCATGGCGATGAACGAATCCTTAGAAACATCCTGGCCTTCAAAAAAAAGGTCGCCGACTTGGACCTGAGCATGCGCATGACTCTGATGGACAGCCTTCATGTAGCACTCCAGAGCCTTCCAAAAGTCAGAGGGACCTGCATCGCCCTTTGTGTACAGCGCGTCGAGATCCATCGTGTCTGCAATCTTGGTCATCGCTTTTTTGGCGTACTTGCGCGCGAGCTCTTTGTTACGGACTCGAACAGCCGCTTCGTCGAGTTGTTGCCTCGTGTTTTGGGCGCGGGTAAAATTGTTTCCCGGTGGTCTAAAGCGAGGATTGAAAACAGAGGTTGATGGGTGGGTAGGGGATATTGGCCGCATTGTTGAAAATGGATTGTGCCTTGGGAGCCATGCTGCCTGTTGCTTAATCTTCCTGAGAACTGATGGCCGCTGCTGAGGAGTGTTGTCCTGTGGGTTGCCTATGATAATGTCTAGTATTTCGCCGGGAATGACAGCAATTCGAAGCGGCTTTATCCTAGAGCGGAGAAAAGTAGACAATTGTGGTGTTAGCCAAAAAGTAACTTCATTCTCGTTTTGCTGTCGAACCTACAAGCTCATAGACGTACGTGTTGAAATCGTCGTCTTTCATAAAGGGAACCATCCTTGCTTTGTGTCGGACATAAAGGGCGTTGTGGAAGACCAGACGGACATCTTCCCAGAGAATGAACTTTTCCTTTGTGATGCGGTCGGTGTAGATGTCGACATAGACTACCTCGGTTGGGTGCGGCGGAGATGAGGCGGGGTTGTTGATGTTGATGGAGCGAATGCCCTGAGTGTTGGGAGGTGTGAATGACATTGCAATTGAACTTGTGCTGGGAGTGAATGTCACTCAAAGGAAAAATTGTATATGTCAAGGACAAAGGCGAGAAGAGTGAGAGTGGTGGCGAGTAAAAAGAGCAACGAAAAGTGAAAAAAAAGTGTGGCCTGTGGCAAGTGCGGATGGCCATTTCAGGTACATCTGGAACGTGTAATTTTCAAATAGGGAAGTTTTTTATATTTATCGTTCTTTCCTTTATTTCATCTTCCTTCTCCGTTTAGACCTCTTTTCTTTTCTCTTTGTTCTCCCTTTTGTTACTCTCCTTCTCTCATTCACACATATTCGCCCCTTCCCTGTTTCTCATCATCCTCTTTTGCGTCAGGACACCCTCAGCACTAACAATATGCTAAATTTTACAAGGATTCATTGTCCGTCAGGAACGAAAACGACAACAAGTGCAGGCAGTTCGCGCTGTCAGCAAGGGCGAGGCACCTTCATCAATTGCTCCCACCCAACCTGAAGATATCTTCTACGTCGACTGTCATACCGATCCCGAAACCCAAAAGCCAGTCGTCCTCTGGAACGATGTTCTCCAGGCGTTTGATAACGGTGTGCAAATATGAGACAAGGCGAGGGTGGTGCCTTTTGTGAAAGGAGACGACCTCAGAAAGTACATTATCAAGGACTCTGTTTCGAATGCTTTGCAAAAATGGCCAGAACATAGATCACAATTTAGGACTAATATTTTTACTGTAAACTGAATGACAAATAGTCTTGAACCTCGAAGGATTGCTACCTTACCCAGCACCGTCTTGGATGTAGTTGTGAGCGGTCCATCGGTCGACACAAAGGTAGCGTCGTCATTGCCAGGGTCAATGCAGGAGGAAGCGAAGGAAATGAAGTCAGACAAGGATGTTGTTGCATCTCAAAGTACAATTGCCTCCTCCACATCCACTGTTCGACGGAGCTCTGTTTACGATCTCGAGAACATAGCAATGGAAAACTATAACCACATTGACAGACCCCCGTCACTACAGTGCGCTATTACCGACTTCAGTGCCCGACGCAATCCGGTTTGGGGTCTTGAGAACGCCGCGATGGACAGCTATTCCCATATCGACAACCCAGCTTTTGCGCCGCCACTTCGACGACCTCAAGCAATGGTGGACGATCAATCACCTATACACAAGAACCTCCCAGCACTCCCACATTCAAATCATGATGCCAAGCCCCCTTTGCGAGCACCTCAGAATACAACTACTGATGTGCCGATCGAGAAGGACTTGGCTCAGCTGAGCATCAGCGCCAGCCTCGGAGACACGAGTGCCCAGGTCGCCTTGGGTAACATGTACACCGACGGCGAAGGAGTTCTGCAGGACTACCAATCAGCGATGGATTGGTACCTCAAGTCAGCAATCAAGGAGATCCAGTTGGCCAGCGCCGTGTGGGCTTTCTCTACCATAGAGGTCTCAGTGTCTCGCGGAGCTATTCGGCAGTGTTGGAATGGTTTATCAAGGCGGCCGACCAAGGAGACCCAGACGCTCAGTACAGCGTCGGTGCCATGTACAACGTAGGCAAAAGCGATCCTCAGAACTTTGCCAAAGCGATGGAGTGGTACCGCATGGCCGCCGATAAAGAAGACGCAGGCGCTCAGTGTAAAATCGGGATCATGGATATCAAAGGCCAAGGTGTGACCAAGAGCTACTCGGAAGCTAGAAAGTATTTCCAAAAAGCGACTGACCAGGGGCACCCGGATGCACAAAATTGGTTGAAGGAGTTGTCCACCATTGGATCTGATAAGCAGATAGTCTCCAAAACGACCAAAAAGAAGGGGGTTTTTAGCAGGCTTTTCAAGTGAAGAATGAAGTGTCATATCGCCAAAAAATTAACTGTGGTATAAAAAACTAACAATCAATCGCCACAGTACTATACCAGCGTGGGAGTATCTTCATTCTTCACATAAATAGGAAAAGAGGACATTGCCAGACTTCGAGTCTGAACTGAATACTGGCCAGCAACTATCAAATATCGTAATCACCAGCATGCTGCAGTCAGGCGCACGAGTCGGTTTTGTTCGCTGGATCGGGTTGAACGCCTTTTTTCGCGGTTCCATTGAGAAGAATTATTCTTACTATTCAGTTGACATCAAAGGACAAGGGAATTCTCGCGACGTTAGTGTTGGTGGTGCTGCTTCTCTTCGGAATTCACTCGGAACGGCTGTTGAGGTAGTTCATAGTGCAAGCCACTTTGCAGCGTAAACTTCAGGGTCTCTTTATGTTCAGCAACCTGCATATTTTACAACGCCTCATACTCCCACCACAAAAGCCTCTTTTATGCTGATGTGTCAATTAAATATGTATCAATTTTTCGTGCCACCAGATATCTCTCTACAGCATTCAATAAAGCAGCAATGGCTATGTGTCTCTCATTCACCAATTATCGATCGCAATTCTGGCTTAATCAAGTCAAATGGGATGACTGGTATCGGTTTATGTCTTGATCTTGCGCTTCATAACAACGCTGAATGTTCCGACACCAAAAAGAGTGGCCAAGACGATCGACCAGGTGGTGATAACTATCGTTGTCTGGCCCATCACGCCCTCCATTTGTGCCTGTTGTACCATCAACAACCCAAGTTCTCCGCGCGTTATCATGGTCGTCAACTTCGAAAGCGTAGCGATCACAGCATAGACAAGACCCCAACCGAATAAAACAGGTTCCAAGATCGTAGTCAGTGGGATCGCAAAGCCAATGGTAGCAAAGAACACCGCATTCATCACTGGCTGGATCTTGTGCGCAATCTGTTTTTCGTATCGGTGGCAAAGATCCTCAAAGTCCGAGAATAAGACACCCGCGACAAAGGCTCCCAGTAGTCGTGAGCTGCCCAGGTACTCTGCCAAAATGCTGTATCCGAGTCCGACGATGACCATTCCTGCAAGATTGACTGTGGTTCCAAACTTGGAATAAAAGATCAAAACTACATCCCTGATTCGTTGACGGCGACTTGACGACACTCTTTTCTCGGCATGACCCTCTTCCTCGATTGCCGAACTGTCGGTGTGAGTCCCGGTATCATCGTCCATACCTTCATCCTCACGCTGGACATCCTCCGTCTTCTGGCCAACCGTAAACGAGCCAGACTGGATAGTGTTACGAACCGAGGCGCCTGAAAGAGTAGAGAGAGAGACGGAAAGGTTAGATCCTCAGGTGAACCCACATGTCGGCGACCAATTGCTCTTGTTTACTTGGGACAAAAAAGGAAGTCTTCTTACCAGTTTCAACGGAGGTCTCTCTGTTCTTGAACTGTGAGGGCTTGAAAGTTGATGTTTCTCTCCTAACCATGATTTTCGCAACAATCGCGCATCCAATGACTCCAACCAGAATAATCCCAAGACTCGCCAAAAATCGGCTGAATGGCTGTCATGGGGCCGAATCTCAGAGTTCGATCCACCACCAATACTGGAGATGATTCCCAGCAAGATAAAACTTTTTTAGTAGGAAAAGTGGTGAGATGAAAGAATGTAAAGACAAAAAAACTGCCAACGGTGACAATGCAAAGATGATGATCTTTTGGCTAATACTCTATTAATCTTTATCAACAACAATCTCGACATTCCATTCCTGAAAAAGAAAAAGTCCATAAAAAAAGCTCCTTCTTTTTCTCTCAGAATTCTTTTACATAACAAAGTGATGCAAAAAAAAACTGAACGACTTCGCTTCGGACCATTAAATCTCGAGCACATCTCCATCATCCGTCTTGGTCTTCTTGCGATCCCTCTGGGCGAAGCAAAAAACACTCGTCCTCCAAGGAGGCAAAAGATATCCGAAAACCCGGATTTGAACCAGGGACCTAGAGATGACAGACAAACTACAGTCTCCCGCTCTACCAACTGAGCTATTTTCGGATGATGGTGGTGTTTTTTCTGTGACTGACCAGTTCTGACACCTTGTCCGCGGATAAATCACGTGAAAGAAGATTCCGATAAGGTATTTAATCGTATGTCCTGCAGGTTGCCACCAATTTTGAAAAAATCATTCCAGAGTATGTTTTAATGGAGTGAGAGCTTAGGACTTTGAAAAGACATGGTTGACGTCGCCCTCGTTCAGTGCTTCATAGACCTCCTGGAAGCATTCCTTGACCATCCGTACCTGGTCTCCGCGACAGGCTGCAGTGATATTAATACCTATGACAAAAGGATCCATGACATGAAAAGTGACAGGACCTAATTCCTTGGACACAGAAGACGACGAAGAAGCAGAAGCGGCACTCTGGGATGATGCTAACGAGGTTGCTGCGGTTCCCGTGTTGATTCCTGCTGTTGCTGACGGTAATGCGGCTGCAAGGGAGGACAGGTTGCTGGTAGCTCCACCCTTAGAGGACACATCAGGTCTCCACCGAAAAGCTCCTATCCTGGCGTTGACCTCCTTAGACTCGTAGTCAAACACGTATCCAAAGAACCGACAAAAGTCCATCAACAGCTCGGCAACACCTTTCGAGTTCCCGGCTCCCATTCCAAGGTGGTACTTCCAGTCCCGATCAAACGAACAGTCGATGCCCTGGACAATCGTCTCCTTCAGCGGTCGATCCTCTTCTTCCAACGGTGTCTGTTGTAGTTTGGGCAGCAATGGCGGATTCTCTGTCTGCAGGAACGTGATCAGCATGAGGGCGAGTGCATAGCTGCCGAGCGGCACGGGTCGATGTCGGTCCTGATGTACTGACCCCGAAATAAGGTGTCTCTGAACAGCGAGGCGCTTCAGTGCCAAAAAGACAGGACAGAACCGCGGCTCAGCCATGTTGTAGGTATAGACCAGTTTCGAGCGGTAGATGGCCAAGGGATCGTTCAGACTGACGTGGCACGCCATTTCTGTCCTGGGATCGATGAATGTGACGAAGGGCTGGGGTATTGAGGGTGCTGTTGTCGTTGGCGAAATTGGTGTTGGTGACTGAGGTGGCTGTATCCGAGGTTCTGAGATGACCACGTTTTCATAGTTGAAGTGTCGCAGTGCATCCGCAAGAGCCGACATGGTGACGTTTTTGGTGTTTCCAGTCAATGTGAGATCCAAATCGCTGTGTCGAGTATGCGATCCTGTTGCAAAAGACCTATTGTCAATGGAGAAAAGTGGAAAGTGATAAGTGCGAGAATAAAGCAGTAACGGGGGCCATGTCAGTTGCCGATCACATGCATGGATATCTTACCCGACAGGCACGAGTGCCAGGAAACAAAAGTCGAAATATTCGCTGAGTTCCGCCTCAAGCGTCTTGACAAGGTCGTCAATGGCAGCCGTGTCCTCTGTAGAAATAACCAATGACTATTGGCAGGAAGAGAGGACATAAATGTTAATGACCATGAATAAACCTAATTGGCAAAGCAGACATCAACAGCAAAAATAACGCCTTGATGGGTACCTTGTGCAGGCGCCAAATAAAGTCATCCGTGTTTTTGATCCGCAGTGCCGCTTCCTGTTCCCGCGCCGCTTCCTGCTGGCGATTCCATTCTTCCTGAAGCTGCTGGGCGGCCTCCTGCGCCTTTTTGACCTCTTCTTGCTCACGTATCTCGACCTTGTGGATCTTGTTTTGGTTGTATTCCTTGGTGTACTTTTGGACGCCTTCGAGACCCCAGTCAAACGTCACGATCGGCCCCTTGGAGCCATCCATCATCCACTCGTCCCGTCTCAGGTACCGAATAAGCGTTGCAATGTCGTCCTGATACTCCTCGGGCATATATGCGTACTCCCACAGAAACGTCTGAATGTCGGTCTTGGAGAGCCCAGGGATGACAATCGAGTACTCATCATCCAGGTCCGTATCGTTGTCCTGATGGAGATCGTGACCTCGGTGGCTGTAAATGTCGGTGGACCAGCTCCGTTCAGGGCGGACAAACATGTCGAGTGCACTCCTGGACCTTGTCAATCCACGCTCGCGGTCCTGCTGCTGATCCCTGCTTGACGACTCTTGCTGTTTCCGACGGTCTCGCTTCATAGACGACGATGACGCAAACGAAGGGGCATCCTCTCTGATCTCGATGTTGCGCGGAAAAATCTCGTAGGCGCCCGTTTCCATCTCCTCGATATAATCGAGTAGTCCGATGACGGTATGGAGCTGGTTCCGTGTGATGAATTGGTCGCAGGGGATATCCATTAAGGGTCGGTTGTGCTTGTAAAAGTCGGCGACAAAGGCAAAGGTGTCTGCGAGGTCTGCGAGTGCGAGTATGTGCTGCTGATCTACGCTGACATGGGATGCGTACTCGAACAAGCAGACGTCGTAGAGGATGCCGACGAAATGGCGGCGGTTGACCTTCATTACTGCTTCGTTGTTGGTTGGTGTAAGAAGTGAGCGGTTGGCTGCTGTTGCGTTGGCTCTGTCCTTGTCCTTGTCCCTGAATCCCGATTAAGTTGTGGTTGGTTGATTGTCCTGTTGCGGTTGTGAATGGACAGAGAAGGGCGATGGGTGAGGAAGAAGAAGAAGTGGCATGGGTGTGATTTCAGTCGGAGAGGTAAATAACAAAAGGAGAGAAGAAGAGAAAAAAACTTTTCTTTATCTTTTTGGGCAAAGGGGCGAACATCCGAACTCAGTTCATGTCCAGCCACACATATCTAATACGAGGATCCATACACATATATGTTCCAGTCCATCTTCCCCTCTCCCCTCCCTCTTCTTTAGTCCTTTTCACTCCTATACCTGTCTCTTGTTCCTTTGCTTTGTCTATTTTTTTGCCCTTCGTGTTCTTTTGAGCTGCAAGAGGGGCGAGAGAGAGAGAGTAGTTATTTCTGATCACACTCTGTGGGACCCACAATGTATTCAGTGATGTTGCCTGGGGTCATATCACCATCAAGATTAAGTCAAAGGGCGATGGTGATGGTGATTGGATGGGGATCGACCTTCTGCTGACCGTAAATCTTCCTTTGGCTGAAAGAGTGGGGACACCATTATTTTTGAAGTGCTCCAACTACCATGAACGGGTGGAGGGATGGTGGATGCCATACCCCTCAATTTTTCAAGACGTCCACCAACAAGGCCATGGTGCCTTGTGTTGAATATCAAGGTTTCTAGGTTTCTAGGTTTCGAGCAATTAATCACGTCTTTTTTTTTCTAGCAACACTCGAGTCTATGAAAAAAAAAACAATTGGGTTTTCTTTAGTGCCGCCAATTTTTTTCTAATTCGCACAATCTTGTTTTTTTTCAGACGAACACAACTTGCTATCACTTCATTTTTTCTTTACATTATTCTTCTCCCACAATGGTCTCATACCCTTCAAGTGATAAAAAATGACCTCCACATCTGTTCTCTCTGGCCCTCGAGAAGTTCAGTTACTAGTCCCCCAACACAGCGTCAATCGACTGGTGCGGAAACAATTACACGATCAGTTACTACATTGCAGAGTACATCCGTCTTTTCTCGTCCCCGTCATGCTTTTGAGTGTATTTCTCTACAAAAACTTCACGAGGCCATAGACCTTAAACCCGCACCTCATATTTGCATTTTTTCTTCTTTGCTACTGGATTCTGGAACAGCACGACAAGTCTGATGTTTGTCGCAATCGTCTTGCCGGATACATGAACCTAACCTCGTACAAAGAGCGCAGGACGACCATGTTCATTCCGACATTCACAGCCATTGGCGCGGGCTCGGTTCTCTTCCATGGCACTTTCAGGCGCAAGATGCAACTCCTTGGTGAAATATTTCGCTACCTTGGCCACTGAAACCTCATAAGCCTTTTTGCCTTTTGTTCATCATTTTTGCCTTTACTTTTCGTACCTTTCCTTTCTGTCTTTGTCCATCTGAAATAGATGGTTGCCAATGCTGTACTCTGCGACGGTCGAGATGCTGGCTTTTATTGAGAACCACTTTGGGAAGCAGGGTCGATGGTTCCTCATTGCCATCGCCATCTGACTCGATAATGACGTCGCATCGCCTCTCCTCTTTATCCTCTTCTTCTCGCCCTAATTTACCGATCCTCGTCCCTTTTTCGCCTTGACGTTCAGACCACAAACTCCATACTAATCAATTTTCTCCTTCCCCTAAAATCATAGTCGCGACAACAATCATCTTTTCAACAACCTCAGGGACGCTGGAGACCCTCAGCTTCCAAACAAACTACAAGTATATAATCCTCGGGGGTTTCTACTTCCTCTGCCGCTTCTATACCACTCATCGCACTATGCGGCCCAACCCCTCCGTCTCCTGTGTCATCCGTCTTACTTGGACTAGTCTGGCTGATAGATTACAACCTTTCGCGTGTGCATCAATGGAGTCAGTCCCGAGTCGGTCCTGAAGTAGAACTCGCAGTTTCTTGCATGGTGGCATTTCCTGTCAGTCTATGGTGTCTATTCACAGAGCGTGTACTACCATTATGATATGCGAGAGGTGAAGCCTGAGATTTCTCTCAAACCCATTGGAAAGAAGGTTTATTGATAGGAGAGATAAGGGTGGGGAGTGAATAGGAGAAATGAAGAGTAGTTCGTGTTGAGAAAGGTGCGCCACCAACTTTAGTAATAAGAACCAGCTACTTAAACAAGAGCCTTTTGCTCCACAAAGCGGTAGAAGCAAACCAAGGACAAGCCCCACCCCTTGGCACGTCGACTACATACAGGCGGTGATGGTAGTAAACCATAAAAATGACAAAGCTCGTCGCGAGATACTCAGCTAGCCATGAGGGACTCCACTCCGAGAGGAGGAGCAGTCTCTCACCCAACAGGGTAATGTATGCGCACGCGCCAAGGTGAAAACAGCAATCAGAAGCTTGCCCACTTGTAAGTCCGATGGACTACTCCATATTTAAAATCTGTTATTGCTTCCAAGCTTACTAAACAAAGCTCTTGCGGTTGAAAGGGTTTCTCGCTGCTTTTTTGTTTGCTTGTTTGTTTTTTCTCATTTCACTTTCTCCTTTTTCTCCTCTCCCCCCTTCGTTCCTCCTCCCACCTTCTCTACACGCACCCACCCTTTGCTTTCTCATTTCTCCTTTAACCCCGCGTATACGCCAAGCAAACCTTCACCTAAAGGAGAAAAGCAGGAAGAATGGCGCCAACATCCGTTTCTCCGGCCTTTGACAAAGTCGGCTACTGGTCTCCCAACACCTCATCAATTGACTGGTGCGAGAACAATTACACCATCTCCTACTACATCGCCGAGTAAGCAACAGCATTCCCTTTAACCTGCTTTCCCCATTCACACCATCTCTCGCCATCTGGAAATACTCATTCATCCACGTTTTTGCCATGAGAGATGCCCGGTTTTTTTTTTATTTTTCCGCCTTTTATCTGAAAGAAAACTCTATTCCTTTTTTTTTTTTTTTTTTTTTTGTTATCGATCGATTAGATTCTGGAACAGCACATCGAGTATTCTAATTGCAACACTGGCAGCCATCGGGTACATGAACCTAGCATCTTACAAGGAGCGCAGGATGACGCTGTTAATGCAGGCGTTTTTTACGATTGGTGTTGGGTCTACTCTTTTCCATGGTACTCTCCGGCATAAGATGCAGCTCCTTGGTAAGAAAGGTGTTTTTTTTTGGGGGGGGAAGGGAAAGAGAAGAGAAGGAATGATTCAGGGCAGGTTTTTTTTTTTTTTTTTTGATTTGTGTGAAGGAGAAAAAGCGGAAGAGGAGGAATCTTTGGGTGCAACGGACAAATTCTCTTTTTTGTGTTTCTCCGCACGAAGACAAGGACCAACAGGATTTTTTTTCTCCGGATAACGGAGCTCTGTGGGAATCACAGACATGCTTGGACGGAGAAAAGAGAGAGAGAGAGAGAGAACAAACGTGCATCTTGCGAGCGGTAACATTGTTTTAGTCCATAAAATACAGACCATCCACCCGTTCTTGACTGACGCGCCTGTTCTTTCTTATTGTTTTTTCTCGTCGTGAATATGAAAAATAGATGAGCTACCAATGCTGTACGCGGCGACAATAGGGATGTTCATCTGTATCGAGACCCACTTCGGAAAGCAGGGTCCCTGGTTCCCCATCGTCCTCACCGCCTGGATTGGTAAGTAGCATCGACTCTACAATTCCCATCTTTTGGCATGTGCGTCCTTGCCTTCCTTTACTTCGATGCTCTAACCGCTACTTAACGTTTCCTTTTTCCTTCCTAATATGCAAAAACAAATAGCCACTACAACAGTAATCTTCTCAACAACTTCGGGAACACTCCAATCCCTCAGCTTCCAACTAACCTACGGATCCATGATCATCACCGGCCTAATCTTCCTCCGCATCTTCCACACCACCCGCCGCGCCATTCGTCCCACACCCCCTACCGTCTCCCGTCTAATCCGTCTTACTATCTCCTCCATGTTCCTCGCCATTACTGTATGGTTGATTGACTATAACTTGTGCGTATATATTAACGGAGTGAGCGAGGAATCGGTGTTGAGATGGAACCCACAGTTCCATGCGTGGTGGCATTTGTTGTCGGCGTATGGGGTGTATGGGCAGAGTGTGTTGATTATGTATTATCATTATGAGATGCGTGGGGTTGGGGTTGAGGTTTGGATGTGGAAAGGGTTTGTTCCTGCGGTTAGGATCGTTGGTGTCAAGAAGATCGATTCAAAAATATTCAATGATTAGGATATTTCCTTCCTCTCCTACTCCTCTTTCTACCTCCCACCCCCCTGCTCCACTCTACCCAACCCCTCCTCCTCCCCGTTTCCCTTTGCAGAAAAACAACATTTAATAAAATAATAAGAAACGTTTTTATTTTTGTTACGATGTTTGGTGGATGAACAGAAAAAAAGATTAGGTATTAAGAAGGAAGGGGGTGGGGGGTCAATGAGAAATGGTAAATAGATTTACACAACAACGTGAGTACGTCCACCAGCGCCCACACCACCCGCGTGATGATGACGAGGGGCACCACGCCTCCTTGAGAACAAAGCCGTCAACGACGCCAAAGTCGACCTACGACGGGGATGAGCACCCCCACCGCCTCCTCCAACTGGCACCGCAACGCCAGCACCATGATGACGGCGACGGGAAGAGAACAGTCCTTTACGACGACGTGGGGCGGCAGCTCCACCGCCGGCGGTGTGGGTATGACGGGGGGCAAACATGAGCTTAAGACGGGTCATGGGAGAGGGGCGGGCTTGGTAGCCTGCTTGTTGAACGACGGGGCGACGGTTGAAAAGTGGCATTATGGTCTTTGTGTTTGTGTTTGTGTTTGTGTTTGTGTTTTTGTTTGTGTTTGTGTTTGTGTTTGTGTTGTAGGGGGATGGTTTGTGTGAAAGATGTTGAGGTTTGAAGTGTCGAAAGATAATGAAGAAGATAGCCAACCTTCATTGCATTTATATACTAAAATAATGGACCTTTTTTACCAGGGTCTCTTTGGCTCATCATGGACGCGTCATTCCAGGAAGGATAGTGTTATTTGCTACTACGTCGCACAGACCAAATGACACACGATGTCAGGAATTCCACCCTGCCAAAAAAATAGTAATAATAATAATAATAATCAAGCATCATCATGTTGCAACTTTACAACGTTCCATGACTCGATTGATGAGAAACCCCCCTTGGCACAAAAAGGTTATCAAAGGTACATGTACTCTCACAATGGTACATAAACCAAAGATCCCACAGTCGTAATCCAAACAGTATTCGCATCACCCCTCCATTTACTTTTCGAAAGAAGGAAAACAAAAAGAAAATATGATACATTGACCGAACATGACGACGGAAACACACTATTACTCGCATCCTCGTTCTCATTCTCCATCATGCTTGCGCTTGCTTCCCGCAACAGCTTCGGCCTTGTTGTCGTTGTTGCTGTTGTTGTTGTTGTTGTTGGGGAAAACAGGGGCAGCAGCAGCAATGGCTCCAGGCGAATCAGATGTGGGTGTCGACACTAAAATAATTACCGAGCAGAGCGTAGCAATGAAAAGGGTGACACGAGTAAAGTTAGTAAGTTATGTCATCCGCTTTTTTAGCGCATAGAATAAAATGACAAAACTCAAACCAAAATATGATAAACAAAAACACTGCTAAAGAAGAAAGGGAGTCGTCATACCTGGAGGTGTGAAGGGAGCTCGGTAGGGCTTCTTCAATGGATTCTTGCGGAACTGTTGGGGCTGAGACCCCTGTGACTCCCTCTGTGCTCTCTCAGCCTCACGCTGCTGACGCTCTCGTACTTCCTTTTCATCATACCACTGCTTCCACGAAAGGATCTCGATGTTTGCAGCTTCGGAAATAACGCCCATATTGCGCCCTTGTACAGCCTTGACATCATCTCCAAGATAGAAGGGATTGACGTACTCTTCTCCAAGACGACCAAGAGGCAAAGGCTTGAGTTCATAGGGCAGTCTCTCCGACTCTTCGCCGGGAGGTCCAGGTGCAAACTTGCTGATCTGGAACCAGGCAGTGTTGTCATCTGCCCATGTGAAGGTGTAAGGGTTGTACTGCTCAAAGAGGTGGAACAGCGTCGAAGACTGGATCGACGAGTGGATGTTTCGGAGCATGTATGAGTATGGGCGCTCCTCGGGCTCTGGGTCGGGACCAGCCAAGTTCAGGATGGGGAAATCAGACCGCATCACATGTAACTTGTTGTAGTACTCCTGCAACTCCTTGTCCGCCAAAAAGTCGTGTGTTGGGTTCTCCATAATCTCACGCTTCCGCTTCTCCAGGATCGCCTCCTTCTCCATCGGTGTCTCCTCAACCTCTCCATCCTCGACCTCCGTGTCCCTGTCCTCAGTGGCCGTCGCCTCGGTAGCCTTCTCAATAGTCTTGACCTCGTTGGTATCTCCCTGAGTGACCGACGCTGCATCAACCTCTATGCTCAAGCCATCCGAACTGCCGACTCTGCGCTTTTTCCGTGCATGCTCCAATTCCTCGTCTTCCATTCTCTGGCGCTCTTTGAGGATATATCCTGCAAAACGGAGGTACGCTTGCCCTGTGATAAAAGCGTCGTATCCAGCTTCATGGTATTTCGCGTTGCTATTTCCAGAAATGGGAGCAGGGTCTGCAGGAGCAGCAGCGGGCTTAGCAACGGGGGGAGTGTCTGTTGCGGTGGCAGGGGTAGAAGCGGCGTCGACTTCTGGAGTCTTTGAACCGACGTCGGCTGGTGCGTTAGACGCAGCAGCGGCAGGAGCATCGCTGCTCTTGGGTGGGTTGCGGTCGTTGCGGACAAAGCCAGTAATGAAGTTGCCAGGCACATGAGACGAGGCGATCTCATTCTCCATGACAGGCTCAATTACATAGCGGTCATAGTTCTTTGCCATCACTAATTAGTTCAGTCATAACACGCGTCAGATGTTAATATCATGGCCAAAACACCTTCATCACAGGAAGCGAACAGCAGGCAAAAAAAAGCATGAATCGTACCGATTTTGGGTCCGACAGTAGAAAAGGGGCGCCTCTGTACTGTCCTGTCGACCAGATCGAGTCCCGAGTTGTCCAAGTGCTGCTTAATCAAAGGGTGTGTCGCAAGGTGCTTTGTATCAATCACACTATCGTACAAAGGTTGAGACTTAACTTGTTAATATGTGGACAAAATAGTCATGTCGCACCATACTTTCAACAAACAAAAACACCACGACCCAAGACAAAAAAAAAGAAACTTACGTCTTCCACTCGAGGCTCAAAGCGCGCTTCCAGTCATCCAGATCAAACGGCAAATCCCACAGAAACTGCTGCGTAATTTGCATGAGATCCAAGAAGCAGTTGTGTCCAATGAGGGGCTTCTTGGCCTCCGAGATTAAATCAAGTACCCTGCGAAGGTTGAGCTTGGGTGGCCTGGCAATCTTGGCCTCCTCCTTCTCCTTCCTGATCTTTTCCGTCATGCGTCGGAGGGTCATGGTGCGCTCGTGTGCGTTGGATGAGCTGTCGAGTTCGCTCTTGAATTCTGTCCTGATGATCTGATGGACCAATCTCCTGTAGAAGGCGTTGTTGGCGGGGATGGTCAATTCCTCGTTGGTGAGTTCGCTTGTGCTAGCCAGCCATTCCTTAATTTTCGCGCTATATAGATTTGAGCGTGAGATAGGGTTAGGCACTGAGCGTGTTTGTTATGGGGGTAGGATATACATGAGCGCGTTGTGTAAAACGACTTACATTGTAGACTCAATAAAGGATCTGTTGCGGTCATCGATAGGGATGTCATTCTGGCTCGAGTTGGCGAAAGCCTTCTCCTTCTCGGTCTTCTTGACAATATAATCCTCCTCCTCCTTCCTCGTCAAGTAGGGAATCCCATGACGAATCCACTTGTTGAAATCAAAATGGTTCTTCAACAAAAACTCCAAACTGGTACTCTGACTCGCAAAGAACCTCTCCCCGGACTTGGCCTCATCGTCATTCGAAGGAAAACAAGGAAAGTTGAAGGGTTGAGCCTCATAGGCACCCAGCTGGTCGGACCAAGTGAAACAACAGATTCCGAGTTGGACCACCAGAAACTCGTTGGCGCTGGCAGAAACTTTTGAGTAGCGGGTAGGGAGACTGTCAGGGTGGCGGTGGGAGTTTTGGGGGGTGGAGAGGCCAGACATTTCGGTGTCCATGGAGATGAAGTCGCACTTTGAGATTGCCTTTTGGAGCACTGGGAACTTTGCCTCGAAATCCTCCTTGAGAATCTCCATCCTGTGTTATTTGATCGTTGGTTGCTGTTGTCCGGTGTTTGGGTGTCTGCGAGAGGTTGATCTGATCTAGCAAGGGCTGTTTGAGTGGTGATTAGTCGTTCTCTGTGTTCTGGAAGATCGCAAGCAGATAGTTAAGTTGTAAAGGAGCGTTGTTGTTGGTCGCCTCAACCTTGTAGGCGTGGCTTCAGAAGCGCGTCACATCACATTTATGGGCTTCGTGCATTACTTTGTAACAAAAAAAAACGTGGTGGCCAGAGGGAGGACACGAGAGCAAAATTGAGCTCAGCACCTTGGTCAAGTTGTTTGTTTGGTGCTACCATGCCACGCCATACCATGGAAGAAACATGAGCGGGACTAGCCATGTACTGTACACCTATCCCTCCATTGCATTAACACTGACACGGTGTTGTATCGCGTATGGTGTCTCGCTTGTCAGGCTACCAACGGATAAACGCGATGCCTGTGCTCCTTAAGAGTCTGACTGGCTGATGTGTGATGTTTGAGACAAGAAAAAAAATATATGCCATGAGCTTGATAGCACCACTCTTTTCCTTCGTCCTCACTTCACCCGTCCCTCCTTCCTTTTTTCCTTCTTCACTCTCTCCCTCACCCTCTCCCTCTCTCTCTCTCACACACACAGGATACTACTTTCGTCCTACTCTTTCACACGACAGATACATAGCAAAAGATGGGCGCAGATTACTACGGAATCCTCGGGGTCTCCAAGGACGCAGACGAGTCCCAGCTCAAGAAGGCCTACCGCAAACTCGCTCTCAAATACCACCCCGACAAGGTAACCTTCCTCTCTTTTCCCTTCATCCTTTGCATGCACTGTCTTCACATCATCACCACCACCACCACCACTTTACCTTGGCAAAAAAAAAAAAAAAACATGCAACTAACTCTTCAACTGATCTCATTGGCACACACAACCAACCAAAAAAAATCGCAATGATGTTTTAGAACTCGGCAAAGGAAGCACAGAAAAAGTTCCACGACATCTCAGAAGCATACGAAGTCCTCTCCGACAAGGACAAGCGTGCAATCTATGACCAATACGGTGAAGAAGGTCTCAAGGGCGGCGGACCCCCACCTCCCGGTGCTGGTGGGTTTGGTGGCGGTGGTGGGTTTGGAGGGTTCCCTGGTGGTGGTGGAGGAGGACCTTCGTATACGTTTTCGACTGGTGGAGGAGGTGCTGGTGGGTTTAGACCGACGGATGCCGAGGATATCTTTAAGCAATTCTTTGCGTCCTTTGGCGGTGGTGGAGGGGGAGGGATGCCTGGGATGGGGGCGGATGAGGAGGATGATATGGGCGGTGGGGGTGGGTTTGGAGGCCGCGGTGGTATGCCCGGAGGTATGGGAGGTATGGGAGGCATGCCAGGTGGCGGTCGACGAGCTAGACCAGCACAACACCGCCCCGAGCCTGAGAAACCTCCAGCATTGGAACGAACCCTGGCCGTCTCCCTCGAAGACCTGGCCAAGGGCGTCACAAAACGCCTCAAAGTCACCCGAAAAGTCACCAACCCTGCCAGTGGCCGCACCTCCGACAAGATCCTCACCATTGACGTCAAACCCGGTTGGAAAGCCGGTACCAAGATTCGTTTCCCTCGCGAAGGTGACGAGTACCCCAACGGGGCTATCCAGGATATTGTCTTTACACTCGAAGAGAAGCCCCATCCGGTTTTTACGAGGAAGGGAGATGATCTGGTGATGACTTTGGAATTGACGTTGCTTGAGGCCTTGACGGGTGGGTTTTCGAAGGTTGTCAAGACGCTTGATGGTCGGTCATTGCCGGTTTCTGCGAGCAGTTCGAAGATTACACAACCGGGCCAGGAGGAAAGGTTCCCGGGGGAGGGCATGCCGATTTCAAAGAAGCCGGGTCAGAAGGGTGATTTGATTGTCAAGTTTGATGTCAAGTTCCCAACTACATTGACCGCTGCCCAGAAGGCAGAGCTCAAGAAGATCCTTTCCTAAGGCCCCCCTTTCTCTCTCTTGCCTTCCCATTTTAATACTACACATCACCTCAGACATGTAGTTTCTCTTTCTTCTCAATCAAAAACAAAACTTGTAAATACATATGCATTCTACTTTTTTCTTTTAATAAGTTTTTGAAATGGAAATAGCTGTGGGGGATGAGAAAACGCTTTTCTTAGTTCATCCTAAATAAGAGTGGACCGTGGTAACAAACAGAAAAAAAATAAATAATCTACAGAGGATTTCTACCTTTTGACGGGTAGTGTGCAACAGCTACCGACATCACAGGCCTCCTCGCCGTCGGCACAGAGGAGTGCACAGTTCAAATCATCCTTGATCTCGTCGTCAGGAATAAGGATCAAACTGCTGCCAGGCACCTGCTCAACATTACCAGCTCCAGCACCATCAACGGCGACAGTCTCGGGTGCAGCAGCAACAGCAACGGGGTTACCATCAGGGCCTTGCAGCGTAAACATGGGCTGACTCGACGACCCACCCGGCAAAGACTCCCCACTCTGCGCTGCCATAGCACCACCAAAAGAAGGAGAGGACTCAGTCGCCAACAAATGCTTGGTATCATCCTCCGAGAAGCACTTCCTCAACCTCAGTGTATCTTTCGACTTGATGGCCTGCGACAGATATGGATGCATTCCAGGGAACTCTGGCTGAATAGTCGTAGAATGCACACCAGCACGATGCATAATGGTCTTGACAGCCCTCGAAACGCGCTCAAAGGCCTCTTGGTTGGTGACGAGGACATGGAGGGATGAGACCATCTTGATGTTGGTCAATTGCCAAATATGCAGGTCATGGATCGAGATCACGTCGGGGATAGCCTTGATCTCTGTACGGATCTCTTCAATGTCGACACCGACGGGGACACCCTGGAGGAGGATGAATGAAGCGGACCGGACGAGAGGCCATGCCGTGTGGATGATGATTCCCGTAATAAAAATACTTTATGAAAGAAAGAGAGGAGGCAAAGCGAAAAGGGTAGTGGGGGATGAGTGAAGAAAGAGAGAGGGAAAAGACGAAGCAACAAGAAAAAAAAGGTTAGCATGCGTCATTTCTTAAATGGTAGTAACAACGAGCATGATCTATTCTTTTACCTAACGATAGGATCCATGTACTGCTTCCATGAAAAGTCCGTCAACCAGATGAAAAGCGCGGAAAAGATGACGCCAACAGAGCCCAAAGCATCTCCTAGGACGTGCAAGAAGACACCGCGCATGTTGAGATCCACGCCGGTGGGCTTCTTGATCTTCTTGTCGTCTTGGCTGTGATCATGGTCATGGTCGTGGTCGTGGTTATGGTCATGGTCGTCATGGTTGTGGTTGTCGCCATGCGTGTGCTGTTGGGAATGGTCGACATCCACAACGGTTTCATCGACCTCACTCTTGTCGTTCCTCGATCCCTGCTCCTGCTGTTGGTGGCGTTCCTCATTCTCCATCTGTCTCTGGACATCCAAGGCAGCCTGTTGAAGGTTGTGGAGACTGGTCTGACTCAAAGGCGAGATCCTGTCAAGCGATGATTCATAGCGGAGTGAAGGTTTTGCTGTGCTGTCATCAGAGTTGGGACTATCCGAGGAAGACGAGACCGGGGAAGAGACGGAGGTCTGGGTCGTGCCCTTTGGTTTCTCGGAATGAGATTTCTCGTGTGAGTGGCTGTGACTATGGCTATGACTGTGGCTATGACCACCATGGCTGTGCCCATGGCCAGCATGATCGTGAAACAGGACCAAGCCGAGGAGGTTGCACAACAAGCCAATACCGCCGACAATCAACACCAACTTTGGATCCTCAATGACTATTAGGAAAGAGAAAGGGAATGCAATGTAGACGTTAGTTTGTGAGAGAGGGTTTCTGTGAAAATGTTGTGGCCACTTTAGGACCAAGAAGTTATCGTTGGGTGAAGACAAAATAATTGTTTGTTATTGCTATTGCTTTGTGAGTACCTTCGGCCTTGAAGAACCGTTGGATGGCATCCAGGAGAATGGTGAGGCAAAGGGCGAGAAGGAAGACTCCGTTGTACAGTGCTCCCAACAACTCTGCTCGCTGCCATCCGTACGACAATGTTGGCTGCCACTTTGTCTTTGCTGCCAGCTATCACGAAGAAAAAAATTGTCACGAACTAATTGTGTTAGCAGGTGGTTGTTAAGCAACACGGATGCATGGGTAGAGACCGTGGTAGAAGACAACAAGAAGAGGAGGCAAAGGAGCAAGGAATACATACACGAATGGCATAGAGGGCGATGATTTGAGAGAGGACATCGGACAACATATGGAAGGCATCGGCGATCAGCGCCAGGGAGCCCGTCATGTAGCCGACAATGATCTCTGCTAGAAACATTACAATGTTCAGCACTAGCATGATAACAATCTTTCCTGACCGAGAGAGCGCCATTTTTGTTTCCTTGTCCTGTTATTACTGAGCGTGAAAGGTATGTGTATTGGTGGGGGTATTAATTGTCGGATTCGGCCCGCATTAACAAAAAGGGCGAATGTATGAATGAGTGAAGAGAGGAAAGAGGGTAATGGAGGTTGTGAATGAACGAATGACCGAATGAGGAATCACACCACTTCTTTTTCTTTTCTCCAGAGGAAGGGGAGAAGGAGAAGGAGAGGGGAGAGGGGAGAGGGAGAGGGAGAAGGCGAGGGGAGAAACGGGAGAGAGTACAAGGAGAGGGGGACCAATTGAACAAGGGTAAGGTATGATAGCAGTGAAGAAAAACAAAAAAAAGAAGAGGGGGGCAAGGCTGGTCCTTTTATGGAGTTGCCAGGGAGGATTGAGATGGGGTTTCTGGGGGCGAGAAAGAAGAAGGGGATAGAGAGAGCAAACACTTGACAAGGTTGAAGTATGTCAAAAATAAGAATGGGGGAATAAACAAACACAAGGGAAGGGAAAAGGCAGGGCATGAAAGGAAGGGAATGGAAGGATAGAAGGAATTGAATGGGACGAGTGAATGAGTAAGTAAGTTGTGAATGACCACAAATAACGACAAGAAGGGTGATGTCCGTTGCACCGGGTGGGGCAATGGTACAATGTCTGATATCCTGTGGAATCAATGCCGAGTTGATGTCATCCTGGTGTCAACAAACCCAAAGAGAAAAAGGGAAATGACACCCAGCTACCGACCTATCCGAGTCCCGTCACTCTCTCCCGCTCTCTCATTCTTCATGCGGACCCGTGCATGAAAAGAAGAGCACGAGACGTGAAATGAAAATGCGCCGCATTCAAGTAGGGGGAATAATGGAACAAGTAGGGAGAGCAAAGACAGAGGGAACAGAGAGAAAGGGGAGGTTGTCATTATCGTGTATGCATGGTGATTGGTCACAGCAAGGTTGTCAAAAAAATGCCTCACTTTTGACATGTTCCAAAGCCCTCATCATCCGTCCTTTTCCTTCCTGCTTTTCTCCCGTTTGGAAAATGCCGCAAACAACGAAAACTCAAAACTCAGCTTTGCGCTATTTTAATTCTGACAGGCGAGACGAGAGCTGTCAAAAAGATAAAAAAAAGACTCGGGGCATCGTTCCTTTATGCATTGTGACAAAAGAAAGAATAGGAAGAACAGGGGCCTCGGAGGGAAAACTGCGCCGTGCAAATGAACAAAAAGTTGCTCGACGCCCACCCTCGCTGTCAATTCATTGCTGACTGTCAAGAAATTGGACCAGGGACATCATGCTCTGCTACTGTTCGTGCCAGCCTATTATGCTTGTCAAAAGGACAAACTTCTGGATAATATATGTGGTCGTATCTTCGTTATCATCACCAACAAATGTCTTCAATAATTGTTTTCGTTGACATACTTTCCATCGCTTCCAATGGAGCTTCTTTTCACTTTGACACATTTTTCCACTCTCCGCCTTTCGCTTTTTTTGCTCGTTCGTCTAGGTACTTCCAGTGTTTGACTGCTCCCATTGCACTACTTGCGCGAGCTCTCTGTTGCCCCCAACGCTCTTTTAATTTTACTTCTCGAATGTTCACTCATACAACTTGTCAAAGAAACAATACAAGGCGTCAGGGGTGGACCTAATTTGGCGTCAAACCAAATCACAAGTGAAAGCATTGATGTGGCCCTTTTTTGTAGCCATTTCTTTTATTTTTTAATCGCAACCTTTCCAACCCTCTACTTGCTTATCAGATCACTATTACCACCTGAAAAATAATTGGTGGGAGGAGAGTAGTTAGTATTGGCAGGCTGTTACGAGGGTAGCTTTCTCACATTTTTCCCCTCCTTCGAAACCGAATGTCCCTTACGTGCAAACCTGAATGCTACCCCGCAGTTCTTTTTTGTCCTCTTTTTTTTATTTTTTTTTTTTCTCGCACATCATTTTATTCCTTTGATAAGCAGACAAAATGGCAGACTCTTGCAACACCCATACACCATTCACATTCCCGTTCGGAACCTACAATTGTCGCTGCTCCTCACAGCTTCAACAGAAAACAAGTCGCGCATTGGCCGGTCTCACAAAGGTAAACAACATTTTTTGGTGGCGAACATCACGTGCACCAAGACAATCAACTTTGCCCACAAGGCATTCAGTCCCACCACGCTTTGTGCCTATTTCTTTTCCTTTGAACTTGACCTAAATCCAGAGAGAGAGAGCGCCCTCGAAAGATACATCAAAAGAATCCTCTTGCCACTCCCTCGCCACCCATACCATTCTCGAGTCCCCAGGATGGAAGGCGCCACCACTAGTCATCCCATGGAACCTCGCAATGAGCTGATGAAGGCTCATTCCGATCAACATCCTAGTGCTGTTTCCCAAGCCACCACCGCAGCCACTTCAACTCTCCCCCCAACAACGTCCCTTCAGTGTCCGCCACTAAGGACACTCCTCCCGAACCCAAGAAGATCTCTTATGCCGCTATGGTCTCCAACGGCAAAGGACCGTCGAAGGCGGTATCTGCGGACATCCGCCAAGTCAAGTGCCAAATCTGTATGGGGCAACACGACCCGTATCCGGCCCGGTTCTCCAGGGTTAGAGGTGGCCATTTCATGGCTGTCCCCAAGTATCTTGTCGAGATTCCTCATAAGGATCTTCTGACGCAGATCGCCGCCACTTTCCCTAGGATGACCTCGTTCATCGACTGGGAGAGGAATGATTATCACTTCAGCTTCGCCTCGGACGAGGTCCTCAAGAAGGCTCTCGACACCCCACTGGTGGTGAACGGCTTTATTGTTCCTACCTTTGAGGCCCCTTACATCCCATGGCCGTGTCAACGTAGAGATAATGAATAAAGATGTGAGTTTGTGGCGTGTAAGAAAATATGTCATCTGGACAGGAATATCTCTTTATTTTTCTATGTCCGGAACCTGGCTCTGCACAACAATTGTCGCTGCTCTTCACAGCTTAAACGGAAGAAAATAAAACTAGATACGAATGAAGGTGATTCTTCCTATCCTCTCCATCAATGACAACCTCCTCCTTCCTAACAAACTCTTCAACAAAATATATTTTTTTCCGAGTGTTCGAACACCTTTTCATACCCCATGCTCGTCAAGGCGATCACACTGGTAGTCTCGTCTCATCTGTTTCTGTTTTCTTTACTTCCTGCTGCGTTCATGGTATTGAGATGTGTTGAGTGATTTGAATGATCATCAAAGCTAAAATGTTTTATTCTCCCAATGTGAGTTTATTTCATCAATCAGTCAATCGCCCTTGACCAGAACTCCCCTCCATTCGCTCCATTTTGCCTCTCTTCTTCAATTCACTGCTACCAGTTTCGCTATCAACGAAGAAAGTAGGATTGGCATGACTTCTTGAGTGATATCAACAATCACGTCAAAGATCGTACACTCACACCCCGAAAAAGTGGAAATAAATGCTACCAAACCAACCCAACAAGCTCAGACAAAAAAAAAAACCAGAAAAGGATGCCACCTCCAACTCATTCGCTTCCAGATATTGGTGAAGCGCGATTTTCTTTGTGTTGTATCATAAGACAGAGGCCTGTCTTTGCTTTTCTTTCTTGTGCTTTATTATTTTCTTTTTTTTCTCTTCCTGGTCCTTTCTTCAACCATTCACATCCCATCATACGAAAGGTTCCTTGCCAGGCATTCTTTATCCAGGGTGTTGGCATTCCTAGGCAGATAAAGGAACCACGTATCACCAGCACCAAAAAAAAAAGGTGTACCGTAGTGAGGGCATTCATATTCCAGAAAAGAAAAAAAAAAAACTAAACATAAAGGTCGAATACTTCACCACTTCGGAAATCCTCGCAGGAGTAGACGTACAAAATAAAAGGGCCATTTACATTGTCCCTCACTTTACTCATCCAGAAGCATACTACGCCGGAATCACGAGAGAATCCGAAGGAGACAAAAAAAAAAAAAAACATTCCAACAGTTCAAAAACGACAACATGTTGCACAGACCATACCACAAATTCAACTCATTTGGTAGATCATTGGATTCAAAAGCAAAGCTCGGTGATTTTTTGTATCGTTACCGGAAACTGTCGGCGTGCGCCTTAAGGACTAGGGCAAAGCTGAATTCGCCAGTAGAAAAATAAATGGATATAGGCTTCCTGAGCTTCGCAAAGTGCACAAAGATTTTTTCTTGGCTGAATTGCTATCCTCGAAAACGCAGTTGGAATTAAAGAGCGATTTTGCTTTCCTTAAACTTATCCATCTGGAATAAAAAAAGTGAACCGGTTGACCTTCTGGGCATAAAATAATGCAATGAAAATGATCCATCTATGTTCGACAAAAAGATACAGGGCCATGACCCATTAGTTTTTTCGGCTAAAAAATAAAAGTGGGACTCTCTGCGGATGACAAGCAATGTTTTGACTGGTTTGAAAAATGACAATGATCATGTGGCAAGAAATCTATCGTGCGCATCAGCTCTTATCCAAATCCTCCTCCATGGGTTATGGCGTGTCAAAAAAAGTGCAACTATAGCGCTAGTATCCATAATGGAAGAGGGTCGACTGGCTGTATCGCCATTCACGTTGTTGAATAAAGGAAGGAAGAGAGCCGTTCACCCTTTCATATCCCCCCGCATCGCATGTACAAGCACTCAAGCAAAGAAAAAGTAAAGACTATGTTAACAAGAGACGCCATCGTGTCGTTTCCTCATGGTCGACTTTCTATCACCCCAGTGTTTAAATGAGAGAAAGAAAAGGCCCTTGATTGTTAGGATGGAATGTGCGAGGCTGTAAGAAGGTTCTGAACGAACCGATAAATAAAATGGTGCCCAGTTCTTGACCGTTCAAAGAGGATATACCCCATTCGACCGGATGTTACAAAGGAGAAGAAAAACAGAAAAAAATCAACAAAGGACAACCTATCCCTCGACGGGATTGATCGTTCTGCTACTAGTTTGAAACACGAGGTTACTATTGACACGTCAACAAAAGAAATATGTGGCGCAGAAAAAAAGCCTCGAATGCCGCCTCAAGTATCGCAGTCATGGAGTTGTGTCGGTGTATGCTTTAATTGAGAGGCCAAAAGGTAGACAAAGGCCTCAGAAAAGAAAGTGCGAATTGCCGACTTCGGATATTGCGGCTGTGAAAGTGTAAGAAAATTGTTGGACAGCGACCGAAAGATAATAGCGAGCATTGTGTCAGGCGCTCAAAGCAGAAAGAATTCCGTGGCTATAGCCAATCGTCCCGCTGCTAGTTTATGTATTGAAAGTGCGCTTGCCGAGGCATCATAGACACGACTATAAAGATGCCGATAGGGAAGCGGGTCCTCGAATATTAAGGTCACCAGCACTCGGCGAAGGTCCTCTCTAATCCCCTCGTTTCTTATTATTTTTCTGCCAATACTCAACATGTGCGACTTTACAACATCGAGTTTCACCCCCGGCTTTATCTATTTCACGGATCACTGTCGGCGGTATGTATTCTATGACGACTATAACACAAAGAGGATAGTGGATCCCTGGTTGACTTTTCTTGCTATCTCGGAGCGCTATCGGGCGACTTTTCTGGATACGCGAACGACCTATTATCGACTCCAGAAAATTGTTCATGGAGGTTCCTGTTGGTCACCGAACAAGAAAGCGTCTGTCGTGGGTGATCCTCGGAGAATACAGGGAAAGTTTAAAGGGACGCTTCAGACAAATGGGCTGGTAGTGAATGAGCGCCTCTTTTGGTTCAACAAAAGCAACAAAAAACACCCCCGCCAGTGACCGCCGTCGTCAATGCCGCTTGCCGACAGGCCGCTTGTCACACACAAACATCACCCTCTTTGCATGTGCAAACACGCGAGCCTCGCTCTTTCGCGAGTTGCGCTTTTGCAAGTACTGTTGCGTTAATGCCTGCTCGTTTTTTGTTCCTTTTTTTGTTTTGTTTTTGACGGACTCTTAACAAAATTTTCACCCGAGTGGTTGGTTTGTCGATTCTTCAACCCAAAAAAAAACAAACAAATGAACAGGATGAAATGGACAAGAACATCAAAGAGCAATTGGCATTCCCTATTTTTTTCACGCTCCACTTTCCCATAATCTTTTTGTGTGACCTTTCCAGCTAAATATCGATCTCCGATGGCCAATCCGGGAGAGTTCTGTATTTGTGGACAGTGAAAAAAAAAAATCAGGGAAGGATCGGGGTCTCCATTTTTTTTCAGGTGCGAATGAATGGATTAGTGGCCCTCTTTTTCATCGTACCCAAGGAAATAGTACATGGGTACGAGTGCATGGTATGGATGTGTGTACTTTTGTCTTATCCGTCCATTCATAGACATCTGTTTGTCCAAACAACGACAATACTGTAAACGCCGACGGTCATGAAAAAAAAGGGTCGAAACGGCAAAAACTGCACTCTAAAGAAGAATCCCGTGGACACTCGTCCCTGGTTCTGCTCCTACACCTGCCATTCATACAACTCCAACTGAAAAAAAAGGAGAAATGGAGCAAAAAAGGAGAAAATGGTACCATTCAAGGAATATCTAGACAGGACAACATGGCGGAAATAGCTTGTGGGGTGAAAACGGAAATAGAGGCCAATTGCCAAGCTGTGTGGATGCACCAGTTGCATATGTTCCTGCATGTAAGAGGCACAAAAACGAGTACATTGTGCAAGGTACATACTTTGTCCCTTTGTGTTCATTCTGCTGTCTCTCTGTTGTTGGTTGTCACTCCTTGCTCTCCTTCCCCTGAAGGAATGTAAGAAAATGAGAAACCGCCAACTGAATGCACCAATGCCGATGTAAGAAGGACAATTTTTTCTCCAACCGAAGCAATGCGAATAAAGAATGCGATCATTCTTCTTCTACACTCTTACACCACTAATGCCCCTCCTTTTCATTTTTGTCCGTTCTTGTTGTTCTCTCCTGGCTATTCTTTCTGAAACAGACGACATAACTGAGAGGATGTACACCTGCTGACATACCTATCTTCCATTCAGACGAGAAGGATGTGGTGTGCGTAACCATCAGGCTGAAAGGAGGAAGGAAGAAAGGCTTAGTGAGTGAAAGACCACCCACTAATGTGGTGCGAGTGAGCGCAAAAAGCAAACAGGTGGAGTGAGAGATAGAGGAGTACCCACTCGGGAACTTCAGTCCAGGTGATTCGTGTGTTTTTGGTTGCTCTCTCTGTTTTTAGGGCTGTCTGCACTGTATCTCTTCTCGTCGTTTCTATGTTGTTGAGGGTACATTGCTAACCTTAGACGTCTTGTTATGACTCTACAGTACTCATTTTTTCCACCCTACTTTTTTTACTTTCTGTTGGCTAGCATGTTCAGCATATCATAAGATGAACAAAAAAAAGAAAAAAGGAGAGCGAGTGAGCAATCGCGCCTTTCCGACAAGCGGCAGCTGGAGAACGGCCTGCAGCTCATTGGCGCATTGCATTTTTTCTATTCCACCCCTTCAACTCAATTGAATGAAAATGAGAACAAATTCAACATCCGCCACTTTGTCCAAAGAGAAGATGAAGAACTTTCCTACAAAGTTCGTCAATGACAATTGTTTGTTAGGCTAGAAGGACCGAAGAGAAAAAAACTTAAAAGCAATTGAATGACAAAGACGAAACACCTCGGAGTATGATTTGTCTGTTGTTTTCGACTGGTGTATGAAGGTCAGGAGGGAAGAACCCTTGAACCATGAAAAATAAACCAGCATGAAAAAAGACAACAGAGTGCGAGAATGATAAATGCCCGATGACCCTCTTCTATCTTTTTTGATAGTGGTGCGCATGCCATTCACCCTAATACATCAAATCAAACAAATAGAGCCCAGGCCGCTCGCTGATGCATTCTCCTTGCATGGTTTGTTCCTATCGCTATCTGTTGC